GCCGTTTTCGGCTGCTTTGCGCTTCCTGTCGGATTATCCGTTCTGGGTGCATGACGGATGTTCTCCGAGGAAGAGAGACATGCTGTTCGGTACAAGGGAAAGGAAGTTCCTTGATGGGAGGCATAATAAAATTTTACAAATGTCGAAAGAATTGAACAGGGCATAAATTGTTTGACCCTCATCCATCACCATCTAACATTTCTTCGAGTTTTCAATACTTCTACAGTAAAACGCAATTCTTGCCTAGGCAAACACCATGCACACCTCAGATCGAACGAATGAAGAAGAAATTTAACTTAGTGTCGACATTCCAGGTCTTTTAACGCAACCACTCAAAAATCTTTTTAGCGTTTAGATGAGACTTGTGGGCCCAAACAAACGGATAGCGGTGTAATTCGCTTGAAAAAAGAGCAGATATATTTCTCTTCGAATATTCACATGTGAATTATTAACACTGAAATGATAAATCAATTAAGTCAGGAGGCCATTAATGGCTTCATAATTTAGCAGAATTTCTAAATGATATCTGAATTATTATAAGCAGACATAAACTGGTTTATACTGCAGGAGTCTTTCTAAGCCGACTAAGTTATCCTAGATAATGCACAGATCCCAAGTCTATTTGATGATGTTTTGTCCTGCGCGAATTTAGTTTTGGTCGCGGAATTCTCCTTGTGGGGCACAAAGTACGTGGTGGAACAGTACGGGTCAGACCTAAACCGACAAATATTTACATTTCGCAACAACATCAAAGACATCGGTTCGTCAGAGGGGCAAAGGCATGGTCAAATTCAGGAGATGTATGATTTATTGTGTACTATTTTTGCGCTGGTAACAAGATATTTAAAATCCAAACTTGCAAAATGTGCGTCAGCGGAATGCAAGCCAGTTTAACTATCTAGATCAATCGCATCTGTGACCGGCACGGAGGAAAAGTTACTATGGTTACTTATTTACGTTGCCTCCTTATGCCGAAAAGTTCAATATCCTGAGACTTTAACCATCGTCCAAACGATTGTTGTTCTGTGGTGATGCACTTTAAATGAGGGGGAAGGCAGTAAACTTCACAAATTTTGAAGAGACTGAAATAAAGTTTTGCAAAATTGGATATAGCTCCTTGTAGATGTTTGTAGCAAGCTAAGCAAACGCTTTGAGAGATGCATGGTTCACTTTTTAAGTCTTGAATTTCAGCATGTATTCTATGGGATACGTTGAACAAATGTTTTGCAGTAGATATAGTCTTAAATAATGATTTGCGCTGAATCATGAACATTTTGCGTCCCTTTCAGATCACTATTTTACATTATTTCTAAAACACGATGAATGTTCAACTCTTTTGACCCTTCCACTCTCGAGATCTCAAAAGTGATTTTCGTTGTTTTCCGCCACACATTTGTCATCATATTGAAGAATTTGGTATTTAATCAGGTATCCCTGTGTCCTCGTCACCTTTCAGTTTGATAGTGTATCGATATCGTGAGTAGAAATTACTAATTGGTCACGCCTGAGTATACATAGTTTCGTGTTCAAAAACGAAACAGAACAAAACAGGAATGATGAAAAATATAGCCAAACTGGCATAACTGTTAAAATTCATACTCATCATGACGGTGTCAGAACGACCGCGAGCATGCTGAGGTCCAACGCGGACAGCTCATCATGGCGATCTCCGGTCATCGCTGTAAAGTAAGCCTCAGAAAATTACATCGGACGCCCTTTCCGATGCTTTGAGTGGAAGACCACATCATTCACTGCAGCCGAGTTTTACGGCGCTGTCATCCCGAGCAATTTTCATATTCCGGAAAACTCGGCTATCCTTCATTCATTTGGTTTTTAATTATCATGTGAAAAAAACTTGCGTGTTTTCATGAGCCACAATTCGGCCGGATTTCACTGAACATTTCACTTTCAGATTCTGTATTAGAGAAAGAAAAACTTCAAGCAAAAGTGTTAAATTCGACCTGCCGAACTATTAAGTTTGTAAACTCATGCAGAATGTGAACTTTGATGGTTTGACGTTTTTGACAGCTTTAGTCTTGTACAGCCAATCAGATTATTTGAACCATTTTAACAGGAATTCTGATTGGTTTATTGTAGCGTGCTTTATGAGAGTATAGAGCATGCTGACGTTACTGTTTTTCGCTTTGGAAATAATTTTTTTTTGAAAATTGAAAGTTATGCGTGGGGAATTTAACGGATTCTTTATTATAAGTAGGGAGAAGTGGGGAGAAATACTCGACTACGTCTCGTGTTTCCCTCAACACTTCTTTCGTGCTCTAACTGACCGCTCCCTGCGTGCTTTACAACAGAACGGAGCACAGACAAGGCTTCTCTATTTGTTAGGTAAGGTATACTGAACACTGTAATGGATGAACAAGGTACCTTCGCTTCAAACAGAAAACTGCTTAATCTTATGATGCATGATCATCCTCGGAGTAAGTTCCAGTCCTTCCGCAGCGAATCACGCTGAACTAAAGGTGAGAAAAATCAGTGGCCAGAAAATTGTAATTGCTTTGTTATTCAAGTTATTATTACCTAAGGTCAGGGCCACACTCGCCTCGAACAGCCAACAAAAAAATCTGTTGTAGAGGTGAAAGGCAAAGAAATCCGACAGACTCTTTGTTGTATGATTTTGCTTGGGTTTTTTCGACCTAGCCGTTCGCAACGGTCAATGCATTTGAGCTGACTGATCAATGGTTACTTACCATTACTTTATTCAGTTGCAATATGCGAATACAAAAACAAAAGATTGTTTAAGGTCGGGGAGCTGACAACATTAACTGCAGTAACTTTGATTTTTTCATTTATCTTCACTTCTTTCAATGCCTCTATTCAATTTCCTCGTATATATGTATCCTTTTCATCATTCTTATTATTCAGAGAAACATTACTCCAGAGTTACCTGTTCCTTGTGCTGCATTCACGGCTTATCAGAAGAACGTATTTTTGAAAAGTACCCTGGCAAGACTTGGTGGAAAACGGCGAAAGGCAGCAAATTCTCGATAAACTTAACGCGTTTGATATAGTTTTTTTTTCTTTTGTTCTTCGTCGCTTTCATGTACAAAAGGTAAAATAGGAAATAATAAAATTTCAGTTCGCACATGAGTCGAGAGCCGGTATAGCAACAGGGAAAATTTACGTTGCTGTGAACAGCCTAGTTTTGCGAGCAGATAATTAAATTATCGCTAAAACTGTTGCATTTCTTTGTCCTTTCAAAGCTACTCAGGTCCTACCTAATGTTACGGTACCAACAGTTCGGTGTAACAGACTGTATTGTAGTAAATTAAAACAGGGAATCTTGGCGAACTTTCACTGAACCGATTCACGATGCCACTTACAGCTACCGCTCGCCATGTTGGTTTTGTTATGGATTAAAAGGAAAGTGATTCATTTCAAATTTCTATTCACTTACCTCCATTTCTTACGGACTCTCCATTATGTCTTCTCGAATAATTATGAGAAAAAGCGTCAAGTTTATGTTGATAGAAACAGTTTTTAGCTCGGCCATTGTAGCTACGACAAAAACGACGACTAAAATGACAACACGCGCGCGGCGTGGCAGCCGCGGTTTTGGCGGGAAATTATTAATTAGGATACAGCAAATGTCAGGCGGATTGCCGCGCAAAATATAAAGGAAAACATAAGAAAGAATGAACGAGAGAAAATTGAAAAGTCCACAGAAATCTGTAAAGGAAACAAAGATGGGAAGAGGAACATTCAAGACTTTTCTTACCCAAAGCTTATTCAGTTGATTTGCACTCCTGTTTTGAGCTTTAACAAACAAGTTATACACTTTTAAAACACTGTGAGTTACTGGTTTATATATATGTTGTTTGCAACTCGTATGATACAACTTGGTTCTAACAGCCTGAAAGAACGCCACCGAGTGATTAGAACGTTTGCACAAGTGCATCGTTTGCCCACTGTGTTCATTTTTGGCGGTATTAGGGATGCTTGAAATTACCTCTTAAGATAGTCTCAGATCCTAGCAGTTGTCAGAAGTACAGTACAAGACTTCTGAAAAACATCGGAAAGTGGTTGAATAATTTTTAGTTTTATCCACTTTTACCAAGCAGCCTAATTTGAGTTCACTCGTTTTTTATAGGTAGACAGAGACCAAGAGAGAATATCTGGGAAAAAAGTGCTATTTTAACACGTCATTTAAAAATAATTACTGTCAATAGGTTTGAAAATGATTGGAGTTCTGGTCGAAAGGTCTCATGAATTATACTTGAGTTGTGGTCGGCTCTTAACCCTTTAACTCCCAAGATCTGATTGCTAACTCTCCTCTCTATCTGCTACACATTCCCTACACATTAGTTACGAGAATTTGGTGCTAGATAAGGATAACGTTTACCTAATAAGCCTGAGTATTCACATTACCTGTTTGCAGAATAACGCATGGATATCATAAGGAGAAGTTAAATGTTAATCACTTCTGGAATTTAAAGAGTTAACACTGGCGACATAAAATTGTGTGGTAAACTTGGTTGGGACTCCGACGATTTCACAGACACGTTTCCGCTGAGAGAGAGAATAGGACATCAAGAAAACAATAAACTTTAACTTTACGATGGTTTTCTATTTACATCATATATACATTTATTGATTTATCTCTTTGCGATGACCATATTATTCTTGGCAATAGATATTCAATAAAATTTAACATAAGCTTTTTCAGGTCATCTTAGCTCTATAAACATCGTATCACATCAACACGCAGCATATTTGGTCTTTTCTTAAGCTAATTAAATGCTTTAAGCATATATATCTATGGGCCAAGCTGGTTGGCTAAGAGTCAAGAAATTGTGCATGCGCAGTGGTGTTTTTTTAAATCTTCCAAGATGGTTTCCTTATCCCTCCATTATCGTTGCCTTAAATTGAGGTTGGCATGATTAAAGATGAAGGTTTTGTTATTCTGGTTTGAATATTGTTGTAAGATCACTGTCAAAAACGAGCCCAATGATATTGGATAAAAATTAAAGCAAATAGACTTCGCTTTAGTCGACGTCTACATCAAGTTCTTTGTTTTCCTCGACGTCAGTTTGATTTTCCGCCTCTAAAGATCTTTCCTCCTCTGTAATTTCCACTTCTGTATCATTTAGACACTCAGACGAGCCGTGCCTTTCTCGTTTTGCCTTCGCGCGACGATTTTGGAACCAGACCTGAGGAGAGAATGAGGTATGACAAATTTCTTTTTAATACTTTAGATCGTAGCATCTCACTTCTCCTTACAAAATCACCCCTGCATCACACATCAAGGTCGCAAGAATATAGGCAATGATCACCACCTAAATAAGCTCTTGATTGTTAAACAAATCCTCCTTGTCAGCACCTTAGGAAATATATAGTGAACGATGTGAAAATATGTACACTGATTTTGGGGTGTGAAGGGTTACTAAATTATGATAATTGTCCTTAAAGGAAGAGCATATGGCCAGCACAGGGTGCATCTTGAACTTTGAAATTCGCACATGAAAACACGAGAGTATTGTTACCTGAACTCGCGAGTCTCTCAGTCCCAGTCTTAAAGCGAGGGACTTTTTGAACACACTGGTTGGATAGGGATTCAGAGCGAATGCTCTCTCAAGTTCCTCGATTTGCCATCTCTTGTAAGTGGTTCTGTTTCTCCTACCTCCTGTTTTATCGTGACAAAAGTCTTCTGCGGAAATGAAATAAATGATGAGCACTAGTTCATTGAGAAGTTAACTCAATTCAACTGTTTGGAGCCCTTGTAATTCAATGCGTTTAGTGAGTAGCTAAAAAGCCGATCCCCTCCCCTCCCCCACCCCCTTCAAGTTCTCTCTTGAACCAATGGCCGCGTGATGTAAATATAAAATCAATCGCCTCTTTTTATCGCACTTTAGGCCGGAGGCATGTCCTTTCTTTATTTTTTCTTATGCCCTCGAGATATTTTCGCCTTCTTTTGTTCGGCTAGTTTAATAATGCTTTATCGAAAAGTGCATTGATTTTTAGAGTCTGGCAAAGCTTTGAGTTGCTAGCTAGGGTTAAAACTTGGATACTGTTTAGCTCCGCTGATAATGAGTACAACTATGTGCCTACTCATCAGGAAATTGTTGTGAGCTTCGATCGTGAACTGTCTTTTTACTTAGATACTTTAACTAGAAACTCTTATTTTCTTTTCTAGCAGAAACGCAGTTTCACTGGATCTTAACCGCAGTATTGAAACTGTTCAATCTCAAATGATCCAAGATTGAGTGATATGTGACACATCCGGGACCTTTATACGGTATGCAAAACAAAGAAGCCAGCGAAGAGCCCCTCCCAGAGGTTGACGTGCGTATAGGAGTTATTTACTTGTTTGGACACATCTAGTTCGCAGATATCAACAGAATAGCGATATTCACCAGCACCTGTGCATATGTATTAACACTGTATTCAGGTGCAACAACACAGTCCCTGAAGGCAGTGTCATAAAAGAATCATAACATTAAACAAATCATTGTGAAAACAGTCAGGGAGCGCACTGTCTCCTTTGTTCATTTATTGAGGTTGAAACAGGGAAAGATCACCAATTATTAGAAATAGATTTAGGTCTATTTTGGATTAATTAGTCGATTTAAAATGATTAGTGAATTGGATTTGAAATCGAATGAGAACTCGGTTCGACATATATTTTCTCTCTGGTTTTACAGCTCTCAGTTGGAGTCTCTAATTCAAGTTTGCCATAGAGAACTACTCGATTTACATGAAAAGTCACGTTTTTCGCATTTCCTAAATACTTTTGAAAGCGGGTTCAAGATAATCGAAACATCATTCTTCATATTGAGAAAGAAAGAAAAACAGAGAAAGAAAGAAAAGAGGATTTTAACAGTTATTCTGAGTGAAAACAATTCGAAAATAAGTAAGATTGGGTATGTGGACGAGATTGCAATAAATGTTAACCGTTCCTCTTGATTCATTTCAAAGCGACTTCTTATTAGGATTATAATCGATTTCCGCTTCTCGAACCAGCAAAAATTGATTCTTAGATCTACAGCTCGGGTAGAGTACGTTTATAAAACCTCATTAAAAATAGGGCACGAAACCATGCGGAAATCGCCATCTTTTTACCGTTACGAAATTATTCTTATTAGAAATACTTGATCACTATTACCTCGCCATCAATGGTTAATTTGTATCGGAGGCAATTTGTCAGAAAACAAATCAGTGCCGCGACAGCCCACTGCACGAGTTTACAGAGATAATAAGGCAATAAAAAAAATACTTAGAGGGTGAGAATTTTTGAATCGCAGTTTGTATAAAGCATTGGTTTTGTGTATACTTCAATTCAAGAATGATCGATAAGCGCCGGTTCTCTGTTTTCACAAGCTGGCAGCTGGGCAAAGATGGGCCAACCAAGGTATCGCGTAGAAGTTAATTATGTTGAATTTTATGTCGAAATCGATTTGTGAATGAGTGACATATTAGGAAACATTGATATCAAATAAGGGACTTTTGATATCTTACAACGAATCGATCGGACATTTTCTCTGTAAGATAAATTCGAGTAAAGGTTTAGAACTCAGACTTACCCTGGTTAAATTGTTGTGAAAAAAAATTTACATTACATTTATAGATTTCAGTCGAACTTTGTTGGGTAACACACTAAAGCAGACAAAGTAGATGGAATTTCATTTTGCCATCGAAACAAAGCAACTACTTAAAGACTGAAGTTTTTATGGGAAAAGCGTAGGTGAAATCAAACCACATACAAATGTTAATGTAAGTGCCTAGAAATGTTACATTTATTCTGGTTCTTAAAGATTTTACAAGCGCTAATAAGGATTCATTAGTATGACAATATTTTATTAGTAAAAAAACAGCAGTAGCTAATAAAAGGTCTTAGCGCACCCGTACTTTCTGCGTTTAAAACCTAGCAGAGGTTGTTTTACTATTGGAAATAACGAAGGTGTATTTTATTTTACCTCTAAAACTTCAAAAACCAATATCCGATTTTCAATTTTAGCGTCGGTGCCAAATGAATAAAATAGTCATTTGTAACAAAAAAAGCACATTATATTGCGTTGGATAACTCTCTGAAAAGGAGACGATGAATCCAGTCTTCTAGAATTAGTGGTGGACATATAGAGGATCATTTTCTTTTAAATTTGTCTGAAATTAGCCACTTACAGGCCGAAAAAAAACAACAACACAAAAGTACTCATCTAGAGCTGAACCGAACTCTGAGTTCATTACATTATCTTTACCATTGTAGTCAAAAAAACGCAACATTTCCGAAACAAAGCCCTGCCAAGAAGGATAAACTTCTGCATTAGAAACAGCTGTTCCCTGGTTTTAGAAATAATTGATACTTAGATTTTGTACTGAGAGAATAGGTTATCGATTTCATGGAGCAATGAATGAGGCCCAATGATGTTTTCTCTGTGCGAGTTTCTTCACGTCTGCACAATATCGTGCCTTGAGTAAGATTGTCTTGAAGCTATTAATCTGAATAAAAAGTTTTAATCGCCTCAAGGATTCACTCGAGGGGACAGATATTTTGGTTTAAAGCTCACGGGATACTACAATTTTGAAACAGTTTTTCTTGGCAAGATGAATCAAGCCTAACTGTAGTTTTCTCTTCCGACTGTTTCTTTTTCATCGCGTCTCACTGACGTTTCTTTGAACGTCCGCACTCACCAACTACAATATTATCAGGAAGTTAAAAAAGATGATATTGGACGGTAGAAAAGCTAATACATACAGAAATCAGCTCGTTAATCGCGTAAAAATTTGTATTTTTGATAAACTGGACGTGTGAAAAGTTCAAAATGCACTTAAAAAACTCGTAGAGAGAGAGTATTTCACTCGCAGTGCTCCGACAATGGAATTCCCCCGCTGCATGGACAACTTACCATTCTTTAGATCATCGAAATCTCTGGCTCTTCCTTCCCTGTCGGTGTCTGGTGCATTTCGAGATTCACCCTCAGCAAACTGCACTCGACTCCTCTCACAGTAACACTCGCAGGTGCAACGAGGTATAGACACAACTTGATAAGGTGATACGGCCCCGTATCGCATTCCTGCCAGGCGATACGGATGGTGATGCGAGTATAGATAACGATGGCGTAGGAGATCCATAATGTATGTGGTCGATCCTCGAGGCTCGCTTCGTAGAAACTAAATTAACAGGCAAACTCGCTACAAATATAGAGGACGAGTTTACAAAGCTGTCCAATTGTGTGTTGAATGCCCGCAACCCTTAATTGAAGCTGGTGTGAAAGACGCCTGCCAGCCAATACCAAGAGAGCGTGTCAAAAGCTTCATTTCTCGCTTTGTTAAGCGACACAAAAAATCATCTCCAAGCGAGCGCTCTACTACGCATCATCGTGTTGCCATGGAGGTTACAGTCAGGAGGAAACTGTCCCATTTCATTGATCGGCCGTCAACTTTGATTTCACTGTCTTAAACAACCACTTAACAGAGTTTTTAGTCCATCCAAATAGTTTTTTCACCTGATTAGGAAAATCTAACCCACAATCAGGTTTTACCCACAACTTAACAAAATATCTTCTATTTCACACCTCAACGGCATTTGAAAGTGTGACATTGTTTCGCCGCCCGCCGAATTATCTCAGTCAAAATAGAACACACGGGTTTCAAATGAGTTGGCCCGGTCATTTATCGACAAAACGAATTAAAGCATTCTTACTTTAAGCCTTTAGCTTACACATGTTTGTAGATAAAGAGCATTCGTTGTAGGAACACCAAATGATAAAAATTCCTTCTCATTTTGAAACCCGACACTATATCCTGAAGGATAACTCTTAAAGTGAACCTAGATCAGTAAAAAGTATTCGTGTCAAACGCTCTTATTTTCCGCATTAAGACTTCACTAGTTACTAAAAGTTCAACGAGTAAAGACTTTTCATGACAATCTGACTGACAAATGCAAAACAACCATTTATATTATTAACACTTCCATAAGCAAAAAGTGAAGAAGAATTGGCCTTCAGGTTCTGTTCTTCGTCAAACCAAATCTCCACGTGACTCGCAAATGAACTTGAATGATATTATTTAGCAGCACAGGAACAAATTTCCTTCAAGTTGGTTTTTCGTGCATGCAATTAATCAAAGTTTACCTCGCGACGAAGACTCTTTAAGCCAACACCTTTTTAAATGGACTCCTCTTTGTCTCTTTAAATGACCTTTTTCAGATAAATTTTCACTGTAACTTGAACTAACACAAGAAAACTGATGTTCACTTAACTTAAAGAAACGCTTCTTGCTGAACTTGAAGGCGACTGAACAACTATGCTGACACCGCGCGAAAAAGCTGCATGGCATTTAGACGACACTCAAATATAGATTTTTAATATGTTATTCCTCGTGTGTTTGTAGAGTAATCGGAACAAACAAATGAAAAAGTTGTATGAGAAGAACTCAACCATTTGACTAAGACAGCTACATGGATTGCAAACCGCTGTTTTAAAACAAAAAATCTGGTCTTCTACTCACTCACTTTGCCGAAATAATTGCTGTGCAAAACTGTTTGATTTGCTGATAACAAGTTTTTTCTTACTTTTGCGAGTTATCAGTTAAGGAAAACAAAAGAACAGGTTGCAATGAACACATAATTCAAAATGCTTTTCAAATTAATCCGCACTCGTCGCCGATATCTTTGAATCACTTGAGATTAATTCTGTAGAACAACAAATCCCCTTTTCTGAAACTCTGAAGTGCTTTCAACCGCTCATCTCGTTAACAAGAGCAATCTGGTAACTGATAGCGCATATGAGCTTGAGCCCTATTATAAAAGATTTTCATTGCTTCTGTAAACAACTAACAAAGCTATAATCATTACCCCATTTAAATCAGTGATCAGAGTTTGATTTCAGAAATATTAACATACTAAACAAAGCACGATATCTCTTAAACTCAACCTACGCAACACTAATTACCACTTTTATTCGGCGCAACAAAAGTTCATTTGTTTTTATCGTTTTCATTTGAGCTTATTTGTTGATACGAGGGCTGCATTTTCTCCTTGTGATGTAAATACACGATGCAATTGGCTTTTAAACCGTTAAAAAGATGTGTTATATGGATTGGTCGAGTTGAAAATTTACAAAATCGTGAGGGATAAAATCACCTTCATACCAGCTTTGTCCGTTGATTCGGGAGAAGCTTATATTTTTGATAGCACGAACGAAAACTTTTTTTTAATATTTATCGATCATATCCCGATTTGCTCATGTAAAATTAATTGTATTAACAAACCATTCTTTTTCCCGCTTTAAATGTAACTCTATCAAATATCTTAGGAAAAATGAAATATTCATAAATTGACTTAACAAAAGGAAGCTTTGCAATTTGAGATATGAGAAACTAAACTTGGATTTGAGCAGACTTTTTTCGACGTGTCCGGGGTACAATTTTTTGTCTTACACAGGCAACTACCACTTTCAGCCTGAAAAATTGATATTTTCGGGTATTATAGGGCCTTGCAGCTTTTTCGCAGAAAGTTGTGCGCAATTTTCAATTAATGAAGATTTTAACTCGCTGAAATGAATGGTGAAACACAACGGGGCAAATTACGCGAAACATTAGTGAACAATGCGGGGTAATTTACGTAAAAAGGCGTCGGTCAGCTGTGCATACAGTGTGTGGCTGGCAGCATATTAACTTCAGAGGATGTTAGATGAAAAAGGCATCCTGAATAAACGTTATGGTGGTCGCGCGCAGTCCAGTTTTTATTACGAAACGTAAATGAGTGAAGCTCAATCGCGAGTGATAGTCGCGAAATTAATGATGAGTCGACAACATACGTGACTGTTTGCATTGAATATTAGAAACTGATTTATACCGTCTCCAGGCGATCATGAGAAACGATAACGACGTCGCAAACCACTGGCAAAACCCACCTTGTGACACTTAAGCGGTTAAGGGTGTACCGTATTTAAAAAAAAGAAAAAATTAGTCAGTCGTCAAAGTAAAATTTAATTATTCCTTAGAACTTGATCGGCTTGTACTTCATATAACTCTCTCTTTTTCGATCAAATGATCATCCGATGTTGTTTTTCATGTCCTTTATCTATTTCCCTTGTTCAAAACGTTTCAGCTGTGATATAACCAACGTCCATCGTCATTAGTGCGAACTACAAACGAAACTTTGCCTTATACGTACTCAGAGACCCCGCATAAACACGTGACGTTTGAAGGCAGTGAAATAGCCGCGTCGATGGAGAGAACTGGGGACGAGCGACAACTTCATAATCGTCTTTAACAGATGGCGATTATGTTTTTTGCTTCTTAAAATTTACCGAGAAGCTGTTTTATGAGCTTTCATAATAATCATTTACACCATTAAGGCTATTCCAAAAAGTTAGATTTCCTAATGCGTTCTTCCGTCCATTTTTCCGAAGATTGCCCGAAAACCAGGCGAAAGCGTCCTTCGTCTGATCTGGTAGTTGAAATTTTTTCTGAATGTGTATTTCCTAACGACCGTAGAAATGTGACGAAAAGTAAGGCTATGTAAGGAGCAATCTCTTGGTACCTACCTGAAAGGTGTTATTTAATTATTTGCTAACATTGTTACGCTTCTTTCGAGATCAAAGGGAGAATTTGTTAAAAGATCTGCTCAGTTGATGACTTTTTCGCTTAGGCGATTTAGCACAGGAAGCCCAAGTTCAATGTACAGCTACACCTGTCAAATACTGTGAGGATAAGCTAAAAAGGTTACAAGGATCTCAATGGGAAAAACGGTTGTACGTAGGATCCTAAAATGTTGGTGCTTCAAAAAAAAAAAAAAAAACAGAGACAAAAACAAAGGAAATGGCACACCTCGCCTCTTGCGAGTGCTTCCATACAGCTCAGAATTGGTTCAAAGCTAATAGGGTGATTTGAAGTTTCTTCTCTTAGAGAAAAGCATGGGAACTAAAACTCACCCAACTCTCAAAGTAGTTAAATTTAAGTGATGGGGTGGGTGTGGAAATGATCTGAAATGAAACATCCCAGATCGTCAGAAGTTGGCCAATTGAACAATCTGAATTACCTAAGCCTGAATACTTTTTTTGAAGCAGAATGCACGCCTCAACCCTTGACATTTGACGGTATTTTTTAGTCCAAATCAATAAATACATCACCAAGCTGCACTCCTGCATGAAAGAAACTGAATTTTTATTGATGAATAACATAAGGTTTATGAACTTCATATACAATACTCATAGCACATGTGTACCAATCAAATGGAAAGCAAAGTAGAAAAACAACAACAACAAAAAATAGAATAAGTTGCATGCATAAGTTTTTTCTCTTCCAAGTACATTAGGACCATTCTCACTTTGACACATTCACATAATGCCCCCTTGGATTAAATTTCTGCATCATCTTAGCCATGACCAAACAAGTGAAATGTCACAAAAGAAAAAACCCTGCTGTCTATGAAAACATTCAGTTTAAAACACAAATGCTGATAGCATTTTTTTATTGTGCTGAGGAAAACACAAAAATTGTAATCATAGGACACTTGTCTCAATTTAAATACAACTCTTTCCTTCAGTAATATCATATTATGTAGCTATTTACTTAATTCATCAATACTATTATAATATTCATTAATCTAATCATTGTAATTGTTATTTTCTGTATGCTATCTATTCTCTAAATAGATAGCATGGATTTATCTCAAAGAACATTTTTGGATTAACATTTATATAAACTGTAGCTTTTGCATAGTAAAAAAAAAACAATGTCATAGTGGTTTGCTAACAGACCAATAAACAATTAACATCATAAAAAAATTATATATCAAATTGTTAAACAGACTGAGTTTTGAGATTGCAAAGAGTGACCTTGCCTTTCTGAGATTGTCTTCAAATGTGCTAAAAATCTGACTGAGAGGAGGGGGCTTATTACAAATGTTCTGCATGGGAGTGAGGAGGGAGTTATTGAAGTGTTTCTTGTTAACACTCAGGAAGACTGCAAACAAAGTTGATTTTGTGAATCAGGTTGTGTTCATGTATGTCATACTGTGTTATTTAACCCTTTCATTCCCAAGATTTATAAGTAATTATCCTTACTGTCTGCCATAAAATTCTTACAATCTTACTATAAAAATTTGACACTGAATCAAATAATAATTCTCAATTGATATATATATATATATATATATATATATATAGGGAGTCTGCAAGTCGATTTTCGTGTGGAACAGTGCTCAATACGTTGAAGCAGAGCGGAATAAATATTTTAAGAGGAAAAAAAGGACGCAACTACATTTCCCTGACAAGCCTGTTTCGTGAATCGCTTCACTCTTCAGGGGTTTAAGAGTGAAGCGATTCACGAAACAGGCTTGTCGGGAAATGTAGTTGTGTCCTTTTTTCCTCTTAAAATATTCATATATATATATATATATATACACTAAACCAATGAAAAATGAAAGACTTCTTTTAACTTTTACTTTGCTTTTGTGCTATGCGTTTCACCGCTGTTGCGGCTCTTCAGGCACAGCAAAGTGTGGTTATTGACTTGTTACGTCACTGATCTAATTGTAATTACAATAATAATGGCTGTTGTAATTCAAAGTGCGTGCGAGCAATTAGTGTGATTTCAAGCCATTAAGAATGGGTTTATATTTCGAAATAAGAGAGGTTTTTTAATTTTTATTTCTATGCCTGAAGAGCCGCAACAGCGGTAAAATGTGTAGCGCAAAAGCAAAGTAAAAGTTAAAAGAAGATTTTTGTTTTTCATTGGTTTTAGTATCTTCATTCAACACAGAAGTTTACAGTTTCTTTATATATATATATTTTAAATCTTGTCACTCCTCTGCTTGATATTGCATTACTATTTTTAAAATCCACACAAACACAAAGAGAGCTTTGTATGCTGGTTCTAGAACCCCAATTGTCTCTGTATGCTTAGTTAGATACCCCCAGAAAATATGGTAATCCAGTAACACCAACTCTAATTCTTATCCATCTTTTATCAATATCTTTTAGTAAATGCAGTCTGACTTCTCTTTGGTACAACCTGACGGAAACCTTAAGAGTGACTCGTATCTAATTTATCCCTACAGTATCACCCCTGTATCAACATCAACCCTTTTAACCCCAGTAGTAACCAGCATCTAATTTCTCTGAACAATATCACTAACTGATCAAATGTGCAGATCACAAGAATGAAATGATTACCAAAGATGAAATGTCTTGATGTTTGAACAAATTCTCTCAATCCATAAAATAGGAAACATATGGAGAACAGCGATGAGAATGTACATGTTGATATTGCAGCTCAAAGGGTTAAGAGTATGACCAGGAAAATAGGTTGGCAATGATAGAAGCAGCTTGAATGTTAAGAAAATTCTCCTTTTCAGTAACATAAGAAATTTATGGAGAGCAGTATGGAGAATATGCTCATTGATGTTAAGGTGTAAAGAGTCAATTTATTCATGGTTATAAATAATTGCTCCAAAATACTTTTTTGCCAAAAAATTTGCATGAATGTAAGGTTGTAATAAGTTTGGAACAAGTCATTTGGTTAAAATTATCTCTCTGGAGATCTTGTTGTAATAATGACTGATCTACCAAGAAGGAAAATTCAGTTGAAATTGTTTTAAAAATGTTATACCTAGGATTAAACTCCTTTTTTTAGAGATTCCTGACTTGACTTTTACTTTAGCAAATAAAGCAAAAGATCAGAGCAGAAATCTTTAACAAATGCCCTCCTTGATTGAGATAATATCCATAAAACAAAAATAAAAAAAAAAACAGTCAAAATAATATTCCAGCATAAATATCTTAAATTTTCTGAGCATTCCAAATTAAAGAAACATTTCCTTTGTTTTTTCAAATGGTAGACAAAAATAAAAGCAATGCAGAAGTTATGACTAATAAATTATATCTATGTTGAAGATGAGGGCTCATTTGATTATCTGAAAATCATTATTAATTCACTCAAGCTACACATGAATAGTTTGCCTGACATCTCTCGCACAAACACATTTTGCCACTTAAAATTGACAACACAGAAATATTTCCATTTGATGGAAAATTTTTGAAGCTCTCAAAAAATTAATATCCACGATTTTTTAAAATAGGAACGCAGAAATCTTTAGAAATCCTAAATATAATAGAAGGTACAAGAAGTCATTACATATGCAAAACACGTCTAGTGTACGGTTGGGAATTCGAAAGGTGAAAATTCAAACATTCAAAATCAAACAATTTCCTTAAAATAAAACTGAGAAAATATTTGAATTTCAGGAAAGAGTAGCATTCTATTTTTTAAAAATTTATCCTTCATAAAGGAAAGATTCGAGTAAACCGTATAAACTCTATTACTGAACTGTAAAACACGTAAACAATTGTTCCGTAAGGAAACCGACTTAGCGCTCGCAGGGTGTGTCGACGATAAGAATTAAAATTGTAAAAAATATTTTGAAGTATATCTGATGGCTTAATATTTACCTAAAATTTCTTACGACAAGTTTTCATAGGCCTTAACTGAAAAGATGGGCTTATGGCGTCCTTAAGAGAAGCAGTCCTAGAACGAAAACTAAATTTCTATTCACCAATACTTGCCTCGGAACGTTTTAGCGCCAATAAATGACCCGACGCTAAGATGATACGCGTAAAACCTTCGACAAAATCTGGTATATTATCTCTCGAAACGCATTCTATTTCTACTGAATGAATAAAAAAAACTCTTGATTTTAATTTCATAGTTCAAAAAATTAATGAAAAGTAGCAGTACTCTCACAAATGAATTTCATCTGTTGTCGCTGACTGACCCTTTGAAAGTAGATATTGTGTTCATCGAAGGTGCGTTGTCTTCGAATATACGTTGCACCGCTAAAATGGCAAAATTAGCCCCATAATGGACAGATCTGTTGATAGAAAACAAGAATAAAATCCTTCTGTAAAATTAAAATTGAAATAAGTCAAACAAACTTGCTCTTAAGTCTAGAAAAAGACAACGATCTTTGCATCGTAACGATAACTGTAATGGACAAGATGGCGGTGCGGCGGTTGTTCGGAACGTGACTTATGAAATTCTCAACAATCTCCCTTAACAGAAACGAAATCCAGAAATAAAATCTTCCCTTTCAAGAGGAGAGTGATTCCCAAATTTTTCTGTGATGAAAAGCTTCATTAACCCATTTTCAAGTGAAATATTAGCGATTGTAATTCAAAGGTAAAGAAGAAGGAAGACAATCGAGCAGCTCGAACCACAACTAGACACAAATCTGTTTCTGTTGGTATACTCTTAGTTTACGTCGAATTTTCCTCTTTACGACACAAAAAATTTACCTCTTACACACAAAGGATTGGAATAAAGTCATATAAGGCAAATAACACTTACCCTGGGATAATTTTAGGCTGAATTAATGTCAAAATTACTGAAAGTTGCCAAGTTGAATAGATTTTACGGATCAAACAAGACAAATCGCCCCAACGGCTTCAACCAAATACTACATTCTAGTGAAGTTTTGAGGCCTAAATTAACCAGTTAACCACTAAAATCTATGCCAAATGAGTATTACTGACTTTCAAGCTCGATTCTAGCTAAAAAAACTTACAAAAACGAGAAATATTGGGATTTTAGGGAAAATGTTTACGAGGAAAGCAATTACGACAGAGTCGCAGCCACTTGTCGAGATGTGTTTGTTGCTTGCATTTAACAAGGTTTTAAACTCATTTTCACGTCTTCCCCAGCTCTCATTGTAAGTTAGATGCAAATATAGATGGTTGGACTTTTATAAAATAACTAAAAAGTTCAAACTTCTTCCAGATTGCAAAAGCTGCAAGAGTTTCTTTACAAAATGTCAAACTAAACTAAAATGGAGTTTCGCGTTAAAAGTTAAACTGCAAATAAGTGGTTGGATAAATTTACCGAAACTTACCACCTCTAGGAGCTCACACTAAGTAACTTTCGTTTACGACCATTACTTTGGAAATCGCTCCAAAAGATTATCCAACATAGGACGAAACATTGGGACAAGAAGCACAACTAGGCCAATGGCCGTCTGAAATGGCAACAGTTCGTGTGTGTTTCCTCAGTGGTCCGCACACGATGTATGAATAAGATGCGCGTTCGTAGCTGCGTCACTTCTCCCCAAGCGACTCCGAGTGAAAGTTCGTGAGTTTGATTGTTTCGCGATCGATTTATTCCGTGGAACCTCGTTACTACATTAATATAATCAGTCACCATGGGCGATGCACCGGCAGCCGCAGCTAAGGCACCCAAGAAAAAGGCACCGAAGAAGCCCGCCGAGCACCCGAAGTACGAAGAAATGATTATCGCAGCGATTAAAGAGTTGAAGGAGCGAACGGGATCTTCACGCCAGAAGATCACGAAATATATATCGGAACATTACAAAGTAGGAGATAATGTTGCCGTACAAGTGAAACTCAATCTCAAGAGACTTGTGGCTGCTGGCAAGCTAATTCAGGCCAAAGGAGTAGGAGCATCTGGTTCTTTCAAGGTCAACAAAGCTGCTGAGCCGAAGCCTAAACCTAAACCGAAGAAGAAGCCTGCAGCCAAAAAACCGGCAGCCAAACCCAAAAAGAAGCCGGCAGCCAAGAAACCAGCCGCCAAAAAAGCAGCAGCTAAAAAGAAGCCTGCTGCCAAAAAGAAGACTGCGAAAAAACCAGCTGCGAAAAAACCGGCCGCTAAAAAATCCCCGAAGAAACCAGCCGCTAAGAAACCTGCTGCGAAGAAAGCTGCAAAGAAAGCAAAGACCCCAACGAAGAAGACACCCAAGAAGAAGGCCGCCAAGAAATGAGCAGAGTGATGATTAATTGAGGACTATCTTCTCTTACTGTTCATTTTAGAGACTGCGGTTTCCGTTGACTTAGTAAGTTAAGAAAAAAAAAAAAACAAACCTTTGCTATAGCGGAGGGTGCCGAGCGTAGTCTAGAAAACAGAGATAGTAAGAATTCAGAATTCTATTAGTAGATGTGTATTTCCGTTCAGTAACAGGTTTCTTTTTTTGATAGACATTTATTTATGTAAAATACCGGTAACAGAGTCGTGTGAGTTGCGCGAAGGTTTTGTAAATAAATCGAAGAAGGAAACGAATTTTTTTCAAACAATCAATGTCTGTCGTATTTGTGGCCTTGTAATGGGTTTTGTCCTTGTCCTAAATTAGATCCAGTTTCCAACCCTTCCCTCTGTTCTCCATAGAACTCCAAGTGAGTCACAAGTATACTCATAGTGATCAAAATTCCCGACTCGGGACTACACCCTTAGCTCAGTTCCGCATGATTTTGGCAACGATGAGAGAATGCATAGGGAATGGAACGAGGGCACAGCCCCTCCAGACATAAGTTAAGGGGTCTCTAAACAATTGGATCTCGAAACGGGGCTTTAGTATGGTTCATAACAGGCTTGAACGTACTCCAAGAAAGCCTGAGAACATGTCACTTCGTGATAGTTGCCCTCTTCCGTAGACGTCATTACCCTGTGGTTTGTTTTCAGTGAGTCGCCGCCTTCCGTTCCTCGGCATGACCCATCTTTCGAAGACTACCGAAGATACTTAACAAATTGCCATTTGGGGCAAGGCAGAAACCTTCAATTCACGGACCGTCATCTTTTCAAGGAGAGTAGCTATGAATTTAAGAGATCCTCGCAGCTAAGAACACTACTGAACAAGTAGTTAAAAAAAGAGCTGGAAAAAAATTCAGGCCCGTCGGGATTTGAACCCATGACCTCTACGATACCGGTGCAACGCTCTACCATCGGAGCTAACAAGCCAACTGGGAGCTGATCAATATATATGATATATTAGATATATTTTTTTAAACCTAGATGAGCTCTCAAAGCTGGGCAAAAATCAAGGAAGTTTTGGGATGCAAAAAATGCCACACAATTATGCTTCAATTTTTTAATGAACGGAATTGTTAGAGCTAGCATTCATATTTACAATTATAAACAAGCCAGTGTTCATAAAACAGACGAGGTCGTACGAAGCTGTCAAGATCAGCTGCGTTAATCCCTTGAAACTAACCCAACGTAGACACAGCCGGTAAAAAAAATGCACGAGTCAAGCGCTTCATACAAAATGTACGTTTTGATTTCTCTCATTTCCACGTTGTTTGCTAGCACTAGGCCCATGTGCCTTGTGCTCTTCATGGACCCTTTGTTGCTCGTGCTCTCGGGTGAACTTTGTTAGTGTCCCGCGATTTAGACCATGCCTGGTTATTAACCGTTCCTAAGTACTTCTAAGGGAGTTCTTTGTCTTCCAAGTATCTATACTCAAAAGTAAAGCCTTCTTTTTTCCTTTGACCCCATTTTTCGTAGTCAAAATAGATGTAGGTGCCCTGAAAGAACAAGTGCAAAAGTTAGTTTTGCCATACGCGCGAGTCCACGCCTGTGAACGAAAAATAAAGCTGCCACGCACGGAAACCCTAGAGTCACCTCATGAAACAATTGACAAATGTTTGTAGTCATTCCCAAGATGCCGCTCTATGCCGCTCTTTTTCCCGCTCTAAAAACCCCGGTGCAAACTTCTAAAAATAACCAATCTCTCACAGTTTCCCACACTTAAAGCCAAATATTCAGGCTTATTTTGAATGCTCGCTAGCTTCTTGTTATAATTCCCTTTGCTGTTATGATTTTGCCACTCTCTACGCCCGACCATGCCTTTCTGTTGATTGGTTATTCGATCCGTGGGCCGGCAGAAAGGAACAGAAACTAAGCTGGTTTTTCTCTTTGGATTAAAGGATATATACTGGTCACATATACTTACTTGTTCATATTCATCCGTGATTGCCTTAGGTTCTTCGTGTCTCTGAAACCACATCATGTACTTGGTGTGAAATCTCCATGACTGCTTCTTCAAAGCCTTTGCTGCTAAATACTGTGCTCTCGTTCCCTAAAAATTCCATCAACAAATTCTCATCAGACTCACCACATTTTCTTGCAATTTTCAGAATCGAAAAACTGTTAAACCCTCAGTCAACTGCGTGGTGTGATAACCACATTAATTCACACACAGGAAATGTATAGAGAACCTGCCGATGGTGTAAATGGGAGCTATGCCGAGAAGCCAAACCCAAACAAAGGAGCCAGCTGGCAGCCTAAACAGACGGTGGTGAGAGGACTTATAGGCCGGCGATAAACCAGCGGTAACCGGCTTTAATCAAAACACCAGAGAACAGTAAGGGATATACTGACGTTGGAAGATAAAAGATCAAGATACAACAAGCTCATCTCCACTTATTTAGAGAGGAATGTATAAAGGACTGTAAGAGAGTATTAGAGAGTATTACCAATCCGACCGCGGGAGCCTCAATGTTATTCGAGCTCTCACGTTCGAGTATTAACTGAATGTGACAATAATAAAATAATCCACACACGCGTAACGCTGTTGAAATTCAGAGGCTCACCTCTTGGTAGTAAAAAATAAAGAAGAGCGTCTCCGTGGACAATCTTTGGAAGAATTCTATCGAGTCTACATGTTGTGGGGGATGTTGATGATGATGCGCTGGTGTTGGGTAAGGGCTGCGCTGTAAATAAGGTCTGTTGACAGAAGAAAATCAAATTGATTCTCAAATAATTTGCCTACAGAAGAAAAAAAACAACGTGACGTACAAGGATAAGTTGAAATATTATCATTTATAGGGTTAATTTTCACACACAGACGGTCTACATCAGTAACACAGAAGAACTAGTAGTATCACTGATCCTTCTCCTACCCCTGGGTGGGTGACAAAACATTACAAGTAGCCACAAATAATTTGTCAGTTTGCCTTCTAACTCTTCCATGAGGAGAGAAGGAAGGGTTAGGCAAATGGGTAACTCTCTCAATGAAATGATGCACTGATTGATACAGAAAGAATCCTTACTGTAGAGTTTGATTAAATTTAACAGATAAGTGCTGCCTTCCTAATTTTATAAATGAAAGCAGCATACATGTTGTGGTAGAATTTTACCCTTCTACATAATAAATTTTCCTCTTTTAAATTAAATTACAATTGAAACCAAGTACAAAATTTATCAACACCTCACATGTCAAATGAAACTCCATATGTGAAATATTGAATTTGAATGCAAGCTTGCATACAGATTGGAAGGAGACGTACAGTTAATTTGAGTTGAAAGAGTGACTGTGGTTTTCAATTTAACCTCTTGCACTGGCACACAAGTTCAGTAAAAGATATACTGTACCTGACTTTCTCCGAATCAGCTGGAAGAGGTAGGTGGTGATATGCAGTTTCCAACATAGCCAGCTGATAACACCTCTCCTTGTTTAGGGGCACAGGACCTAATGGAGCCACACCCAGTAATGGCTGGAGATGCGCAGTATTTGTCTCTTGCAATGCTTTGGTCTTATCTGTTGTTTGACTACTGCTTGAGTCAAACAGACCTGACATACAGTAAAAATACAATAATAAAAATAATGGTAATATAACATTATAAATGAGAATATGGTAAGCATCAGAAGCAAAATCATTTGCCTGTCAATGTAGTCACTTTCAATATGGATGGCCACTATTTTTTTTTTTTTTGTCTTCGTGAATACTGCAAGACTTCATTATGCAGTCAAAACATCATAATCCACATCAAAACTGACCACAGATCACGAGACAAACTATTTTATTTCTTTTACAAGTGCATTCACCAGAATGACTAACTGCAACCCTTTTAACAGTGCACACAATTGGCATTTGGTAATTATGCCACGGTTTTCATTTTGCATGTGATAAAAAAGAGTGATCAAAAAGAAACAGAAGATCTGTGAACAGACTACCATAACAAGTGCCAACAACAAACCCAATCCTCTCACAGTCACCTCTACTTTCTGTGCTGTAGTCCGTTGGCGTTGAGATAGAATTGTTCAATCCAGCTGTCGCCACTGCTTGAGCAGCCATGGACTTCAATGATGAGAATGAATTAGATGTTGAAGGCTGCTACAAATTGAAGAGGAAAATAGCGATCATGTTAAAAAGCGCTCTTCTCTTTCAATTTAACAAATGCAGTAACAGTTTTAACATCACATCCACACTGTTACCTGGTGAGAATGTAAGCAACTGTTACTGTCAGTTACTGATGGCATTGGTGTTGTCACTTAGGATTCATGTTGTTTCAGTCAGTGGTGAAGCATCACAAGTATTTTTCTCATTTCTAATTGATCTATTTTCATTGTATAATTTGATACTTATTGGCCCCTACATTTTAGCTTGTGCCATAGGTGTTATGGTTTATCAGCAGCCATGGTAAAGTTAAAAAACAAAATTAAAGAGAATGTAAAATGTTGTGAACTTTCAGTACCTGAGTTGGTCCTGAGTTTGACATGAGATGAGAACCACTTAAAATTGATACTGGTGGATTAGCAGATGATACTAAGGGTTCACTTCCCATTGACACTGTAGAGTTAGGTAAGACTGGGCCAGAATTTGATGAAAGGGGTGCAGTCATTGACAAGTTAAACCCACTTAAATCTGACCCTTGAGCAGAAACCGGTACTGAAGTTGGAGGAAGAGATGAGGTCATACTTGTGGACACTGGTTGTACCGGGACCTGTGTTGCAGATGTTGATGGCTTCATCCCCAGGACAGAATTAAGACTAGGTGATGATGGAGGTAAGGAGTTGGATTGTGAAGGTGGTACTGCTGTTGATATCGTTGGGGGAGAGGTAATGGACAATGATGCAATTGATGACACAAAATCAGCCACACTCGATGCAACACTTTCTGACTCTAAGACATAAAGGAGTAAAATTAGTTCATTCCAAAGAACACATAGTAGCTGCATAAGCCAAATTAGAGAACTATTGATTCTGAGAATAATGATACTTGTTACAGTTTTCTATCCAAACATTTCAGTGTTATGTCTTTCAAAGCTACAAGTGTTTCAAGATTAAGACTCCTGTGTACATAAAAAGTCAAGATATCTTTCTCTAAGCAGACAAAGAAAAAAACCAACCACATATTTCAAAATGAAAGAAATTAAAGAAAAAAGAAATAAATCAGATTATGAAATTCTAAAATAAAAATTAATTAACAAAAAAAAAAAAATATATAATCCATATATGCATGAAAGAGTGAAGGAAAAATGAAGTCAAGAAAGGAAAAAAAGCAATTAAACAAGATGGGCAGAGGGGAGGTCAGCCTGAGCTGATGGAAGGGAATTGGAAGAAGACAAGCTTCCTCTTTAGTTTTCTCTCCTTGTACCTAAAAGGCCTTTTAGCAGACTATCATTAAGATAATACCAGAGAAGTTAATCAAGACATAGAAATGTGCCTTAAAAAGGCATATCAAAACCTCTTTCACCTGTGCATTCTAACGTACTGTTGAAATTACCAGAAAAGTGGTTAGTATGTGTGGAGAGATCAGTGCCATTTCCAGGCGCTGAACTAGTCCATGATAAACTACTTGGTACTGTCGTTGATGCCGATGAAATATGATTCACTGGTCTTGTTGGTACTACTGAAACTGCAGGTGATGTAGGTGCACTTTCAACATGGTTTTGTTGTGCGCCTGCAGCCACAGCATATCCTGACACAGGTGGAGGAGGTGTGTTAGGTTGTGACGACTTTTGTACAGGCTCCTCACCATTACTGGCCTCATGATTTTCTACTGCATTTGTGTGGATTGTTGAACTAGAACAAAAATACAACAAATCAATTTAACATTATTATCAAGTTGGTCATGTCATGAGAGTGCAAGAAAAGTGTGGGGGGGAGAACAAATTTTGAAAAGTTCTGACATCACAATGACTCTATGTAAATAGATGAGTAAATTATCATTTTCTAATCCCCAATGGAGTTTTTGCCACAAAAATCAAGGCCAAAAATTTTCACATATTTTCTCTCTCTCATTTGTCATACATCGCAAGTGCACAATGAGTCAGTACAAAGAAATCTGCATTAAATTGTAAAACCTGACTACTCCAAATAAAGTATTTCACTGAAGAAAATATTTACATTAAGGCACATGGTAGTAACAAAACCACTTACTTAACAACTTTTGCTGGTGTATTACCTGATGGAAAACAACAAAAAGTAAACCAAGGATTTACATTTAAAACAATTTTGAACTGGCAGTGATGCAAAGTCAGATGATGAAGATGATTAAGCAATAAATATGGGTAGAGTTTACACATCAGAGCCCAGGAACACTTTTATGTCAACAAGAAAAGTAAAACAGTATCAAGTAAAGCCCTGTAAACTTGCGCAGCCAAGACTTAGGTAAAATAGATTATGATACTTGGAAATGTAAATGTGAAATGTAATTAGAAGAAATTACTTTGAGTTTCCAGTTAGTGAGAAGTTTGATTTAAATAAAATTAAGTCCAAGAGGTTCAACCACAACTGTGCAACATTGGTAGCAAAATCTACTTGATGAATCTAGCACAGGGCAAAGACTGACAATCTAATAACAAACTCAACTACCCAGCACATGAGCAAATTTAGTAGAACTGCACTAACTTTGAACAATCATAGAAGGCAAAAAAAAAAAAAAAAAAAATTTAAGTGAGCTGACACACAATGACTATAAAAGCTTTCCAAGAGAAATAGCTTTTAGTTTGGGTAGTAGTGAAAGTAGTAGCAGTAGACCTAATTTTACAAATGTAAGCAATATTTAACAGTAATTAAACTGATAAACTTTCGTTGATAAAGTTCTACTATCATAATGTTAATTTCATAAGTTTTATCATGTCTTCCTTAGTAAAGTGATTCACAGATAACTGCTTTGCAGAATGTTATAAACTCTGCAAGTTCAAATACTGGTATACTTAAAACTTACTAGCTTTTATAATTGTTGGACCAGTAGTGGTTGCTGATGTTGTCTGTGTAACTACAGGCTGACTTGAATTGTTCATCTTGAAGACTGATGTCCTAGGGGGTGAGTTGTTTGGCAAACTATTTGCTTGTGAAGCATCATTCTTTGAGTTTTTCCTTGGTGAGCTCTGTTGGAAACAATAAATTCATTTACATTATCAACTCTCCTTGTTATTACCAGAGCTGTGCTTCATCCAGCACAGGCGCTTGTGTCAACAAAAGCTTGTAAGAAAACAGGGCACCTTCCTTGGTCAAGAGTCTAGAGGCAGCCCATTATCTTCTAGGGAGCACAGCTTTGATAAGCAAAATAATACTTGTAAACAGGTACTATGAACATAACTGTGTTAAACAAACATACAGGTATTTTGAAAAACACCAGCAGTGTTTAGGAACAAATTTATACTTAGTAGTGTTTTTCAAAATTCCTGTCTGCCAATTTAATTGCATCATACTATGGTGAAGTTTAACTGTTTTCATAGACAGAATCCCATGATAACCACATGCTCAGGAATGATGCAAGCTAAGCAGAATCATAATTATTTTTAACTAAATGGTTCTCTTCTTTCTTAATTTTTTTTAATTTACAAAAATCCTATCATTTGAACCCAGCTCTCCAGGGAGAAAAAAAAAGACATCTGTTGCAGCTCCTTTCCAAACTTAAGAAATATCATTTGAATTTGATATGACCATGAGGATAAAACTGTTACAATCACACAAGTATGTACAGTTCACTTATATGACCACAATAATGGGACAAAACTGTCACCAAGCCACAGTTATGCACAGTGTACATATCAGTTTTAAATAAATTAGTTTTATTCACAACTGTAGGCTGACAAAAGACTCAGCCATTGCTTGATTTTCCAATATTAGGTAATGTACATGAATAAGCCTAGTAAAGATAAGAAACTTAAAATTCAAATCCAATAAATGTGCTTGTTAACTGAGCAAGAGGAAATCCTCTTTTAAATTTTCAAAGCAAAGTTTTATTTAGAGTTACCAGATTTATCTTGGTCCCTGTGCCAGAGTTTGGTCCAGTTGTGGTTGGTGTGCCTGGGGTGCCTGGAGTGCCTGGGGTGCCAGGAGAGTTTGGAGGTATTGTAGAACTTGGAGACATTGGAACATGATTGTGATTGACAATGATGTCATCATCTTCAGTAGGGGAAGTTGCCAAAGTGTTTACTATGAAGGAAAATTTAATAATACATACTAACTTAGTTGAGGTATAAAAATATTCCTGTTATTACGACAGTGATCACCAAAATTTGAAACATGATTGAACAAAATTGGTTAAATATAAATATTTTCCCATCTGGCCCTCTCACCCTGTCAATATGTACATACTGCTAATACTTCAAAAAATTGATTCATAACTGATTGAAACTAGGAGAAACACTTACGGGCTGCAATGTTTTCTTCAAGGTCAAAGTCATCATACATGAATTCATTTTCTTGGAAGTCGGGTTCCTACAAAACAGATTACATGCTCACAAAGATGCCAAAGCCCCCAAAACTAAACAAACCACAAAATCAATCATGAAATAAGACAAGCTGAATACCTTGTAGCAGTCTAGATAATAATCCATGTCTTCTTGTAACTTCTTAATCTTTAACAATGGAGACAAATACCAAAACAAAAGTTAAAGCCGGTTTTTTCAACAAAGTGGTAAATATGTTACACATAAGTAAGTTAGTTAACTGAGTCATAAAAACCCAGGAAAAAGCAAACAAAATAAAAGACATACATCATCTGGTTGTATTGTACAGTTGTCCAACATTCTAAGGATTGTCTGCAAAAAGATTACACACAAGCAAGAATTATTATCATCAATGACCCAGCAATGACATCTGAAGTAAATAAGAAGTCAAGAAACAAACTGACATTGCAATGTGAAAAAAGCAAAGTGCTTTGGTAGCAAAGTCAAAAATTATTCCATTGACCATGTCCCATAACTATCAAGCGCACAACAGAGAGTGTCAGCTACTGATGACAAGCAGTCCAAACCTATGTTTAATTAAACTATCTACAGTACATGCTAACAAGGAATGTCAAAACTTGACATTTACCAAAACAACAAGTAATTGAATTTCCCAGTCACAATATGACTCAATGAATGAATAAATGGTTTTCTTTTCCATCAAACATGCTTCTATTTCTTTTTTATTTTTTAACCATTATAATCACCAACACCAAAGGCAACTCATATTCTAATCACACCTCCCATTGTTGGTTGTGGTGCCGATGTCTACCAGCCCATTCTTGCAATTCATCCACCTTATCTTGTCTCTGTGTAATAGGAAAAGCAAGCCAATTTATTAGGGTTTGTACACTTTCAAGAGACAATTTTCTAGGACTTTTTCAGGACTTCAAATATACATAACAGTCCTTAACTTTCAGGGGCAACCAAGTTTCTTCTTACAAATTAAAGATGGCAAGGATGCCAATAAAGAAATACCAACAGTTTCAATTGATACTGGATTCCAAATTGCAAAGACTTTCCAATACCAGAAGTCCTCATTCTGAACTTTCCAGTCTAGGAAAATTATTTACCAAATTCCAGGCCTGTCATATTTTTAGGACCTGTGCAAATCCTGTTTATGGGTTTATTTACTAAACTACACCAGCCAAAAGCTACCAAACACAAAAAGAACAAACATCATTTCCCTATTTAGCATTTAGTTTCTTCAACAAATTTGATAAATTTTTAGTTTACTATCATCATTGCTCAACTAGTATGTAAGTGTTTACATGTGAACACAACTCTTACATCTCTATCAAGTTTCTTCTTGCGTGATCCTGCATACACTTGTTCAATTTCTGACTCAATTTGATCCACCTGGAATAAAAAGAAAACAAAATGACCAATCTCTAAGAAGACCTATTTAAAATCTTCTACATTCAATTCATACATTCAAAAGAAGGTACATATTTGTGAACCACAACCAAAACCAATGTAAACATGAGGCCATGCATCAACCATTACCGACATTTCATTTCTTTTAATGTGCTTGGGTAAACTCACCTCTATTTGTAGCCTTTCTAGGACTTCCTGCAATGAGAAAAGCAATCAGGGAACTTTAATATTTCCCTTTTGCTCCAAAATAGAAATAAAACTGGCTTACTTTGCTGATTCATGTGGTCAGCTTTCTGGGATAATCTTAGAAGTAGCAATATTCAAATAACATGGCTTGTGACAGGCAAATTCACTATTAACTCAAAAAAGAGACAATCATTCAAATTTCTGATTACACATAGTTATTGGGCAAACTCCCCAGAAAGATCACAAGAAAGAATGGTTTCACTTCTGGCTTATCAGAAATGCAATATGAGGATACAGTAGTCATCAAAACTCTTGTTAGATTTGATTAAATCCTCAGCCTATGGTGACTCTAGAAACTATACTTACTGTAATCCAAATACTGGCCTCCTCTCTCTCTTTGGTTGCAGGGTCTATCTTTGCAGCAAGTCCAAGTCCTGTTAACACCAAAATTATTATTTAGATTAAAGTATTCCCTTGATTAAGTGCCCAAATGCTTATTTAAAATTTCAGCGTGTTCAATGGTGGTTATTCAAGGGAGATGCTTATTATTCTCCTCTACCGATTCAACTGTGGTTAGCTTAAAAAGTTATCAATAAAGTGGCCCTAGAAATAGGTTTTCCTTGATTTCCTAATATTAAAGAAGTGAGGGAGGAAAAGGGGGGTGCTTATTTGGGAGGGACACTTGATTAACAATATTGCCCAGGAGGTGGGCGTTATTTGAGGAAGGATGCTTATTAGAGCGTGGGTGCTTTTTCAAGGAGACAAAGTATATAATTAGGTTCTGCACAAAACCCCTTCCTGAAGGACATTTGAAAATAATTCTCTTTTACAATATAATGCTCTGGTGACAAAACATACTTCAATTTGATAAAATACATACCTTCTTTAGAATAGGCCTTGGTTTTAGTCTCTCTCTCAACAACCTTGAATCTTTCCATTTGCTAAGAGAAAGAGACAATGTTTAATAACAAATTACTTCAACCTTTAAGATCTCAAGAATCCCTTGAGAAAGGTTGTAAGTTAATTATAAGATAACTAATCAATGTTTGGAAAACACTAAGTTAATTGCCGCCAATGTATAGCAGTCTTAATTTAACTATACCATAATTAAAAATGGCGCTACTCTTGGACGCCATTTTGAAGAAAACAAACTCTATACATTACCGTCTCGATAAGTTTTCTGTTTTCCTGGAGAGTTCTCTTGTCTTTGATATCATTAGACGCCATCCAGGTCTTAATCTGGTCTCGCAACCGCTGCAAGATATTCAACAAACTTTAAATTTCAAACTGGCGGCAAACTGAACTGGGAATGATGCGAGGGTTGTACGGTGTAATGACAAACGACAAAACGAACATAAATGAACCCTTTGCCAAACCTGTAGTTTCTTGATCTCCTTCTTGAGGTCTGCTTCATATTTTTCTTTTTGATTCGCGTTTGACGCACTGTGAACCTAAAAGAATACGTCACCTATTATTATCATCCAAACTGTCCAAGTGTGAGCCTAACGTGCTGAGAATAGCATCTCAATCATGGCCTGTTCGAACTTCACGGTTTGACTTATAACTCTTCCAATTACCTTTTGCCAGATATCTTCAAATGTCTCTACACCTTCTTGTACTTTCTTTAGGCAACGGTCAATTTCACCTAGGATTAAACAGGCAAAATGAAAAAAGGAAGTGGGACGAAATCTTTGCAAGTCAAAAAAACATCAAGGGAAAGCCATGAACTCGTCCTACCTTGTAGCTTCCGTTTATCCGCCATTACCTCGCTGCGTCGCTCTTAAGAAGCATAATTTCGTAGCTGGAATAACTACTGGGATATTCAGCGTTAAAATTCCGCAATGATTGAGAAAAGTGGGGGAAATTAATTCACGAACTGTAAGGGATAACTTGGCAAAATGATGCTTTTCACCTCGCCATAAAAAGTACTATGGGATAATTCTTGACAAAGCGCATGAGCACACCACCTACATGTCATGCGCTAACGTGTGTTTTCCATTCCGAGAAAACGAAGTTGAGAAAAACACGACATTGAGCCTAGCGGAAATAGCACTATTTTCTTCAAAAACTCCATTCTAAAGTGAGTATTAAATAGGGGTATATATACTCTTTCGTCGCTTTTTTATTATTTTATTTTCGACGTACTCGACAAGAATGAGCTCGTTACTCTATAGCTTGTTCCCAGGCTCCCAATCCGCGGCTGTAAAACGCCTGTCAGTTTTTCCCTAAACACACACTAATCACGCCATAACAAGTCACCCTGGGAGGTAACACCTGCGTTACTGCAAGACACTGAAATTTGGCAATAGTTCAAAAAAGCAGATGAAAATAAAAACCAACGCTTCTTCTACCAGCCTAAGACCACCTCTACCCAATTCCTCACTTTCATCCATCTGGAAAATACAAATAAATTATCAGTACTTTATGCCAACCTCCCCCCTGTCCCGCCCACGCGACTCTAAATCTACAAGAATCAAACGTCAATTTAGGTAGGATTCAATTCAGGAGCGAAAACCAGTGCAACCCGGTAAAAAACCTCGCCGATATCCTTCCGGCTAATCATTCGTTCGTCTCCTTTTACTGATATCCTAGCCGGCGCAGACTGTGGTTTCAATAGTTTATGAAGCAATTAGCTGGGGGTATTTTTGCTTCCATCATTTTCCTAGCTTCCTGCAGAGGCATATTCCGTTTCTTTTAAGCTGGCAGGTCAAGGGGTTGAGCTGGAGTCACAGAAAACATGGCAGCTTAATTTCTTACCTCAGTTTTCTGTTCAGCTGAAGGTACGAATATGACAGACCGTTTGTCCTTTCCTTTTGTTCAACTAAAAATGCCGCCTACGATTTGAATAACCCGAGTGAAAATTGAACGAATGGTAACGCTAATGTATGAAAAATTATTCGAATAAGAGCGAACGGCATTGATTATAGAACAAACAAAAAAGACAATAGCTTTCAACCATACCACGGGTGTAACAAAAAACCGATGAGAGTAAAGGGATGACATTTCACGGCCTCTTTACCAGAATAACATTATCTCAATGTCAAGAACAACGGATCTAAATTGTTGCACATGTGTCGAATTTCACATACGGTGTTTTTGGAAAAATTATAAAGAAGCTTTTCCATGATAAGCGGACCTTGACCCAAATTAGAGCCCAGTAAATATTAGAATTGAAAATAATCTTAATTCGTGACGCAGTAGTTTCTCCTCGACTCAACGAAATAGTTTCAAACTTAGCATAATGGCAAAAACATATTGAAAATGTGTCCAACGAAAAATAAAGATTTGTCGGATATAACTTAATTTAGAGCTCATTCCGTAGACAATATCATGTCTGTAAACTTAGTGGTATCATAATTTCAAAACGGCTCGATTTAATTTGTTAAAAATTAATATAGTGCGAAAAGAGAAAATCCTGAAATTGGAAGAAAATCTATCGAGGAACCTTCGAGACCGTCCCTTAAAAACTGTTTGATGGGTTTCCCCATGGTATTAGTATAAAAATAGCGATCGTCATGCCATGTCCACTACTTCAAGCTTCGATCCTTTGGTAAACAAATGTGTGAAATTCGTTCGACTACGAAAGTTGATTTTGGGGCGCTTTTGACATAGCCGGTAGGCGTCTTGGAAAACTATCTCTGACCACTTTGAAAAAAGAAGGCGGCTACATTGGCTGCTGCTTTCCAATGTATGAATTACCCCTACATTGAGGGGTTTCCTCCCTCTCCCCCCATGGCTTTTAGTCAGGTTTCCCGACAGTTTGCACTGCGAGAGTAATTTTAAAGTCTTGTAGTCTAGTGCCTAGACCTGCCACGGCAAAGCGGTTGTAGCAGTACGCGGTAGAATTTGGGTATGAGAGAGTGACCCAGAGGGATCGAACCCAGGCCTTTCGATCTACCTTTCAGCGCACTCAAAAAGTACAGAATAGCTTTAATAACATCTAATAATTGACTCTGACAGACAAATGGAGACCATAAAAGATTTGGTTGACTGTTTCCACAAACACTTCTGGATTCACTAGGCGGTTATTCTACGAGTGAACAAATCCAACATTTTGGCGTTAAAACTGCACAATGCAGTACTACAATAATGATATGCTCCTTTAAAAATACGCTACAAAGGTTTCTTTTCTTTCAAATATCCTGTGATCAGCAGAATGCCACCTTAACGCATAACGTTATGCTTTTAGACACCCACCATTTAACCAACAAGAAGTCGTGTTTCCGCGCTTCTTCTCGCGTGTGAGTTACCCTTCGCGTGCGCCTCGCACCTACCCACGCTCGCCCAAAAACACAAAACTTTTCGCTTGTCCCGCGGTCTAAGCCTATCTTTTCGAAAATGGTGTTTAGTTGTAAGGAAAGTTGATAAGCATCGACGTTATTGAACGAGAACTGTAACACGGTGGGAACTACACTGCAACACTTATTTAGAGAGAATCTTCTCTAGTTCCTCGACAGAGTTCACGGGAAGCGAGCAAGTGTAATTCTCGCACACGTAAGCTGTGGCTTTGCCATCCTTCCGTTCCAATGTCTTGAACACAGAGAGCTTGGATGCCAGGAACCCGTCTTGTTTACCATCGCATAGCATGAGGACTTTGTTTGGCATGTAATGGGAGTGGACGCACTTTAGGAGATCCTTGGTGTCTTGTGAGTCTCGATCGCCCGCAATAATAATCTGAAAAAAAATTTACTTTGAGATGAGGCAAGAGGTCATGTAACTGAACTAGTCATTGGAGCAATTTTCATCTGAGTGTATATCGTGATCCGAGACGGCTTTGGTTTTATTTAACTTTGCCCTGTGGTTGGTTTAGAAAACTCACACCATCGTCTCAACCAATCAGATGCAAAACCAAAAACAACCGCGACCTGGTCACTTGCGTTTTCCCACGCTTCAAGTCATTTGCTTGTTTTCCCTAAGGGGCTGCGGTACACACAAGAACTTAACTAAAATGTTTACCTGTTTTCTAGGTTGAAGATACATGATGTAGTTTGACACTAGTTCAGGGAGAGCAAGAGGAATCTTGGAAAGGAGGGTTACGGACGCCTTTATGATTTCCTCTGCCCTGGTTATGTAAGACTTCTGATCTACAAAGCTGGACAATCGAATCAAGTTACCAACAGACGTGGAGTTAGCACTGGGCTCCGCGCCATCTTGAGCTGAAAAAGTAAAGGGATATTTGAGTTGAGGAGTAAAAGATACATCGTTCCACACAACATATCCCTCGAATCCGGGGGCCTCCTCTTAGTTTCCAACAACTCATCTCTCTTCGTTGCTAAAGTTTTAGTGTGACGATGAGCATATCAGATGACGGGCTAACAAAGGCCTGGTTATTATGATCTCGGAGCTTGTGACCAGGATGTTGATAACCAGGCTGGAAAATATCCCATGTAAAAATTTTGTTCCGATCTGGAATTGCTCACTCGATCAGATAACAAAATTTGTCCCCTTAACCGGACTAGCGTGGATCCCGGGCTCCGATGAAGAGGCCTGTAGACACTAGTAACTTCCGATACCCCTACCACTCGCCCCTAACAAACACGAAAAAAAACCTAAGTCACTTCGTCATACAAAAATATGAGTCGGTGTTTCCTTGTTTCTGGGATTGAAGAACACAATTGGAAGGAGGCAGAGGCTGCCAAATACGTTTGAAAATAAACTTTGTCACACTATATTTTCTTTAGTCCTCAACTCCCACGAGTGACCGAGACAGAATTTCTCCTCACAATGTTAATACAAATAGTAAGCAGACAAGTGAGAGAAATACCGAAAAACATCAATTAGCGGATTATAAGTTGATCCAATAGCAAGTTCTCCGAACTAATATTACAAGAATTGTACGGCAGATAGAAAGGAGAATTACTAATGAGATCCTTCAAACCTTCCTTCATCCTAACAAGAATAGAAGGATCATCAGAGGTCGCCATGTAGTACCCAGCTCCTGCACTGTCCCAAAACAGTTCGTCTAATTTGGCTTGTAACGTTACGGCCCATTCCAACCACTGCTCGTCCAAAGAAGCCTCATACAGGTCTAATAATCCGCGAATCATGAACACATAGTCGTCTGCAAACCCGTCAATTGGTGTATCTCTAAAAAGACGGATAAAAAGATTGAATTATCCTCTAAATGCGTAGCCTACGAGCATTATTTCCTTTTAAGCGAAGTCCGTCGCGCGAGTAAAAAAATTGATTTTAGCGCGCTGCGGAGAAAGGGGCATGCAAAAAACTCCGCGTGGCGCACAACGTAAATTTTTTTTTGCCGTTTTTTTTTTCTGTTTCTTGACTCGCGCGACGGACTTAGTCGAAGATGAGGGACTGCTCGTAATCTGCCAATTACGTAGGGAACGTCGTTACTTACATCTGCATAACCTCGCCGCCCTCGCCTCGATAGCAACTCCGTAAGAGCTTCCCGGATTTCTTATCGAACAAATGTTTCTTCACGAACTCCGCTGCTTTTGCTGCTCTTTTCTCGTACACATCTTCACCCAGAACTTGGGCCGCACGCGCCAAACCGGAGATCATTAAGCCTGGAAACGAGCAGGAAAATTGTCACATTGTTATTTTAAGAAGACTTTTTTTCCCACTTGTCAAGGATAACGCTAATATTGAACAACGAAGCCTATAAACTACATTTAAAATTTGCTTCCATAAACTTAGTAGGTCATGAGAGCATAGAATTGTCTCTCTTTTCAAAGTTAATCATTCTTTTCTTTTCCACAAAACATTAAAAACCAGGAAGGTTGATCATTATTCTACCATTGAAAAGACGATAGCTTTACTATTGCGTAACATCCAATCGAAAACGTGAAACCAGAAAAAGCGCGGTAAAAAACACGTGAACCATATTCCACACGATTTGGATTTGCACTTGATTGGCTAAGACGACTGAACACTATAATTCTCGTACATAAATTCACCGTCATCCCTTCTCGCGCTGTTTTGATGAGTTTGCACTTGATTGGCTGAGACGACTGAACACCCTATTTCCCGTATGTAAATTCACTGCAGCCAACCTTTTCCCGCGCTGAATGCCATAGCATATTGGACCGGCATTATGAGGTTCCCGAGACACTGAAATCTACAAAAAAGCTTAGAAAATTCAATTACTGAGAGTTACCGTTCCAAGCAGTGATCATTTTAGTGTCCAAGTGAGGAGGTGGTCTGTTCCGTCGTTCCTCGAAGAGAATTTCTCGAGCTCTAGCAAGCTGCTCTTTTGCCTCTGCTTCGTCAACGTCACATAATCGAGCGCTCTCTTCCAAACTACCCCGCACAATGAGAACATTCTTACCTCGAAGTTCTTTATGAGGATCCTAAAAGAAATAAGATAAACTCAGGCACATAAGTCAGTCAATTGGTCCGCTAATCAGTCAGTCAGTCAGTCAAATAAATAAAGGGAGCAGGTTTCTAAAGAAACTGTGATGCTGCGTCGGTGGGAGAGTGTAACAGGGTAGTTTAGTATTGTCAACTGAGTTGATAACGTAAATTGGCCACCATAAAGAGTTTTAAAGCTAACAACTCTTTATTGCGGCCAATTTGTGTTATCAGCTCAATTGATAATACTAAATTACTCAGTCAGTTGGTCAGTCAGTCAGTCAGTCATGTTAATTAGTCGGTTAGCCAACCAGCCAATCAGTCAGTCAGCCAGTCTCTCGTTAAACATTTTAATAGAGCCAGTCAAGGAAAAGTTCTCACTGCGATTGGGATATTTCCACTTCAACTTGGAGTACATACACTAAACTCGTCTGCCGGAGACAAATCATTGACTCTGCATTTATTACGTTTTGGGGTTCCAAACTAGTTTTACTGGTTTTACCAACCTGGTGAGGTTTGACATTTCCCTCACTCTCCACACCATAGTGTTTTAAGAACATGAAGGACACAGGAACCTTCTCGCCAGATTTGGTTGTGACCTGTTCCTCCAGTAACAATTCTCTGATCTTTTTTTCCTCCCAAACACAAAAGGCTCCTTCTTGCTTGTGAGTGTCACTTTGACTTGGTAAGGAATCAGCATCTTCAGCAGAGAAGAAACCACCTGCCTGGTAAGTGGAATAAGGTGAAAAAATTAAATCTCATTGTCCCTTCCCACCTAAGAGTACATATGGTAAAAACAAACAGACCTGTCCAGAGTGAATAACTACACACCTAGTCACTTAATGCTACCAAAAACAAGATAGGCCTCAGCAGTAACCCTTTCATTTCTGGTCTCATTCAAAATTCTCTTTACTGTCTGCCAAACAATTCTTATGATGTTAGTTAGGAGAATTTGGTATTGGATCAACTAATAATACCCTAATTGGTATTTTTCTCGATTCTCATCACTTGTCTACTTGATATTGTACTGAGACTGTAAGGAGAAATTCTGTTTTGGTCACTTATGGGAGTTAAAGGATTCAGGTCTTCGCCACTAAAAAAATGTCAGTAGCTGTGGAGATTTATTTTAAATTGTGCACAAGACAAAGTTTCGCTTCCACATTCTTAAAATATTGTAGGAAGTTCTTACAGCTGTATTACTTTCTTTTTGTCACTTTTTTTGTCCTCAGGTAATAGAAGGCAAAATTTAATTCTTAGGGCCTAAAGGCCCATGATTGATCTCAGTTTGCATGCACCTACCACTAAATATGATTAGAGGTAATACTGCAATCTCATACCTTGTGGCTTAAGTCACGCATAACATACAACGAGATGTCTCTTGTAGTTTCTGCAAACTTGTCATTTTTGCTGGCCTAAGGGAAAGATCACAAAAGTTATGAGATCATCATAATTATGCATAAAAGCAACCAAGCATTTGTCTCAATCACTTCTCAGTCAATCTCAATTACTTTGTAAAGAGGGGAAAACAGCACTTGATCATTGCAGGTTGTGTGTGGTTTAGCTCCATCTTTCTGTTTATAAACTACACAACCCACAACAACAGCTCCAGAAACTCTCTAAGGTGGCCGTAGTCAACTCAGTTAATAAAAACCAAATCATCTTAATTAAAGTAGATATGTTTACAATAAACAATACCCTGAGTGTGTTATACTACCTGGAATCCATCAGCATACAGAGCAGCCAGCTGTGCCTGATCATACAGCATCTTCTCAAAATGAGGAACATGCCAGAAACGATCTGTTGAATATCTGTGAAAACCCTGAAAAAAAAAACATTTATTTCATTTAGAAGTGCATAAATGCTGGACTCTTTCAACCCTTTACACCTGAAAATCATCATGCATATTCTCCTTCCTGTTCCCTATAAGTTTCCTGAGGTGCTGACAAGGAGAATTTGTTAACAATCAAGAGCTTTTTTAGTTGGTGATCACTTCCTTCATTCTCATGTTCTTATTGTTTTTTTCACCAGTGATAATGTAAGGAGAAAATAGATGCTAGTCATTCCTTGGGGTTACAGAGTTAGAGGTTTATATGCACTAACAGTAAGTAGAGTATGCAAAGTTGAGATGTCAAAAGGCCCTAGATTTAAAGTATTGACAACATCAGGGCTCAAAATGAGACCATTCAATTCTGTGGGGGCAAGATGATCTATTCAGTTTCTCACAACACAAAGTCTCCAGCATGCAAATTTCAATTGAACATTTAGGTATCAGCTAGATGTCAGTTTGTCCTCAAGTAGGAATGTAGGGAGAAGTTACCAATGGGAGGGAGGGTACCTGGAAAATATGGATCAATGTCAGTATCTGAACAACTGTACACCCACCCCTCCCCTATTCCAACATTAACCCTACCTTGATATCAATTGACTGTTGTTGGGGTAAGGGAAGGGTAGGTGTGCAGTTTCTCAGATTCTGACATTTATACAAAAAAAATCTTATGCATTAACTTTGGGAACATATTAGGTTTATTAATCCCATTTATCGTTTTTTCACAACAAAAATTGGGAGTTACATTGACCATAGACCTCACCCTCAGGGTATTCCCCTTGCTACAGGGTCACTTGCTAGTAATTAGCCTTAAAAGCTAACCTGTCCAACATGATCATGTATTCCACCCTTATCCATGAATTCCAGAGTCTTCAAGACCATACCACGGGCCTTCTTTCCATCTTCAGACCCAGTCTTATAGGAGGAATATCTTAGGAGAAAGTTGAAATTGGCTGCAGAAAACAGAGACATTACAAATTAGATCAGTCACTATTAATGAAAGAGCTTTGAAGCTCCAACTTGTGTACTGCAGAGAGGAATAAAAACAACCTTTTGACAATGTTCTTGGGTAAGACACTACAGCCATTTAGAAAGTAATAAAAGATGTTTCTAAGAAAGCTAAAAGTCAAATATTTACTCACAGGCTTGAGGAAACTTTGGTGCCCCTCCATATCCACCATATTCTTCATCAAAACTTGTGCTCATGTCATTCAGCAGTTTGTCAATGCAGTCTGTACTTGGCATACCCTCTGTCTCACTACCTTTGTGCATTTCTCCTGTATGTTGTTGGATAGCAGTTAAAATTATATTTGCTTGCTGTGTTAGCTTCTCCCTGTTTTGCTCCCACTGAAAAAAAAAAAAACAGAATCACTTTGAGAGCTTGTAACAAGGAATAAAACCAAGAAGGAAAGGATTAACCTTTTACACTCAAACATCAGTATGCATATTCTCCATACTGTTCATTATAACAGTTCTTAAGGTGCTGACAAGGAGAATTTGTTTAACAATTAAGAGATTCTTTAGTTGGTGATCATTTCCTATATTCTTACGACCATCATGTGTGATTCAGGGGAGTTATTGCAAGGAGAAATTAGACAGTAGCCACTCTTAGGGGCGAAAGGATTAAAATCCTACCTGTCATTAACAACTTAAACTTGATCAGACACAAGCCAAGAAAATTGAGCCAAGAATGAAGCCATATCAGTAAACTTAAGGTAAAAAAGAAGCTCAAAACAATAAAAAGTCCCTTTACAGGTCTATAATTTGAGCTTGTTCAGTTTGGGTTTCCCTTTTTGATAAGTTCCTTCTGGAATTTTTTTTGCTGTGGTATCATGAGACTCAAAAACAGAAAGTCAAGGATATATGTGTATAATTTGTTTGCTGAATTTTTTCTGGGAGGCTTACTACAAATATATTCAGCAGTGGTATAATCAGACTCAAAAAAAGCAAGTCAGGAAGATAAGATTTTTCTAAATTCTCTCACTTTTAGTTTTTTTGAGAGGCTTGCCATTTAGCCTCAAATTCATATGCTAAAAAAATTCCCAGGCTTGCCCAATCATACCTTAGATGGAGTACTATCTGTTTTTGAAAACAAACCTGCTTAGAAATGTGGTTAAGAATTGTCCTAAATCCTGGGCGGCCGCCAACCTGGTCTTCAGGAGGAAAATATGTTGCACCCACAAATGGTTTCAAGTCTGGAGTTAGCCAAACACTCATTGGCCAGCCTCCACCACCAGTCATAGCCTGTAACAAAGTAAAGAAGAGTGATTATTCCTTAAATTCTCTATACTGTTTTAAGACAAAGTTAAATAGATAGGTAATGAGAATTAAAACAATGAATTTTAAAAGGGATATTGTTTAGATGGAACATCAAATTCTTGGCCTGAACTTAACGAGAAAGAACTATACTAATATCAATTAGCATATAAACCCACTAACAACCCACAATTCCTCTAATTGCTTTGAAGAAGGGCTAGCGCTCTAAATGTCAGCCTTTAAACTCTTTACAATGGCCAATTTATGTTTTCAACTCAGTTAATAACACAAAATTACCCTGTTATACTCTCCTACTGTCACAGCACCACAGTTTCTTTAGAAACTTACCCACTTTATACAACATCAGTTGGGAGAATCAGCTTTCAGATCAAGGGAAAGAGAGGATTAAGTATCTGATATATTCTACATAGACTGCATTTTCATTGAGCTCTGACATTCAATTGAAATACACACCATCAGCATGTGGGTAAAAATTAGATGGTGCACAGATCAAGAAGCCAATCAGTAATCAGTACTTATATGCCAAACTTTTTCCATTATAATTACAAATTTGCAGTCTGTTCTTGATTTATACCTGAATATAAGTCATATAAACTTTGTCCACATCAGGCCTTTCTTCACGATCCACTTTAACTGAAACAAATTTGTCATTGAGGATCTGCGCGATCTCTTCACTCTCAAAAGATTCTCTTTCCATCACATGGCACCAGTGACAGGTGGAATAGCCAACTGTATTAGAAGTAAAAAAATTAAAGTTAATATAATTGGTATTTTTATTGTTACAATTATTACCACTGGTTTCATTATTATCATACACCTTTCTGACACGTATGACATCTAAAACAATGATCCAGCTTCTGACAAACTCTCTTAAAATGATTTTTCCATAACATGTTATATCACAGGCAGCCCAAGCTCACGTCTTATGTGACATATTTCTAAAACAATGATCCATGTGTTCAAATTTTCAACGGTTCCTCCCATGACAAACTCTCTTAAAATGATTTTTCCATAACATGTTATATCCACTGGTAATTAAGCAATGACAATCATTCCTTCTTCCAGAAAATTTGCAAAAGTCACTCATCAAAAAATGGACATATTTCAACTGTTGTGGTGGAAATGGTTTTCAGTCTGGTGAATGTTTCTTAAAAAGTTTTTTGTTCTGAAGTACAATGAATTACAATGCTGTCTCACTTACCAGATAGAAAAATAGGTTTGTTTTCACTTTTTGCCTTGTCAAATGCTTCATCTCCCCAGGGAAACCTGATAAATAATTTTAATTTTGAAACCTGGTGATGAAATTTGATAGGAACCTCCATTTGATAGAGAGGGGGAGGACTGGTGCAAAATGGGGGGGGGGAAGGGTCATTACATTTTATGCAACCAAAAATACAGCAGGGACAGCTTCAAGACCACTTTGTACATGATAGTAAGTTTATAAAAATTTTCCTAACTCCAAGTTCAACCCAAGAAATTTCTTTCAAGAGTGACACGTTGTTGGCCATTTTCTAAGCCCTAGTTACCACCCTTACACCCTCTGTTTGTAAATTTGTTAACAAATCGCTATCAGATTCTGAGCATCCATCCTAAACCACATATACAAATGGGTTTGAGTACCGTAACACTTTAGGAGTGTAATTTCAGGGGCTTTAGAAAAACTTTTAGAGTATCTTTTATAACTTTCCCATGAAAAAAGTCAGGCAACGGGAGACAAAACATTTCATACGAGTTGCTTGTATGTTCATTCATGTTATATGGAAATCGAAAACCCTTTTCAACCGTCAAAGACAACGCCTGTTTATATAAACATGTATAAAATTATTACGTACAAAAGGGAAATGTCTAGTTTGTCCACACGCATGAAAGACTTTTATGATCAAGGTAACGTCAGATTTTCAAGAACGAATCTCTGATCAGAAACTTACCAGTCAACAGGGTTGTGCTTGTGCTGCAGTAGGTAAGGTGATTTAGAGTGCTGCAAACGGTTTGTATGTTTGGGTTTCCCATCTCCCCCTTCGCCACTTGCCGATGCCATTGTCCGATGTAGAGTTAGTAAGTATCTGTGGATGTACCTGGAGAGACCGGTATTCCTTACTGTTTTTTTTGCGTTTGTCGAGATCAAGGGTGCGAAAAAGCAGCGAGGAAGTACTGACATGGGGGTACGACTTTAAGGAAGAGCCCGCTTGCTTTTACGGGAGCTGGGAATGAGTGTAAAAATGCAGCCTCGACTTTATTCATTAGTTAGTATGTGGTGTAAACTGACATCAAAGCGGTTTTGGGCAGTCCCGGACTTTTCTTCCTGTAGTGTTTTCAGGGCCTATGGCAAGGGCCCTTAGAAGTTTTAAAAAAAAGTAACATAAGGGCTGAGAAACTCTCCTATACTTGTCGTTTGAAAAAGTGTAACCCTAGCCTTAATTTTTTCCCAAGTACCACTCTAAACTAGTTTACCTTCGCAGTGACAATCTTCAAATCTCACAAAACTTTCCCTCACTCTCTCTACAAACAAATTATAAACATGCTGATGTCAATAAGTCGACTTACACGTACAAATTCGCAATTTTATTGATTGTAAGAACAAAACAAACCTTCCCTTTTGTCCGCTTTCCAGTTGTCAATGCAATAAAGAACAAAAATCTTCCCAGATTTTAACCGTGGTCTGCCTGGGCAGTAATTGATAACCGTTGTAGGTAAGACAAACACATCCACACACTTTAAGTCACAGACTGTGACGTTATTGAATTATTAATGAATTTGCCCCACAAGACAAAGACTGGTGGAGCGATGATTTATAGCTGTGTGTGGATGACATGGCCGAGGCTAAGAGAAAACCACATGCCAAGAAGAAGCAGGTCTCACGAGACAACTCAGTCTCAGACAACGATACATCTTCTACAGTGAGGTGAGACTGGACGATATTTAATAGAACTTTTATTTTACACAGCTAAGACACTTTTGAGGAGATGAAATTATCTTGGCAGACAAGTGTTTGGCAGCTCGTAAAGCGGCTGCGAATAGAAAATATTAAAAGTTATTATGAATATTTTCTTAGGTTCGTTTTCGTAGCTATACTTTGAGTGACGAAACATTACTGCGAGAATCATTTTATTATCATACCTAGTTTCCGCAGTTAATAAGACTTAAGTAAAATCTATAATGTTTATGCCTGTGATAACAGTCTTAATCTTTAAATACCGATCGACCAACTTGCCTTCTCAGAAGCAACTTGTGCGAAAAGTTAAGTTCGTAACTTAAAAATGCCGACTTCACTCGTTTGGAATTATGAAAAATAATTTTGAAAAGTTAAAATAAGGTTATCTGTATAAGAAAAATTCTTCAGTTTTCCTCACATAGTCTCGCGGGAGAATTTTTTTTCAGGGAGATATTCTAACTTCCTCATTTATGAAGTTTAAATCTGTCGGTTAAAATACCTGTTGTTGTATATACATGAATATAATTCGAAGAGATGAGCCAACTCAGCATCAAGTAGAAAATATTACGTGAAATAGAATTAGATGGAATAACCTCATTAACAAGGAAATTCCCAGCGCTAAATTGCGATTTAATTTTTCTCAAGAAGTATGCAGTGTTTTTAAGCTTGAGTGGTATACATAAATTAACTTTATGCTAACTCATAATTACATGCAATATGGAAAACTGGACGATAAAGCTGTCAAAAGAATATCATGACTGACAAGTAGTTCTTGTCATTATGTAAGTTCTTTCATGTGGTATTAATTTTTCTTTTAGTGTTCAAAACACTCACCAGCCCTTCAAAAGTTTGAGTAATAATTGTTAATCTCAAAAACCGCTGACGAAAAGTCAAATGAAATGTAGAAAGAAAAATTGTGACAGTATTACAAACCCATTTGGCGATAAAAAGATAGGGAAATGAGTTTGTTTATTTAAATATTTGTTCTTGGAATTCTAATTTTAAACATCTTAGCTACAAGTTATCACCTATTTTGAAGGAAACTACAAGGATATTTTAGCACTTTTTTTCATCGCTAAAACCTCGACAAGCATTGAATTTGCACAAAGATTGTCAACTTAGTTTTGACATGGGCATTGTTTCCATTTGCGCAACAATATTGCAACATTTCAATAATGCTCGCCTATTCAATTCATATTTCGTTCGAGTTTGCTTATCGATCAAAAAGCGTCCTGGTTGCTATGGAGGTGCCAGGGCCAACACTGTGTTGGAAACACCTGCGCAATTACATAGCCGAAAAGACGCAACGTAGTAATTTACCGTTGTCATTTACAGTGTTTGTGAAAAAGTTAGCTTTGACAAGAAGCAATTCGCTTATGACTCATCTCGTCCTAAAGAGGGCAGTTCTCGAGAGTATTTTCGTGTTGACGAGAGCTAAAATCGGATGAAGCAGTACAAAGTATGGCGAATCCTCCGTGGAACAAAGGACCAGTACAATCAACCTCCACAGCGATTTCATATGCTCGAAAAAGGTATTTTGTTTATGTGATACGTTTTTGTGTTGGCTCTAATGCAAGGTTTGTGCGCACGTTTTCTTTGTTTACCGCAATCGAAGTTTTCAAGGTGACAGAAACAATTACTATACTAAAAGTGGAATCGATTCTTTTTCCTCGTGAAATAAAATTCAGCTCGGAATCTTTTCGACTTAAAGATATCATTCAACCAGTTAGCACAGGAGGGCTTTAACTTCCTAATGCCGCTCATTTAATTTATCTAAAGGAAGACTCATAAAATTAAATTGAGATATGTTGACTTAGTTCAAATGAAAAATACCCTTTCTAAAAAAATGAGATGAAAAAATATTATTCTATCGCGTATTTTATCTTAGCGTTTTAATCCAAACGAATTTCTTTTTTAACTGGTGAAGAAGTTCGAACATGTCAGCTTTTACCAAAGATCGAGTGGTGTCAGAAAATCTCCTTTAAATCAAGATCTCAGCTTCATGAACGTCGTTATAACTTGAGAAATTAAGATAGCTTTGTACTGAGGAAATTTATCGTGCGTTTCAGTCTAACTATAGATCTTGTCATTCATAGTCAATCTAAACCCCCCAAAAATTAAAACGATATATTCTTAATGTTCTCAAATTTTAAGCCGCGAGATTTGCCAAATAGTGCTGTTATTTCAGTCTCAGACTACTTTTAATGATTATACTTTTGCAACCCATTGTAAGATAGGCTCGGATACAAATCCCAATTTGTTTCAATGACCTTGATTCGCTGCTGGTAGTGGACAACTTCAACTTGTCATAAGCTGTCCAAATAATCTGCTTTGAAAAGTAAATCCCTGTCGGATGAATGTCACAACAAAAATATACGGATTAAACTGAGCGAATTTATTTCAAAAAAGTAATTGGAGGAGTCGGTAGATGTTATTGAATTGAACAGTTAGGAAAATCTTTTGATGAGGAATATGTGTGACGCCATGAGGAAATTCATGCTGAAGAATCCCGCACTTGACTAATCGATAACATTAGGCAGGCTAACTTAAGAGCCAGTAATTGAACGAGCCATATTTCACGTAGAATATAAATGGCACATGATGTGCCGGCTTCAGTTTTGATCAGAAAAGCGGGTTCTTGGAATCGAGACCCACGGCATTTTGCAACTGAAGAAAACTAAACCTTTTAATAATTGGCTGATTGTCGATTTTTTGTTCCGCTGCGGGTGCAAGTTTTTGCAGTTTGAGATGAATGAAATTGCCACGGAGAATTAATTTAGATCGTAATTTTATGTCAAACTTCAAAACCTCACGGCGTTAACAGGGATGCAAACAGAAATTCTTAACCTTTTATTATTACAGTGAGCTACAGCACATTAAACTTATTGGTTACATTTCACTTAATTATGTTAAATCTCCAAAAGCTAATAAACTCCCGACTGAAGAAGCTGACACAACAACATAATCAGACAAATAGTGTAGTACCCCTATACCCCCTGTCTAAGTTCCTGGGGTCTATATATTTTCATGTAGAAAATTGTTTTTTTTTCAGCGTCATATTTTATGATTTTTTTATTTTGTATTTTTCGTAGGGAATATGTTTCTGCGGTTTTAAGGTCAATTTGCAAAACCGACAGAAATTTAAACACACAAAATTCTTTTCCATTATTGTGTCGCATTTTCATGCCACACAATGCCTCCGCGTAGGAAGCTGTACAACGACATTGTCAAAGCTTCCGCCTTTCGTTTAGGCAGACGTTTTATTGTTGCGTGGCCAGATGTTGAGTTTTGAGGTGATAATTTCGATTGAGGTTTTTGTCTCGGTTTAAAACACTTTTTTCTCGAATTGGTTTTAAAATAACAAAAAGTATCTTGGTTGAAGCAAGAAAGAAAGAAAGAAAAAGGAAGACAATTTGCGTCAGTGTAGAGTATCGACGGATCGTGTATGTGAATCCACTTTTTCTCGCATAGATTTTTGCGGTAAAAAAAAACATGTTTTGATAAAATAGGAAAAAAGAAAATAGATTCCCGGCGGTGTAGGGTTTTAAGTCATCTAAGTGAACCCAGCTCATAATAAGATAATTTTGCAATAACATTATGGACCATTCGCATTATCAGATCGCTGCACCGAAGAAACATCAAGTTATACAATCTGGCTTATCCTGACTGCTTCTTACAGGCAACTGAATTTTAGCCATGAATTAAAGTCGTCCTAATCAGGTTGTCTCATTTTTTTCCTCCATGTTTCAAGTCTGCATGCAAGTTTTCGAGTAATCCGTCCATTTCAAACAGCCTTAGAAATCAAAAAAATTGAAACTGGAAATACTATTGATTTTATAAAATGCAACCTATTAAAACTGTCTGCGTAGTTGAAAAGGTTAACACTTTGGCTGGTTTCAACTGTAAATGCCAATTTTTCTGATAGAATTAACCATTAACTTTACGGAAATTTATCGGTCAACACCTCCTCATACTTGTGGGATGATAAATTTAGTGGGAGTATAATCAGAATATCTTAGAAGAGTCACGAGAGGGTAAGGTCCTCTGAAAAACTAGTAATTAAACGAACCGATAGCAATTTGAGAATTTGGACGTCGTTCCAAATCGAAGAACTTCTGCTGAATGTGACACCTGAAAACTTTCCCACTCCTTGTATTTGTCTTAATAATAGTACGGATGCATGAAATTGGACACCAAGAGCGCATCATGTAATTTTCTCATAGTTGTGGACACAGGGGTTCGGAAGGCAAACTGCAGAGACGAACATAGACTAACACGAGACATGTTTGCATTGCAGTGTACAATATCCTTTCTTAGAAATATCCCTCTGATATATATATATATATATCTCCATAATACCATCGGCTGTTCCTCAGTCAGCGAAGACTATCGCGGCGTAAGAAAGAAAGCGAGCGAAAAACTCTGGAGGCTTGGGAAACTCGCGGCAAGCCCGCTTGCCTTTCTGACTTTTTTTCGAGTACAGGCTCACCACACTTGCGACTAATCCATCTCCGATCCATCTTGAAATTGTTTTTTTGCCAAGGAAAATAACCGCTAAGCTCACATTTGGTCAATACCACGCGACGTGAAATTCTTAAATAATAGAACACTCTAAAAGTTCAAAATTATCACCTGTCATTAAAGGTAGAAAAAAAGCCTCTGCCATCCCTACAAAATGTGTAACAAATAATTAGTATGAAATCAATGAGTGGTTGCCAACGCCAAGACATATATTTTGCATGAATTTCATCTGAGTGATCCGCTCAGCCGAACTTTCGAGTATTTCTCAGAAAGAAAGGTTTCAGACGTGAATTCTTGATATAATTCAATTTGTATCCCACTTGTTAATAATTAATAAGATATTCGACTTCATTTAAAATCTTCATTGAACGGATGCATAAGTTTTTAATCGAATTCGGGCCAAAAAAAACCCTAATTTCTTTTTGTTAATGTGACAGTTTTAATCGGAAAATCTTTAAGGTGCATTAAAATAGCCCCTATAGGCAAACTCGATATTTCTAACAGAGATTTTTTAAAATTTTTTGGTGGGTACCTTTTCTTCGCCGCCAAACAAATCTTGGTCTCGAGGGTAACCGACCTCGGGAGCCAATCAGCAAACGTTATGTATATGCAAACAAACATGGCGGCATATTGGATGTGTAACACACTAAAGATCTTTATTACCTTCTAATATCGTAAAATTAATGGTTATGTTTCACGAAGAGTTACGGAAAGCTATTTAGCTTCAGAGAGATGGATTTGAGGTAATTTTCCTTTTTCTTGCCATGTGTTAAATACGTTAATAACTTTCTCATTAATACCGATCTCTCTTAATTGAGAGTTAAGCTCTTGCTTGATCGCACTGGACATCGAAGATTTATTTGTCTTGTTGTTTATGAAAATAATTTTCTGTTTAATTTAGTTTTGAACCTTTATGTGAAATTCAAAGAGCACTAGAGGTCTCTTGAATTAGGTTCCATTAAGGATGATAAAATTCCTTAGAAGTTGCCCAGTTAGTATGCGTAATTGTGAGCACGGCAGAATTAGAAGCTTCTTTTGTCATAACAATCGAAATAAAAATACTTTTGACCAAATGAAGTGATTTTTTTATTTATCGTGGAAGCATTAGATGGAAGAAGTTTATCGTTATCACAAGCTCTAATGCTAGAAAATCCTCCAAGCTTATGAATTTTAGCAGATCAAAATAGTCATGATGTTAATTTGTTTTAGGTAGAAAGTCCTTAGGAAGAAAAACCTTGATCTCAGACTAGTTCATTTCACCGTGGACAAAGTCAACATGGAAAAGCTTATAATTGTGATAATCTTCCGACATATACCTTGATCTGTGAACTTCAAGCCTGAACGCTTTCATCATTGATAATATATCTTGAGCAACATGCAAATATATGTTTTTCTGAGGCAAACCTTGATTATCCAGACCTCGATTATCTTTACTTGCTTCTCTGGTTCCATTTTTTTGGTAAATATTAAGTAGTTGCATTTGAGATCTGCAACAACTTTTTTCCAACGTGGAAAGACAAAACAGTGTTGATGCTTTTCCACTAATGCAGCTTCAGAGGCTGATAGAATTAGAATTTATATCAGCATCTTAGGTTTATGTAAAACATTGTTGGTTAACTTTAATAATTTTTTTGTGAATTATTTTGGCAAACATTAACAATTATGCAGAGTGAGTTGAGAATGTGCCTTACAATCCAGTTTTATTTTAAGCTTAATGATATTCATATTTTTGATTATCCAGACTCTTGACTATCCAGAAAATTCAGCCCAGAGTTTTGACTGTATCAAACTACAAAATTTGTTTGTTGGTCATTGCTACAGAATATGTGTTGGTTCCAATGGGGCAGTTTAAATTGTTGTTGTTGTTGTTTTTTTTAATATATATATATATATATATACAATCATGTAAAAAGGTTGAGCTCTTGATACTTTCCTTTACAAATATTCTCTAATTTATATTTTTTACAGACCAACTGTTGGTGCCCACAGTCATCCCTTACCAGCTATAACAGATGCTTCAGAAAAGGGAGTGCGTAGGAATAACAGTCCGGCACATGAGGGCGGCCGTCTAAGACATCTTGAAGGACGACTGAATGTGACTGATCAGTCAAATAAGGCATTATTAGAGGAACTTGTTCGTTTACAAGGAGAACTGAAAGGAAGTATACGGCGTAATGAAGACACTTTGAGGGAGGAAAGGGAAGAGAGGCTTGTTCTGTCAGAAAAAATTAGATCAGCGAATAATTTGTACACTCAAATGATGATGAGGGTTGCACGTGCCGAAGAAAAACTTGAATCAGAGCACAACACAGTAGGGACTCTGGTTAATCACACCAAGCAGATGGAACAAGCTTTATTAGGAAATCAACAGCAGTTACTGAGTCGACGAGAACAGCTTCATGTTCATGTGGAACGAGTCAAAGATGACATGGAAGACATGAGAGAAAGCCAAGAACAATTGCAGAAAAATATGAGAGCTCTAATTGATGACGTGAGAACAATGAAGAGCAAACATGAAGTGCAGACAGTACAGTTTGGTACTCTAGTACAAGAAATAAGGCAAAGGATGAAAAAAATTGAGGGAGACACAAACAGTGCAGTAAGTGCTTTCATTTGATACAATTTTATAGAGTGGACAAGGGGTGACATTATCTCACTCAGCCCTCCCCCTCTCTTTCCTCCCACTTTCCTTCCCCCCCTTCACAAATACCATTTAATTGAGAAACACTATAGGTCAATGATTAACCAATTTCGACTCTTTTCAAATCACTTTCCTTTCCTTTCCTGTCTCCTCCACCCCTCCTGGTCCTGTCTCCTGCCCCTCTTAACCCCTTCGCAATTACATAATTATATGTCAATGCACGCACTTTTGTTAAACCTTGTAAGATGAGCATCTTACAAAAGAGCTTTGATTTATTGTCTCTACATGAGGTCTTAATATTTTCTTTTTTGTACAATATATACGCACAGTCACAAATTTTTTAGTTATTACTGCAAATATTATTTCTAGTAATGCCTTAAATTCTTATTGGAAAGTTCTCCTGGGTAATTCAATCTTTGATCTGTGAAGGCAACATATCAGATCAAGAAAATTTTTCAAAATTAGTTATCATTCAGTCAGTACTGGTGATCGACTACCTTTCCTTCCATTTATTTAATAACCATTTCACTCTCAAGATCAAAATTCCAATTCTCTGCACTTTCCTTCATCCATTTTTGATGAATTTTCATTTGAGATTTTGGTGCTTAATCAAACAATATCCTTCGATGTATATCTTTTTTTCTTCTCATCACCCCTCTGCTCAAAAATGTATTAATACTTTAAGCCATTAGGATAAAATCTTCTTTGGTCATTCTTGAGAGGAAAAGGGGTAAAGTAAAAGCTAAAGCAATTTTGTGGCCCTTAAACCTCATGTTACATTACTTTAATTCATAAACTATAATAGTGGTAGTCTAGTAAAAAATGCAGTTGATAAGATTGTCACTGTACTGCTTGGAACATAAATGAATGTAGATCAGAATGCCTGCTTTTTTCCTTATTGTGTTTGGTGTCTCAAAGTTTCTTCCTTCAACAGATGTCTTCTTTGAAGAAACAACATGATGATCAGAACACTAAAGAAGCCAATTCACTTCAGTTCAAGAGTATTGTGGAAGCAAGGTATTGTAAATCTTGATCAGATTTTCACTTTGATGTCTACAAATTTTGTATGTTAAATTATTATAATGTGCATGTGGTTTATAGTCATGTTTCAGATTAAATTTTTGTTGAAGTTATTAATGGTACATTAAATAATAACTTGAATAGTGAACAGCTATTTTTACTATAGCAGTGGTGACTCAAATGAATCATTTCCATTCTGTGGTATAGATTAGCTGACATAAAAGAGATAACCAGTGAATTGAGGAGACGCATTGAAGCTGAGGAAGGGGAGAGAAGGGCAGCTAGTCAGCAGAACCAGCTCAGGTAGGGATCACAAGTTTCTTGACTGACAAATTTGTAAAACTGTTTTTGATAAAGAACTATGTGACATATGATTATATGGCTTTCATTTTATTTCCTCTTGGCACAAAATGGCTGAGGAATCGAGCAGTGTACATCTATCCAAGATCAGTTTTAATTGTTTCAGTTTCAAATAATGCTATAAATTATGTTTTTATTTTAAATTTCAGTATAGAGCAGTTGAGAGCTGTTGTGCAGGAAAGTCATCATCAAAGAGAACAAGAGTTATATGCACAGTCCATGAATTCCAAGGAGAAGGAGGACCTTCTTGAGAATGAAAGAAGTATGATTGCCAGTAAACTTGCAGAACTTTCAGATGAGCAGAGCAAAAAGATGTTACAGAAAGAAATAAGACTAAGAGAAGATGCTCAGTCAAAGTTTACTTTGTTAGAAAAGGTGAGCGGTGTAAGAGTTTACATTGTTTAAAACACTTTACTTTCGATTCAAGTGACCAAGAGAGAATTTCTCCTCACAAAATAAATACCATATCAGGTAGACAATTGATTAAAGTTATGGGAGTAAAGGAAAATATAAATTATGGGATTATGACTTGATCCAAATCTAAATTCTGCAGATTAACTTCTGAAGAATTGTCTGGCAAATAGTAAGGAGAATTAATAAGGAGATCTTGAGAGTGAAAAGGTTTACTATTTTAACTAAAAATCTCATCATAAGGCTTCCAAAGAGTTTGTATTAGACATCATTACTAACAGTTATCTACGTCACACTTCTGTCCAAAAATGCATGTAGTAACAAAAATGGCAGATTTGAAAATTTTTCATCAAACCAAGTGAAATTTAAGGATTTGACAGTTTTGGCAAATTTTTTACTCAAATTCGTCAATGTGCAATCAGCTTGGCAGAATTGATGATTTTGACAAATTTTTCCATTTTATTAGTTCTGGATGTATCTCCAAACTCTTAAATCATCAAACTGAAATCTCTTACTTTGCATTTTCAAGAAATTACGCGAGGAACAAGCTGCCAGGCTTGTGTTTGAGAAGGCACAGCGAGAGGAGATGGAGAGACGTTGGCAGTCACTCAAAGCTTACATCGACGAAGAAGCACAATTGTCTAGACAGGCTCAGCAGGTAACTGCTTCCTCATTTAAAGTTCTTAACGTTGGTACAGTTTTTAGCTCTCACACCAAATCAAAACTTTTCACTCTGCTTTATAGAAACATATTAAGTGAAAGAGAAGGGGAAAGTAATGAAGAAGTCTTGTTCAAGTTAAACATGAACATTTTAAGTGTGAAAGGAAACAAGGAAGATGTATTGATTTAATTTAACTTTTTATGATAGATATGTTAATATTACAATTATAAAATGTTATGGATATCAGACAGTTGCTTGTAATTATTCCCTTAACAAAGGTTAACAAAACATAGCTTTCTATTTACTTTTTGTAATCTTACAATAAGAGCAAGACACTATTTGTGTATGGGATTTATATTTTAAAGTAACCCAATGTTTTCTACTCAGGTTGCACAGGCAAGGACTGACCAGAGTCTTGTGCGACTTAATGAGTCTATAACATTACTTGAAAGACAAATGGAAGAAGGAAGGAAGGCAATAGAACAAGTGTTACATGCTGAAATCACATCAAGGTCACTATGCATTGAATAATCAGTAATGTGTTTTTTTTTTCACATATTATCCTTCAGGGATGGGATAATTAAATGTCTTTGAAGGGGAGGGGAGGAATGTTGGGCACTTAAATTATTGAAGAAAATCCTGTAAAACAAAATGGTAGAAATACAATGATGCATAGTGAGTAACTGCATAAAATCCTTTAGCTGGCTAATTTTATTTATAACTATAATTGTAATTTTTGGTCCTTACCTATCATTAGTTACCATATTGACACCTTTTTGATGAGAATTCTGCCAGCAAATTTACTTTGCTTTAGCATAATATAGATACTTGATTGCAAAGTGGTTTTAAAGATAAAATGATGTTAAGCTCAAGTCTGATTTGTATTATTTTATTTTCCTGTTCAGGGTTTTAGTACTGTGCTGGGTACAAAGAAAAAGATGAAAACCAACTAGTTAAAATTGATTTTGACTTGAAATTTATTTTTTTAACCACAGAACTTTCATATTGATAAATTTGTTTAATCTTTCATTTGACACAGCACTTATCTTAGTTGGTTTGGCTATCAAGTATATTAAATTTTCTTTTCCATAGTTAAGTATTAGTAATAATCTGTTGGTTCATTTCTGATTTATGTTCCTTTTATTGATTTACAGGCAATCACAAAGTGAGAAACTATCTATCAGATGCAATCAGCTGCAGGACAAACTAAACATGGCCATCAGCACTTTACAACAAGCAGTGGGTGGAGTCAACTCACAGGTCTCAGACAGTGTTTCTAAGGTGATTATTTAACTCTCCTTAACCCTTTTGCTTCCAATATCTCTAATTTATAACCAGTAGTAATTCTCCTTATGGTCTGCAACACAATTCTTATGATATTAGTTTGGAGAATTTGGTATTGAACCAATTAATAATCACCTAATTGATATTTTTCTTTATTCTCACCACTTGTGACTGCTTGATAATGTATTGATATTGTAAGGAGAAATTCTCTCTTGGTTGTTCATAGGAGTTTAAGTGTTTAAAGATCAGTTTTGTGTTTGCCTCACTAAATGTACATGCTAGTGACAAGTCCTTTATTTTTGGAGCACTTTGATCTGATACGTGACTTTCTGTTGTTTTCCAGGCAAAAGAAGAATTGATCAGCATGATGGACAAGAACAGCAACACAGGGATCAAGGGATTAGCAGACATGGACACAAGACTTGCCAAGTTGAACAAGCGAGTAGGAGAGATGGAAGATGTTCTCAGCAAACTGGAAAAGGTGAGAGGATTTTTTTTCATTCCCAAACCCAACAAGCTATTGAATATAATAATTCTCTTTTAAAATTATTAGTATCAATAACCCTTAACTGTCGACAGATGGCAATGTTGATGGTTTTGTAATTAATTTGATGTCAACCTCTGTGGAGTGGTATTGATATTAAGTGATAAAAGTGATTTTAACTGTTAAGGTGGACAGACAAAAGTCAATTGGTCTATAGATAACTAACTTTTATAGGTAGAAAGAGATATAAACTAAACTTAAAGTTTATGGAATGACTGTTTTCTTTAATAGGAAGTCAAAATTTATGATTATTATTGTTAGATGTTTTAAAATATTTTGTTATTGTGCATTAAAGAGTTTTTTTATCCACCAGGCATAATTTGTCTTAAATATAAGTGTAAAGTTTTTAAAAATTTTACTCAATCTTTTGTACCAACTAACTTTGAACTTGTTTGTATTGAATGCATTGTTGTTACAGCGGATTAAAAAGGTGGATTCTCAAAAAAAAGAGGTGAACATAATCTGTTGTAAGGTTTTACTTGTAACCACAAGATAATCAACCTGTTTAAAAAATACCAAGTTTTGTTAAATTTTTAAACTCCAAAATCAATATTAAATACTTAGTGGTGTTTTGATTGGTTCACTCATCTCCCAATATCACTTCTCATACTCTCAGTCACCTTACATGGAAACACATTACACCAGTTGTTGCATTGCTGACAAAAGCTCCAAATATCCAAATGTTTAGGATTCGTGCTTGTTGGATACAAGACAGGTTTAATAGCCAGCTCTGTGGTATGCACCTGGTTGGGTATTTACCATCTTATATCCAGCCCATGCTTAGGAAATATTTGTCAATTATACTAAGATTAAAACTTAAGTTGACATGAATGGATGAAGTTAATGTAATATAAAATTCAATCTAATTAAAAACAAAACAAAGCAAAACAAAACAAAGTGATATAACTGTTGTGTGATGCAAAGCTATAAATTAAGAAATGTAAACTGATGTAAGTTGTTAAATTTCTTAATGACTAACTTCTAATAAGTGATTAAATCCTAAACACAATGACCTCTAAATTTTTAAAAATTGTGGAACTATTATATCTTAAAGCAAGAAATGAGTAGATACCTATTAGTAAGTAATTGTCTCTGTAAATTTATTTTCTTTGTGCTGCAATCAAGAACACTGTAGTTGTGAAACCATTAAACTTTCTAAGATCTACAGACTGAAAAACTTGGAAGCATGTTGATCTATTTTCTGAAATTTATAGGTTGAGTTTACAGATCTTTTTTCCCTTAGAGACATAAAACAGTATGATAATTTTTAAGGTCATCAAGGGTCACATGGTTCTTTTGTACACTTGTATTGAGAGTACCATTGTTGTAATAAGTTTTATATTGCCTTTTATGAGTGTTCATGTTAATAAATCAAACAAGCTTTGTTGTTTGATGGTCTTTTAGTAAGCAGCTATCATTTGAAAAAATAAAACTGCAAAAACTGAAATTTTATTGTGGACTGGTTTCCTCTAACCTATATTTGTCTGACATTTTTTTTTCTGCTTGTAGCATGGTAAATTAGACAAGGATGATCGAGACAGAAGCATAAGTCAGATGGCCAGTTGGCGCCAGGACACTGATGAACAGTTTAGAGAATTACAAAACAAGCTTAGGCCACTTCCTGATGAGGTATAATCAGTAATTACTAATATAATTAATATTAATTAGCTCCTTTTAGTTTCTGGAAATAATTCAGGAATGTTGACCTACATGTGCTTAGCTCTTCTTGGTTTCTCTGGCCAGTCATATTATGAATTGTTATGCAATGCTTCTAACTATTGAAAAACTTTGTAAACGTCAATGAGGTTTCGCACAGTTCAAGTGAAGAAATAAACTATGGAATAAAAAAATGAAGTCCACTCTGGAGGAAATTAAAACAAAAGCACACCTCTCCCAATTCTCTGCCTTCTGTAACAAAAAACAACCAGGAGCACATTTCTTGGTTTGAACCTTGAAAGGTTAACAGGTATACCATTATCACTTGATACAGATGGAATCTCCTGGTATTTTCTAATTGTGTCGATATTGATGTCTTTGCTTCAAATAACAAAAAAATTGTAGCGTATTGACTCAGTAACGATATTCATTTTGTGATATAGAAGTTCTCCTTTGCTCACAATACATGACCCATATATTGCTCTTTTATACTATTAATTGACTAGAATTGGGCAACATTTTTATGTTTTTATGTTTCAGATTGCTCTCCTCCAAAGACAGATTGCAGGACTGAAAGCTGATCTGGAGGCCAAGGAGGAAGAAGAGAGGAGAAAGGCTGCAGAGTAAGATATATTAAAACCTTGTAACTCAGGACAGTCACCCCAACATCAGTATACATTTTCTTCATACTGTTTTCTGTACGGAGGAGGTGGTGGGGGGTGGTGGTGAGAGGTGGTGGGTAACTTGTGGTGAACCAGGTGTCTCTCAATGGAAGGACGGTAACCTGTGGTGCATTAGTATCGTATCCAGGCATATTCAGTCTCGTCATCACGAATTTGGAAGCTAGGAGAGTTCCGGTTATGTGGACTGCGAGGGATTCGTTTTTGACTGTTAGAGTGAAAAGGAAAGACCTCATGAGACCACAGTAAAGATTATACCGCAATATAGTATTCAATGAACGTTCTTGAATTTTTATCCTTGTTACACAAATTTTTTTTTTAGGAGAAGAAATAGGACTTCTGTTTTATCCAACACTGTTGTTATAGTTTAACAGCAGAGTTTTTAAAGTACTCTGTTTTTCCCTTTTTTTTGTCATGTAATATTTTTTTCATGTTCGTGCCACTCTTTTTCTTTAGGCAACCGCCTACTCCATTTGTTAGGGAGACGGAACCTGAGCCGGAGCCGGAGCCGGCACCAACGCCGACGCCGTCGCCGCGGGCGGCGGCAGAGGAGCCTGAGGACACCGCAGACTTGCGAAATAAGGTGCAGAAACTGGAGGAAGAAGTGCAACAGGTGAGGTGCCACTGGGATATGTCATGGGATATACGGCTTTCTCTAGTCACACTTATGTTGGCCTGAGAGCTGGCTTTCAATAGCGCCGCGATACAAACCTCATTGTTAATGTCAGACCCCTCGCAGGCTCTTGATAGCGCTGCGATATGAGCCTCAATTATAAGTGCCAGACCCTTCGCAACCCTCTCGACGGCTTGCTTTACACAAGGCCTCAGACTCTCTCGCAGGCGAGGAGATGCACGTGCTGTAGCCCTAGTAATGAGGGCCAGTTCGCTGGATACACTTCTGTGGGCACAGAGAGAAACTCGCAAATGAGATTCTCTTCATTTCCCTTCTCTTCGCTTAACCACCAGGACTAGTTATTCTGCCTTCTGAGAGGAGAATCGGTGTTATATTTAGATAGCACCCTCCAGCTGATAAGCTTGCGAATTCTCATGACCTCTTTGTGAGACAGTGCGTTGAAATCGCGAGGAGAAATTAAATGTTGATCACTTCGGGGTAACCAGGGTAATTTCGGAGTTAAAGGATGAAAAGATCTTAAAAAGATCGAATGAGACTCAGTTCAAGCTTTTTTTCTTTTCTTTCCAGACTTCTACTCAAGTAGCCAAACTGGAAAATACAGTTGAGACCTTACGTACAGTCTTGACACAAAAAATACAATCAGAGGCTCAAACGGTGAGTTCAGTTGTAAACTGGAATGTTTGGGTGATTTTGAGAATGTCTATGGCTCATGAGTATTCCCTGATAGTATGACCATGTAGCCGGTAAACTCCGAGGATTCTTGAGGTGAGGCCCTGGAAAAGGGTTTTTCTCTTGCAGCGCAATGGAGGAATTAGTGTTTTTTCTACGATGTCCCAATTAAAAACCGGCGAGCTCCAGTATCAGTCGGAAATAACACGAGGACCATCGATAGTTTTCACGTTAATATGTTGCTATCACGGAGTGTCGTCTACCCTGTAAAATGACTTGTTGAGATTTGCGAGATGTGTTAGGTTGGGAATGAGTAAGAGTCAAAGTGGTACAGACTAGCGAGTTTCGTACGCTGTGAGATCAGGTTTGGAGGCAGATATTGAATCAGATTTTCACCATGGACAAAATGGTTCGCACTGCGATAGTTAAAATTGTACAATGATGAAATGTCTTTGGAAACGGAGGCTAGTTACCAGTAAAAAGCGCGGGAAATTCTACTGCTCATATGCTACGCACGGTAGTTCCAGTTAAAAGCTGATTGGTTGAGGATAAAACGTCACTTTAAAGTCAATTGATTTTGATTGGTGATTCGTCATTTTCGATTGCCAACGAGATTTTGTTCGTAGAAAATGATTAGACCACTTACAACTAAATGTCTCCTTTTTCAACTATGCTGGGTTTATTTTCTGGTAGAGAACTCAGTTGAAAATTAGAACTTAGCCTTAAAATTTATTAACTTTTTTTATCAGCTGGTTAATTAGTCGTAACGTCGCTTTGCATGACAACAATTGCAATAATAACATGTTGTCCTCTGTGCAGTTCTTTCTCTTAGCTCTTGAACGGGTAGCTTCCCAGCACGATAGAGCTGGGAAGAAAGATTAAGAAAGATTTAATTTCTTGTCTGTCAGCGTCTCTGATGAAGAAGTTACAGTATTGGTAGTCACGCGTGCCTTTTCAGGGTTCGAAATAGTTATTAATTAGCAGCTTAGCAGCTTTTGATTTTATTTGTAGGCGTGGCTGCGTGACAAGATAATGTCGCACAATGTTAGTCAGGAAAACTTCAGTCAAGCAAAAACCTACACTTGTTGTATAAAAATTGACCCAGAGTCAATAACAATGTTTAAATGGATCCATGCTGTTTTCTATAATTTGTTTCAGTTCGCATCGTTGTTTCACGCGACCAATACAATTCCCCATTACTTTCAACATGTCTTTATTCGTAGAAGTTATTTTCGTCTCTGTGATAGTGATCAGATTTTCCCACTGAAAGTTTGCGTCCTTGCCAACGTGAAATTCAGTTTCACGTTACTCTCCAAAATCTCATATATACGCACAGTAATGTTTGTGTTTTTACTAACTGAGGTTTGAAATCTGCAGCGAGGTGATTCTATCGAGGAACTCAAGGAGCAGTTACAGCAGATCAATTCCAGTATGTCGCCACGTAGTCAATGCAAATTTGTGCATTTTTGTTTTCAGTCCATCTTCTTTTCAAGTTTTCTCTACATTGAAACAAAAAAAATTAAGCTGATGTTCTTTTAAACGTGATCAGAATTTTAATAACTCGAGAGTTCTGCGTTTAAGGCGATAAAATGAATAATTCAGCTAAAATATATTGATTACCATAAAATGTGGCATAAAAGGAATAGAAACTGTAACGCAATAGTATCTACAGTTTAAAAAGAAACATTTCTGCATGTTGTTCTTTAAAACGAAGTTTAACGGTCAAGTTTCTAAATGGTGACTTTTTTTTGGTTTGATTAGCTAGCCGAAACTTTTTTTGCCAATTGAGCTTCGTATTTTTTATCTCATTTTAATCCGAAAATGACTTAATGCGACTGATTCGTCTAAACTTCGGTGTTTTCGTTATAATATCGCTTGACCTTCCTCGGTGCTTAAAACTTAGAAAGAGATTAATCATAAGCAGCACCGACTGAAGCAATTTCAGGGCCGCAATTTAGAAGCCTACTTATAGCCGTACCCTCCCCCTAAGCAGAAACGGAAGGTTTCCTCCAGCGGGGGAGGGTACGGCTACAGGTAGGCTACGGTTTAGTATAGATGATATTGGGCATAAAGTATCAATTGACGTCCAGTGCAAGACAGGCTGTCATAATTTGTAAACTTGTGGAATTAATCGGCTGAAAGTTTATCTTTTAATTTCAAGCGAGAAATACTGATCTTTCCATCAGTTTCCTATAAAACTAGAAAGAATCTTGAAAGTTTTCAGTCATGTTTGTCTGTAAAAGTATCGGTAATGCAATGAACTTTGGATCGGTTAAATAATATCTTAAGGAGTTAATAAATGTGAAGGAAAATCGAAACGAACGCAATTACATCTTCAAAACAAGTTTAAACATTGAAGCGAGGCTGAGCGAACCACTTCAAGTGGAGAGTACTTGACAAGCTATAAATTTAAAATATATCAGATATATATTAAGAATGTGACTTTCAATCAATAAAAATGTTTTAAAACTGTTTTAAGACATTTTGAACTAATAAGGTTTTCAACAAGTTTGTCGTTAAAAAAAAACAAGAATTGAGAACTTTTCAAGGAAGTAAGTAAATTTCACCTTAAGATTTTTTCTGAAGCATAAGTCTCATCCAAACAGTTCAATATTAGATTTTCTGAAGTGAGAAAAATTTTTAGTCTTTTACTAATCGCACAGGAGCGTCAAGAGGTCAGATGTAAGATATACACATTAACACTAAACCTTTTATTTCATTTATTTGTACTTGCAACATTGATAACTATAACAATTGTCACGACGGCTTGCCATTTCCGCAAGTAACCCAGGATTGTTAAGTGATCAGTAAATTTATATGATTATCAAGTAACATTGGTAAATTAATGTGTTAGTACTGATGACTTTATCCATATCGTCATTATTAACTGTGGTGATTTAAGTTTCAGGAAATAAATTGATAATGTTTTATGATGTATTAGTAATGAATAGTAAACAGTAATAGTGATCCCAATCACGTCCTGTAGTGAAGGGGTTGAATGTTACTAAGTTTATGGAAGAAACCTTAAATTTGAAGGATTTTTAAACGCTTCCTTTTTAAACTAGCATGGACATTGAACTGCAATCATTTTGTTTTAAAAATTTACAGAGTGAAGTAAATGTTACCATTTCTAAGCCTTTTTAATTCTTAAACGTTTGAAAGTATTTCATAACTTTTCTTTCTTTATCCATCCAATTAGCCTTAATTATCTATCCTAATCCTCTTTCAGTTTTTATCGATGATACTCTGTTCAGGTTATTTCTTCCAAAAGGAGGAGGGAAAGGATTAGGAAAACTAGGGAGGAATTTCTCATTCATCATGTGAGAACGTAACAGAAGGCTTGAAAAGCGTGACTTGACGGTTAAAGTTATGGCTATGATGAACCCAAATTCTCTCCTCCTTTTTCGTCTTTGTGTTTTTACCCAATTTCTAAAAGACTGTTATGCCTGTAGGAAACATGAATTCTTGTTTCAGATTAATTTGAACTTTTTTCATTACAATTTTCATTTCTATTTTTCTCTCCAGCGGAATGAAGAACAGGATGCCATTGAACAAGACGTAAACAAAGTTATTCGGTATTACCTTCAAGATCATCGACGTGTATTCGTTAAACACAGACACCCCAACGTTTGCATACCTCAATATGTGGAAGGAGTTGGAAGAATGCGATTCGCCTTGTTGGAAGTCAACAAGTGGGGAATCTACCAGTCATGGAAGATGCTGACCATCAAAAAGGCGTGGTATCGCCTTTTGGAGAAGAAAGAACAACGAGAGAGCGAAGAAAAAGCCAGTGCTTCGACTTCTTCACGAACGGAAAATAAGGCGCCTAGTAAGAGGACTGAAGATAGCGAAGATGACGATGACGATGACGATAATGATGACGATGATGACGACGACGACGATGATGATGATGACGACGATGACGACGATGATGACGATGATGATGACGATGACGACGATGATGATGATGACGATGACGACTCAAGGCGCGGCGGTAAAAACAAGAAAGGAAAATCTAATAAAGGAAAAAAGGGTAAAAAGTGAGGAAGTAGGGGTAAAAATTGAGAAAAATCAACTACCGCAAAAAAAAAAAAAGGATACGAAAAAAAGGTTGCTAAGATATTGCTTGAAATTATAGACCATAAGTATCCCCCCTTTTTCAGCGAAGTCTTTTGCGCTAGCAAAAAAGTCTTTGCCGGAAAGGAGGGACTGCTCGTGGGTCTACGTTAACTATCACTTACGTTTGTCGCTGGTGTTGATCTTCGTTAACCCTTTAACTCCCATGAGTGACTAAGACAGAATTTCTCCTTACTATATCGATACAATATCAAGCAGACAAGTGACGAGAATAACGAAAAACATGAATTAAGGGATTATTAGTTGATCCAATACTAAATTCTCCTAACTAACATCACAAGAACTATATGGCAGACAGTAAGGAGAATTACTAATGAGATCTTGGGAGTTTAAGGGTTAATTTCCATTTTTATCACGGATTCGCTAGTTCATAAAGAAGATACTGTGGTTGTCTCCGAACGAGAGTGCGCTCGGCGAGTTACGGCAGATTTTGTCTAGTAAATATTTTCATTTGTATATGTCACAGATAGCCACGTTTTCATTAGCTCTGACGCTTTTCACAAGGCTCTCAAATATATTTCCGGTTGAAAATATATAATCAATTTCGCTGGTTTGATTTGTTTTGCCCATCGTAGTATATGACATCACGTGCATTTACAAAGATCTCCCTTTTTATAGTATAAAATAAAATTTATATGACATAATATATACTTCTGCAAAGAGCGTGTGTCGCTTAAAACAAAACTTTTCAATTGCAGTTGCTCACCAGGTGAGCGCGTATATGAATATGTATAGATCTGGTTAGCTGGGCTGGACCTTAGCTATAGCAGATTCGTAGTTTCATAGTATTATTTTTGGGTTTCAACACCCGTAGTCGTTCGTATAGGGAAAATAATTGTACCGTAATTTTGGATTTTTAGTTAAACATTGTCGTATAAACTGAACTTTTAAAGGGGCGAGCGGCATGCTAACTGTACATGTGCACGTCAGTATAAAACGTTCAAGCAAAAGCAGAGAGTCGATTTATGACTGCGATCGGTCTTATGTCCATAGGTAAAATTCTTTAGGAAAGCATAGTACCTTAGTAACGCAACTACTGAGTGAAAAGTGGCTAAGTTTCTTGGTGTGAACTGATATTAAACTAAAGAGAGTGGGATTGTCATTGTGACTGTGTGTTCGGTGACTTTCCAGTACTTATCATGGTTGTAATTGTAAGAACTGTGTTATATATATTTATTAAAATTCAGACGCTTTAAATCATTATATTTTTTGAAAAAAGAAACTGTTCAGTTTAATGACACTTTAATAGATCCATGGCACGGTCAATACTGACCCACCCCTCCTGCCCCTATCGATAAGTTTTATCTCGGTTCCGCTGACATTTCTTTGTTGTGTTCGTCGGCTCTTATTATTCATTTATTGAGGATATTTCATTCATTCAACTGTTTCCGATCGCTTGCTTACAAGCAGCGCACAAACATTCGAGAGCGTTCTAAAACAATATCAGAAGTTCTCCGAAAAATTAAAGTGACGATTTTGAGGTCGCTTTGCCGTGCTCGACACGAGTTCAGAAACTACGCCAGAGTGTAAGACTTTTAATCATTTACTACGCTCCAAGTGGGAAGACTTATAATTCAGCTCGAACTTGGCTCGCACGAGTCGATTAGCACTCTTCATTATGAGAATAACGCTTTGACAGATTTATTGACCTTACGTGCGTCTGTTACTTAATAGTATAAACATTCGTCAGAGAACATTGTGCGTATCACATGGCCTAGTTGACAGCGAAGCCCGACAATGGTAGATTCCAAGTTCCTGATCGTGACCACGCTATGCTATGTGGGAATCTTCGGCGTGATTTTTATCGTCTGTTGCTGTGCTTGGACTAGACATTTAAGAAGAGAAGGGCGTGGATATTCGCCGAGGATTCGAAATAACTCGAGCAGGAGGGTTCATCGACCACAACCGCCAGAATACCCGATGGCACCTTCTACACCATTGTACGCTCATCGAGGTCATAGATTTGCGGAAGTTAATTTTCCAGATGGAAACACTTACTATCCAGCCCCACAGCGAACGCAAAACCTCGCTCAAAGAAATAATTTATACCCAATGGTACGTCATCATCCTACTTCATTTGGATACCCACAAGCGCATTTTTTTCCAACTAGCGTGACGACAAATGTCGATATCTCACTTGACGTACACGGAATGAACTACGGAGATACTAGCCAGGGTGGTTTGTCAGGCGATGAATTCAGCGACGCCACGAGTTCAAGATTTGACGGCGTTGCTAGTGCCACAGCGGAAAATGTAGAAACAAAGGAAGGCAATCAAACCCCTAGAACTATCTCGCCTTCTCACGCCTCAGAAGATGATGGCAAAGAATCCGAGTAATAATCTGGTGGTGAGATCCACCAAATCAAAGAAGTAACGTTGTAAAGGATCAACAGAAGCATTGAAAAATTTTAATTCGGCCAATGTTGATAAGAAAATTGATCTTTGTCTATGCAACACAATATACAAAAGATTCAAGAAATTCACAAGTCAAGCAAGCTGTTTTTTCAAGGGCAATTATCTTTTCATGTTTGACAGGCCTCCTACTGGTAAGATTTTATTTCCGTTTGGACAAAGAACGCCTTTAAATCTTAGCAATTCAAACCTGTCATTTTCTCGGATTTGGATTTTCAAAGCTGATACGGCGTGAATATAGAAATGCTTTTTCCTGTTATTACATAACAGTATTTGGTTTGCATGAGCTGTCTTGAGAATTATTGGCAAATCTTTTAATCGTCGAGTTATTATTCAAAGCGTTTTAGCGCTTCTCTCATAAAAATACTTTACACACGTTTTAATTTGACTGGAAGGTATGATTACAATCCAGATAGATTAAACTATACCGATAAATGACCGCTGCTTGTCCAAAGTTGCGCATCAATGGTTTCAGATTTGCCTCAAATTGTTTACAAAATTTTCCAAAATCATTTCCCTTAGAATCATTTTGATTCCCAATATTTACAATTATTCACCTTTCTAATGAGTGACTCGCTTTACGATTTACAATGCATCAGTGTAAACACCTGCTAATAATAGGTTAACCCGAAAAATAGAAGAAAAAACTCCTCGAGTGTTAGTTAATAATACAAATCAGGCAAGACTACAGACAGAAAGAAAATCATGAGAATAAGTAAAGATTAGGAATTAATTGCCAAAAGCAAAAAGAAGCAGTCAGACCAAAGGATTATGTTTCACTTGTTACTAAAAAATAAGAAACATTTTGTTTTTCATCTGAACTCATTTTCTTTTCTTCTTAGGAAAATTTGACTTAAATTTTAATTGCTTTCCCTTACACCTAAATCCATACAAACTAGTTGATCACACAGTGAAAGTAGTTATGCCTGGTGAGAAATGTCCTTATTATCCTATTTTATCCTACAGTCTTTTACTTTTTCAGAGCTGTCTCACAAGCAAATGGTTTTTCATTGACTCATAGTCATGTGAATCCTAACATACTCAATAAAATCCTAGCCCATTCCAAGTGTTCAGTAAATAAAACAAAGGGTGCAGTTGTTTATTACACTCTGTTTTACAGAAAGAACATCTGGAACTGGCCACCTATCATCTTGGGTGGCCAGACCACTAAAGTGTGATGTGTTCCTACTTTTGTGATGTGTGTCACATGTTTATGATGTAATGCATATTGTCATTTCTAACATCTGAGATGACTGGAAAACAGCAAAATTTACTTTACTGTTTGCTTCTATTCACTAGAAACACACGCCATTATAAATTATCCAGTTGTTGGCTTCTGTTCATGCACACTTGAGTATGTATGCTCTAAAAAGGAAAAAAGTAAACTCTATGCAGAAGGATCACACTTGTCCTGTTCAATTTTGTTGGTCGAAAAATCTTTCTGCTCCTCCAGACAGAAAATCCTCCCCAACCTTGCAGTAAAAAAATGGAGAGTGCCCCTTTTCCTTTTCTCAAGACTGACAATCATTAACTCTTCTCCTGTCTTTCCTTTTGATTTTCTTGCACAACCTCATCATTGTCATTAGCTTGCTGCTTGGTGGTATTGTGTTTTTCACTCCACAAAACATGGTTAGGTCTACAGAGATACCTTTTGATGGTCTGACATTCCAGGCATGTAACCACAATGTGTCTCTCTCTTCTCCCTGAAGAAAAGAACACCAAGACCTAATACCTACAAGTCCAGAAATATGGAGTCTTGTCAAATTAAACTCTGGATATGGCACACTAAAGCTTATCTCATTTTTTTGAAAAACATGTATCAAAGTAGAAATCTCCACGTAACTATAACTTTTATCTGCCACAACACTACAACTGCTTCCTTGGAAAATAACACTTCAAGCATCGATGGTTATTTTTTGCGTAAAAAAGCACAGGGTAAACATATTCTACATTTCATGTAGAAACTCAAGATGTTAGTCCAACTTACGTCTGACTCTGACTCTTGCTGTAATTCCTGGAATGAGAAGAACATGACAGTGCTTGCAAATAGTCCTTTTGATGCTTGGATCCCTGACAAAAGAAAACAGTTCGGTTACACACACCAAATGTATTAAAATAAAGTGATTGTTACTTTAAGTAAGAGGTTGATAAAATAAGGTAACAGGGCTGTTTTCTCTGCTAAAGTTTAAAAGAAAAAACTCTCTGTTGTGTGACATTTTTGTTGCCATCTCTCACACTAAACTAATTTCATTCAATAGAAACAACAAATAATTCAGTGGAATAGAAAAACAATGCAATAGCAATTCTTCCTGGATGATATACTTGTACATGGCAGTTTACTTCCTGCTTATGCCCAGAATTTTGTAAGGTTCCCCTGATGGTTCACAACCTTTAAACTCCTTGTTGGAAATAGTCAGTCAGGTCTTGCTAAAGGACACAACAGTATGACACTGACAGGGGTAGAACCCAAACCTTTCAATATAGAATCCAGCATTGAAAACATTACATGACTGTTTCACCCAGTGTTGACCTTAAGTTTCTTGATCAGTTAACCCTTTAACTCCCAAGACCTGATTGTTAATTCTTCCCCTCCAAATACAACACATTTCCTTGTAAATTAGCTACGAGAATTTAGTGTTAAGATCACAATAACAACCTCTGTCTGACTAGTGAGTAGTCTTATTATTTGTTTGCTGGAAAATGCAGCCCCCAATTCAACATTCCACATAAATTAAATAGCGTTGATCCAACACAAATGATAATCCTATAGGTTTTCCATACCATCCAACCATATTCTTATATCAATAAAGTGCTGATTTAAAACACATACAATTTAAACACCAGTTTTTGAGCTGTTGATTTCATTGTGCTTGCATAAAATCTTGACATTTCCACATTTTCTGGGTTGATGGCCAGCACTACATGGGAAGCCTGTAGAATAATTAACAAACATTTGTTTTTATGAGAAAATAGTGGTTAAATCAAAATAAAAGTGTATTTGTTTAGCAGTTAGATATTAAACCATCAGCTTTGGACAGCATTTGAGCTAGGTACAAATAATCTTAAAAAATTTACTTACCTGATGCAAGAAATTTAGCTTATGACATGATTCTTGATTCTGAGGAGACACACCACTTTTGTTCTTTCTACCCATAGTAACTGTACTAAAGTAAGCCTGAAGGTTCTGACGCCATTTTATCAAAAGATTTCAGGGTGATGAAAAGATTGCATTGGAAACTGGTCGAGGAGACTGGGGCTATTACAAACAACCGCTGATGTCTTGCCGTTTCTAATATGAAACGTGCAATTAAACATGGCGGCCGCAGTATTAGCCGCAAAATGACCAAGTTATGATGAACTCTCGTCTTCTGTTGTGTCGTAAGTGGCAATTTTATTGTAGTAATAAGCAAGCTGAAGAGGGCGTTTAACTAGTGTTTTATTTTTAGGTGCCTGTTCGCTGCATCGAGCCGTGGTCCTCTACCGGCATGTCTCTAATTCCAACAAGCCCACTCTCCGTTGGTTGCATCAATATAAAGCACGATTCTCTAGAGTCAAGCCCAAAGAACGTCTTTTGAGTGATTCATATGGCCAGCCTAAAAGTACTAGTGCTTGTCAAAGCAAGGTGGGTCCAGCATGTTCTTAGGTTTTTTCGTAATCAAGTTTCGGGGGAGGTAAAGGTAAACTTAAACGTGGACAAGTTAAGAAAATTCACTACGCTTTGTAATTAAAGTGATCTCTGATCTCTTACCCTTAGTGTGTAACCTGTGTTTTTCAAAGGTGGTTCAGATAATTGCGAGACTGTAAAGATCCAAACGACAGATGCTGAGGTCCTGTCGCCATGTTATCGAGATTACATAATATTAATATATGCTAATGAAGTCAAGACCATCTAACACGAAATAGTAGAGATCACCGTATTTTTGTGAATATTTCCAAATTTTCTTAATCTTTGCTAACAGTGATAGATCCAAGTGGCAAATCATTAATTGATACACAATTCAGGAGAATTAATTTTTAGACATTTTAAAATATTACAAGAAAAAATGAATTTTTTGCAATGTAGCTATTGGAATCACAGTTGCAGCTTCTGTTGACAGACATTCTTAGGATGAAAAATTCTTAGAACTGGTCAATATACAAACTGCTGCTTCAAATAGAGTAACTTACTAAGTGGGCTGTGTAGTCTTGGAATAACAGCAGCTACTTTTTCGGACAATGTTTAGCACCTGGAAAGAAGATTTTTGCTCAATAGAGTGCTGTACAGCTCTGTACAGCTTTGCACAGTTTTGCTTAAAGTTTAAGTTATCAGAGTAAACTTGAGCAAAGGGAAGAAAAAAAATTAGATAGTTGGAGTTACTTGGGCTCAAGTTAACAGATAGTTAATGACTCGAAATATAGAGTAAAATCCAAGGGATCAAGGATTTTGTTTTAGCAAGCAGGGAGTGCAAGTTAACGCAGTGAGCAGGTTCTATTGTATTTGTTGACATTATGTACCCTTTCTTTTCAGCCAAAGTCAACTTCAGTGGCACTGATTGGAAAGACAACATGTGGTGTAGAGGCCCAGGAAAGTCTCTCTCATGTAGAGGAGAAGAGTGATGACACAGAGGAGGAGTGGGTGGAACAGAAAATTGATTGGAAAAAATTGCCAAGACAGTACATGCAGCTGTCGAAGATCAGACTAACAGGTTTGTATTCTTTATTTAGTAGTGGGACATTTTGCAACCTTCAGTGCAAGATTATTATAACTAAAAATTCAACTTAGAATTTTGTTTGATTTGGGCTTAGAAGATGAGAAGTAGCAGTGGGGGGGATTGGGAAAGAGGTTTGTGTTACTATTTAGTACTCCTATTGTTCACTTTTTACCAGGCCGGAGTGGGTACAAGAGGGGGAGGGGATTGGGAAAAAGTTTGTCTTTCTATTTACTTCTCCAATACATGTACTGGTTGTTCACATAGTATTGTGAGTGTTTTTTAGTCAGATGCAGTAAGTATTATTTCCATTTTTTTGTAGGTCTTGTGGTAATCACAGAAATGGCTGGGTATGCCATTGCACCAGGGGCCATGAATCTTAGTACTTTTCTTTGGGCTGGACTAGGAACAGGCCTCTGTTCATCTTCGGCAAATGCATTTAACCAGGTATGCATATTTGATTGCAAATGCTTGGAAAAAAAAAAGATCTTTTTTTTCAAGTGTGTAAGTTGTGATGGTCCTGTGTCATCCAATTTTGATTTTTTATTCTCTTACATTGAGTCAAAATCAGATTAAATTTGTTTGATTGTTTCTTAAAGTGGCTGGAAGTGCCTTTTGACTCACAAATGAGCCGCACACAAAACCGTGTTCTTGTCAGGGCCCGTTTGAGGTAAGCATTGTAACATTCAAACTACACAAGATTCATCCCATGACAAGGAGTCCCTCATGTGTTCTTTATTTTGAGATCAGTTATGTCATTGGTCACTGAAATGTTATTTTTGCATTTGTTTATCCATAGCCCTCTTCATGTGGTGCTGTTTGCCATGGCAACTGGTGTAATGGGTGTTTCTGTATTAACCAGTCAAGTCAATGGATTAACTGCTGCCCTGGGTTAGTACTACACTTTACTAAATATGACTTCACTTCACATGGAGGTTTGACTTTATTGAGCATGTTGAAGGCATGTTAGTGACTGTAAGTAAAATTATGACATTGTATTATTTTGTTCTCTGACAGGGGCAGCCACCCTGATACTCTACACATCTGTCTACACCCCTATGAAGCGTCTAAGTATTGTGAATACTTGGGTGGGGTCAGTAGTGGGAGCATTGCCCCCCCTGATGGGTTGGGCTGCTTGTACTGGAGGAATAGATGCTGGTGGATTAGTGTTAGCAGGAATTTTGTACTCTTGGCAGTTTCCACATTTTAATGCTTTGAGCTGGAATCTCAGAGCTGATTATTCAAGAGGTAATGGATGATCATGTTATTTCTCCACTATTTTTAGAACCCAAATTTACTTTCAATGGAGATTCTCAACCCTCAAACTCAAATGAGTGACCAATACAGAATTTCTCCTTAAAATATTAATTCAAAATCAAGCAGACAAGTTATGGGGACTATTAGTTGATCCAATAACAAGTTCTCCTTACTTGCATCATGAGAGTTGTATGGCATAGAGTAAGGAGAATTACTCATTGGATCTTGTAAGTGAAAGGGTCTATAAGAGAATCTAAGCAATACAGTGCTCAGGGGTCCAAAGTAATTTCTGAATATGAAAAAGAATAGGTGAACATGTCATATACATTTACTTACTTGCTGCTTTATTATTCTTTCCTACCAAGACTGGGTAACTTGATCCTTTTTCTTTTGATGTAGAAAACTTTTGATAATCAATATTAGTTTACTTTATAACAGTGATTAAGCCAAAGAGAACCCAAAACTTATCTGCGCATACAGCATCTCTTTGTCCTTCTGCAGATCATAGTAAGCTTCCTGTGCCATCAGCAAATTTCCTATCCTAATTTTGTTTTGTTTTTCTTGTCTTACCATAGCTGGTTATCGCATGATGTGTGTAACAAATGCACCCCTGTGCAGACGGGTGACACTGAGACACTGTTTAGCATTGGTTGGTCTTACAACACTTCTACCAGCATGTGGAGTCACAACATGGTGGCTGGCTTTGGACTCTTTACCACTTAACTTTTGGAATACTTATTTAGGATATCAGTTTTATAAAGACTCAGATTCAAGGTCTGCAAGGAAACTTTTTCGGTTTAGTCTGATTTACCTCCCGATTCTCATGCTTCTGATTCTGTTTCACAAGAAGCCAAGGACAACACAGGAAGAGGGAATTGTTCAAGTGACATAGCCAGCTTCTTTCCCTCCATGAAGTTTTTATCATACAAATGTCAATTCTTGAGGTCCAGAGAGGAAAATAAGGGTAACCTTGTTTGCCAACTTTGTTTTGGGTCTTCATCACTGATGAAGTTGTTCTGACCTCGTGGTATGTTTGTGGTAAGAAAGTGGTCCGTGTTGGAGGGGCTTCCGCCGATTGGTGTGGCTGATGAAGCAGTTTTAGAATGTTAATTTCTCAAAAAGATGTTCTAGACATAAATTACATTTATTTAAGACAAGATTGACTTCTTTAAAACAATTTCATGGCCTCCCTGTGTGATAGTGTTTGGCATGCACTATTCATGTTTTTACAGAGAACCACAACTAGTGGCAGTGTTGGGCTTGCATAATGCATACAGAATTCATTTTTTCCCTCAGAGGATCTGAGAACTCATTTTCCTTGCTCTCTATAGCCTTTCCTAGGCATTCAGTTGATCACAACATCTGCATAACAGTGCCAGTAGACCAAGATGATAGCAAGGAACAAGAAGGAGATTGGGTTAAACAATTTTACCTTATCCCTTCTTCTTTTTGTTTGTATCCTTCTGCTGGTTCTGTTCTATAACTGTTGGTCTAAGTGAATTTGGACTTTTGTTTAATCTCATGGCCATATATTTCTCTGTTGACTACTAAAAATTTGGTGCCATATCACAGGCTTCCCATCAAGAAAGGTACAGTTAACTGGTACTATGGCAGGGGAGTAGTGTTGAGTAACATTCTCAACATCTGAATGAAAAATACTCACAGGCTCTTGAAATTGAGCCCAGGAATTTTGCTAAATTAGCAGAGGGTTCGTTTTCAATGCATGAGGAACACACTGATATACTACAGTAAAATCCATCAGTTGATACTGTAATCTTGATATTCTGTTTACCTTCCTGCCCAATATTGCATTAAATTTGAGATACTTATCACTTTGAAGAGTCAAAGTATTTAAAATATCCTACATCTTCAACATAATGTTGTCAACTAATATATTTTGTGTTCAATTAATTCATTACTTCTGATTTGGTGACAATACTGAAGTTAAATGTTTTTCCTGTCAAAGTTGCCTTTTATTCATCTACTATTAATATTGTTTTACTGTATATAAAAATGGGAAAGTTTGAATTTTAAGAACAGCAATTTGTAATGTTGTAAATCTTGTACAATTTTACTTGAAATAAATAATTACTGCCTTCATTTGATGAAATTTTTTCTTTACTTTTACTACAAACAAGCAAATTTGTCTAATCAAATTCAATTGTATGAGTGTGCTTCATGATGTCAGCAAACAAATCCCTTGAGAAAAAAATTTTCTCCACGATTTTTTACTGTGGGATTTTACTACTAAAAATCTGGTCAAGACTTTAAGGCAGCAATTTAAGCTAAACATGGAAAAAAGATCATTTACAGCGTAGCAAAATGTTTTCCTGAAGGATATAAACCCTTTCACAACATTTAAACCATTGGGTTGAAAATGTTATAAGACAATTGATTCATATGTCAGCTGTGCATTCGTCAAGATATGAAGCACTTGGGAAGTTTGGAGAGCACTCAAGAAGCTATGCTCAAGGCTATGCCTCGGGCAACTTTTATGCATCTTTTATGCTCTTCAAACTTCCTGCGTGCTTCATATCTCAATGAATGCATGCCAATGTATGAACCAATTGTTAAATACAACATAATAACAATATTTGAAAATTTCCACTTCCAATAATTGTAATTCACTTATATTTACATTTGATTTACTAACATCTACACCACAGAAAAGAGAAAATAGAGGAAAGCATATTTCATAACTTTTATTCTTAAATTTGTTTCACTAAATTAATTTCATACTTTTTTGGATATGTCCTTCTTCCTATTAGAGATTGCTGTTTTTTTAGAGCCATTAGACTTCCATTCCCATTCCTGCAATTTTGATAAAAAATTTTGTTCCATTTCATGCCAAGATCCCAACTATTCTACCGTTTCATTGACAGAGTGACATTTCCCTGTCCAAAAAGGGAGGTCAGCCCACATCTTGTTTACTAGATAATCTATTTTGAGTGACCATTTTACCCTGAGACAGCCACTATATGTTTGTTGCCTGCAGTACCACTGTTTTTCTTCATGCTAGTCCAGGAAGAAGATGTTGTTAAATTGTGTGATGCCCAATCTTTTAACTTCCTCTGCAAAGTAATTGAAATTGCAGCATTATTAAGGGAAATCACTAAACCTCTATTATCGTTTACACTGCACTAATTCATCATTGGCTTATCATAAGTGCGATGAAAAATTTAGTTCAAACCACTCACCATCAATCTCTATGAGGTTTGCACTCTTTTGATTTAAGATCACAAATAATTCTCGTTGGTCAGATTTTCTTCCCACAATCCAGCAATCTGACATTGTTTTCACAAATGTTTCACCATCCTCCTGAAAACTAAAGATAGAGCAAAACCATTAATTTTATAATTATTTATTAGTTCATGAAATTACTCTGGGAAAAGCCAACATTTATGACAGAAGTATTACATTTCAGTATGCTGATGTGAAAATTAATGTATGGTATGTTTATTAAGAATGGTGAGAAGATAATTTTTATACTTTTAGCTAAATAGTTTCAATGTACACAACCACTTTCTAGATAGAATGATTTAAGACTGTTAAAACTTTACCTTGCAAAGTCAGCACTTATGTCACCCATAAGCCTCATTATCTCAGGTGCAACACATGGAAGTGATGACTTTTTGGAGTGAACAGATGACTTCTGAGCCAAGTTCATGTGGTTGAAGTACAGATAGCGATATTGTTGGTCTGAGCTATACATGATCAAGAAAACATTAAAACAGCTAAACTGACAAGTCTCACAAGAGGATAGTGATGAAAATTAACAAAATGAGAGTTCATAAATTAATTAGATAATTATTGGAATAGTATATAAAATACCTTTGCTGTTTCTTGGCACTTTGCTCACCAATAATATTGGCCAGTGTGGTAAGTTGAGGGCCAATAAAGTTGTCAATCTTCCTAAAAAAGTCTAGAGTTGGGTATGAACCTGAAAGAGCAAAATATCACCTCTAATTAACATAATGGTAATTGTTGAGAAAGTAGTTAATTTAAAAATCTGATCAATAAACAATTTATATTTATTTAGAAGCCTGCTAATCAGCATCATCGTATCAGCATTTGACATACCAGAGATCATCAGGCATATTGTTGCTTCAAGCGCCTGGTCAGGAAAGAAAAGAATTCAAAACCAATTAACCCATTAACTCCCACAAGTGATTAACTAGTAACTTCTCCCTAAAATATCCTTACATTATCCAGCCACTAGGTGATGAGAATACTCAAACTTATCAGGAAGAAGTTGTTACCAAATTCTCATTACTTATTTACAAGGAATTGTGTGCCATTTAGAGGGGAGAATTAACAATCAGATCTTGGGGTTAAAAACATAATTTTTTTTGGTAGCAATAAAAGTATTATCACTTGAGAAAAATAACAAAACTCTCCCAATGGGAGACTTTTACTAACTTTATTTTAAAAGCAATAAAAATTATTGTATTCTTGAAAAAAAATCACAAGTGCTTATTTATTCCGAATTAATTGCAAGTATGTTTACCAAAGTTTGATCTTTTGAACTGGGAGCCTAGTTCACAAGCCATTAACTAATAGACAGCAAGTCTCTCAAATTAGTAATTTGTTCTCCACTCCATTTTGACATCACCCCATACTCTGTACCTTGTACACCACTAATATAAGTTCTTCTTGTTCAGAATCTGTGTTAACAAATATCTTTGGTGGGGGTCTTGGTATTGGAACGTCATCCAATTCAGTGGGACCTGTTATGAACCTGAAAATAGAGAAAAACTCTTGACATCCTAATTCAGAATTTAATGTCCTAGTTTTCTTTTGTGAGTGAACATATTGACTTTGTGCATGGAAAATCCCATCAATCAAGTCTGAACATGTTTCATTTTCAATTCTGATTCTCTCATCATGCAGGCAGTCTCTGCAAGAGTCTCTTGCATAGTCATTAAGAGGAAAGTTGTCACCTCTCCATCCCTAACTCCTGCTTGATTTTTGTCAACTTGTGCCATAAGCTAGTAAGGGATGAATCATTTTAATAAAGTTGAAGTATGGTCAGTTTTTGATGTAGTAGTACCTTCCATGGTGAGGCTTGGGTTGAACTATAACATACCCTTGAGATCTTGGATTTTCCATACTCTAGAGAGAGAAGAACCACAGATAAAAAAATTTGATCATTTTAAAATATTTTACACTTATGCATCAGGACCGCTCAGTGAAATAACCAGTTTGAGGATTGCTCTTGACTAATTAACAATAATTCTGTACAGCAAATAACAAACAAAGAAAAAGAGAAAAAAATCAGAGTTACAACTGTACAATCTTTCAATCCCATGAGTGACCAACACAGAATTTCTCCTTACAATATCAATACAATATCAACCAGATAAGTTATGAGAATAGAGAAAAATATCAATTTGGGAATTAGTTGATCCAATACTAAATTCTCTGAACTAACATTATAAGAATTGTATAGTTGACAGCAAAGAGAATTACACATTTGATCTTGGAGGTAAAGGGTTAAGTTAAAATATGCAGAGAGCATAATAAGTACCTCTAAGTCTATTGTGGAAGGAAACAAACTTGTCACCAAGTACTTGTAAAGGATACGCATGTCTTCCTGTTCAAGACCACTCCTGTGAGTGTAATGAGAAGCAACAAATTTTTTAAACAGTTAACAGTTTAGCAACCAAATATGGTGAATATTAAGATGAAACAATATTGTTAGCCAGTTGAGTTTAGTCACTGGTCAGCATAAACCTATCAGAATTAAAAAAATTTTTGGGTCAGCAGTTTATATTGCTCCACCTTGAAAACAACAAGAATAGAATTATTATCAACAGTGGTAAACATTAAATTATAATAAAACAATAAAATTATTATTATTGTAGATCATTCATCACTCACCAGACCAGTTTTTCAGAATAAAGGAAGGATGTATATCTTACTTGGCTGAAAGAGAGATCAGTTTTATTAACATTTTCAATGGTAAGATAACAATTAAGTAGAGGCATACACCAAATATAATTTAAAAAGAAAAGGTAAGTTACAAAGAGCAAGGTTTTCATTTTGTCGCAAAATACAATGGATCATAAGACATAGCCAAAAAGATATTCAACTGATATTAGGTAATAATCAGTACAAGAGTTGAACTGAGAAATTCAACTGTTTGAAGTTTGAATGATCAAGAACAGGAAAACCAGAGGATACATTTAATTTGCTTACATGTATTTTGTTCACAAGAATTAACACTATTCAGAGAGGGTTATCAAATACATAGCTCTAAAATATGAGACAAAATTACAGGAGAGAAAAAACCGGCCAAAATTTTGGCAGTTGCATTTAGTAATTGTGAATTTACAAATTGTCTGTGAAAACAATTTTTCCTTACAAATGTACACCCAAAGAAACAACTCCTCTTCACTAGTCATTACTTAAAAACAATTACCTGAATGTATGTTCAATCACATTGATAAAAGATTGTATCCTTAAAAAGGTGTTTTTATCTAATGGTAGAAAATTGATCCCTTAAAAAAAAAAGTTTAAAAAAATTAGCAAATCCTTTTGATTATTCAACATTTGTCTGCAAATGGCAAAGTAAATATTGTTGAAAATACAAAAGAAGAAGTTGACAAAGACAATATTAACTACGTAGAGTGAGAAAAGAAATTTTTTTGCATATAGTTATACATATAAATTAAACGTTTTTCATCTTTCTGTAAATATGATAAGATACACTATCTTCAAAAGTCTTCATGAGGAAGTAAATTTTGACATTTTCCCTTTAAAAATACTTAATTTAATTAATCAATTTATCATGATTTGTCTTGACTAACTCACCAGAAAAGACATCCAAAAGGTTAAACTGAGAGAAGTTGAGGGTCTGTAAATACTTAAAAGGATTGCAAAATTATTTCAGCAGCAACTTTCAACTTCTAAAAAATCAGCAATACCGAACACAACTGAAATTGTAAGCAAAAAGGTTTCAAGATGACATGACAAGGATTAAAGTAAGATTTAATGAATACAGTAGGTAAGAACCATAATTAAATCAACTATTAACAATATATTGTATATATTGTGACAATATATTTAACAATATATAATAATATGTTATAAAATATATTGTTAATAGTTGATCTAATTATGGTCCTTATGACTAATCATTATTAACACTGGCTACTGCAATGATAGAAAATTTAAATCTACAAAAGTAAACATCTAGAGAACAGGAAAGTGTGTTTACTTACAGAGGTATAAAAATGCTCCAATCTCTTACATAGAGCTTCAATGTTGTAGGTCTTCAAAATGTAGGAGAATGTGCCATTGAAAAGCTGAGAAACACCCATCAATTATTAATTTAGAAATCAATGATAATAATTAACTGACAGTGAGTTTGTAATTGTTTACATTCTATAAAGACATAAATATGAAAGCAATCTTCACAGTAATGAACACTACTTGAGCAGTAGTGAAAATAAGGCCTGAAAAAAAATCAGGCATGTACAGGACTTGAACCCATGACCTCTGTGATACTGGTGCAGCACTCCACCAACTGAGCTAACAAGCCAACTGGGAGCTGGTCATTATGTTGGTTCCAAATAAACCAATATTTCTCCAGGCCTTGTTTTCACTACAGCTCAAGTAGCATTCATTACTACAAAGATTGCTTTCATGTCTTTATCTGCATTTCAAATACATAACTTTCATATATTCACAGTTGTTTATTCCATTAAGAATCATAGAAAACAGCCAATTATTATAACAGATTTATTTCAACTTGTTAAATGCCAAAAAAAGTTATTCACACATAGCCATCCACAGCTGTAACCTGAATAGCATTTGGAGAGAACTGCTGGTAAGACTCTTAGTCTACATTCTCCTCCCTCTCCTCCCCTAACACAAACACATTCGTCCACCCCTCCCTCTCCCAATACACACACTTTTCTCTTACCTTAAACATCTTGTATGCCTGTTTTAAAACACCATCTAGCACAGAATCCTGAGTGGGGAATAAATAATCAATAACTAAGAAAATATGTTTAAGCCATTATTTACAGAAGGAAACAAGTATTGGTACTCACCAAAACATCTTCATCATGATATTCAACAAACATCTTGCCATCCTTAGTCATCTTCTCACTGAAGGGAATGCTAACTGTCTGTAAAATTAATTTCAAGTTACCTTGTTCACCCTTTAACTCCCATGAGTGACCAAGACAGAATTTCTCCTTACAATATCAATGCAATATCAAACAGATAAGTGATGAGAATTGAGAAAATTTTCAATTTGGGGATAATTAGTTGATCCAATACTAAATTCTCTGAACTAACATTATATGAATTCCATGGTTGACATTAGGGAGAATTTCAAATTTGATCTGGGAGTTAAAGGGTTAAACAATACTGTTGTACCTGTTGGTTAGCTCAAGGCAAGATATTCGTGATTGTGATTTCATAGAAATTAAATGCTACCTTTTCAAATGCTGATTTATGAAACTATTGCATATCTCACAAACCAAAAAACACCTACCATGATCATCCAGAATTCTGGTTCTGCTTCAAAGAAGACCTGTCTTGTTTTCTGTGTGTGCAAAGAGTTGCATGGTTTTTCTGGTGAGAATGTCCTACAGTATGCAAGTTGAAAAAATGTGTAACAAATCAAAAATTAAATTTTCTTGTATGCAGTAGACCTATTGGCCTCCCACCCATTTGTTAGGGTTTTTAACCATGATTTGTTTCACTTGACTTCTGTTTTTGTTTTTTAATTACAGACGTATATTAAGAGTGGTAATAGGAATCTATTTCTAGATTAGCACCATGCAAGTGCTGAATATTTTTGCGAACCCTGGATTGCTAATGAGCTCGCATACAAATATATAAAATTATAATATTTTTCTGACACTGCGAAAACGTCTCTAACAAGTACAAGACAGCTTCAAGGAGATTTCATCTTACTCAGTGAACTTAACCAATGCTTCACAAAGGCCAATGTTTTTTATTTTCTTGTCTAGTTCTTCACCAGTCGGGATGTAGAGAATTATCTTTTCCTTTTCCTGTTGTTTGAAAAAAAAAAACAAACTCACAAACAAAGTATTATTAAAATCACCTAATCTCAGGTTCCTCGATCCAGCTACTAATAGAGAGACCTTCTGAGTAGCATTCAGGACTAGGATGGTCGTTCAATGGATACCCTTTCAAAAATACGACCTATTTAAATCCTAAAAAAGTTCAGAAATTCACAAAACTGGATATAACTTGCACACGACTGTTTCAGGAACTCATGATCACAGGAACTCATGATCACAGGAACTCTGGAAAGGTTGAATGAAGTTTAATTTGCTTTCCACGAACGATGAACGCCATTATGTAAATATCGGTATGGAAGAAAACGAAAAAAAGAACATACCATTCCTTCCTTAGGTCCAAAAGTGGAATTGTAAATAAAGAAATTGACCAGACTTGGAGATGTTTTCATGGATGCCATTTTGGATTTCTCTGAGAGACTTCGTGCTCAATACACACTGTACTCTATGTTCATATAAGTATGCCGCTGGTAATTTTCGACTGCAATCAAAACATCGGAGAGGATTCGCAGCAAAGGAGCCGTTGACATTTCAGCAACCAAACGTTGAAAAATAAGTTTCTCATTGCAAAAAAAAAAATGAACTTCGATCGAAAATCAGTAGGATAGTAGCTCGATTTGCTGTGGATAACGATGGATGACATTTCTCTTAGGAAGCGACAGCTCGACGACAAACTAGCTCAGGTATTTCCCTTGAGTAATTTTCACTCCTGGTGGCTGGCAGGAAATTAAACCCAACATAGGTATTTCTGTGCGTCTAACTCGACTTTCTGAACATTTATTCGTTTCTCTACACTTAACTTAATTTTTATGGTGTAAAATTCGTTTCTCTACACTTAACTTAATTTTTATGGTGTAAAATAAAAAAGGAGATATCCCCCATGTAAAATTCACTCTATTCAGTATGTTGTCGGTTAGTCCAGCCTCACGTTTATCGATTAAAATTCTTTGGTAATTCGCAAAATGATTTGCTGGTAAGTAATGATCATCTTAATTTTTTTTCACTTTTGTATTTTGAAGAGTACTGAGAACCATCTTGCATTTATCGCACGTAATTTTTCAATATTACTTTTCCATAAACAACACTCTGTCTCTAATTCTTCATAGCCCGCAGGCTATTCCTGTACGTTTGCTTGTGCAGGGTTAGCATGATGTTACCATTTTAGCTATTAAATTCTAGGAGTAAAGAGTGCCAAAAGCTTTGGAAAGATAGGTTATATGAACAAGGAAAGAAGGTATCAAGTCTCTTTTACAAATTTTCTTTCATTTCAGGAGAAAAACATCTTGGCTTTTCTCAAAGACAGCTTGGAAAAGACTGATCAAATTACAGGGAATATGGTGAGTACAATTCCCCTTTTGGTTCCACGTTGCTAACTTTTCTTATCCAGACAATTGACAATGATAATGAGTCAACTTATAAAAAAACAAAAACATGACTGTCCCACAGAGGTTGTTTACCTCAGAGCTCAACACACTGACTGTTCATGCTTATGACTTCTATCAAGAGTTTTATTCATGATTCTGGCCAGAGGTTTGGGGGCTACCCCTGGTAATATATGTAATACTCACCCAGGGGAGGATGATACAAAAAATGTTATGTGATGTTATAAATTAAACAATTATTGTCCTGGTATCTGGTGAGAGACCCTCTTAATGTAAAGTGCTAATATTCTCATCAGTATTCAAGGGCATGCAGTGAAAAACAGTGCTTACTCAAAGGATATTTTATGCACACCTAGTTGGGATCTTTTTCTTGTCATGAGGGTGAAAATCTATTACCGTTTTACTTGTTTGTATTTATAGCTTGATATCTTGTCCAAGTTTGAGGTGCGCATACATAAACTGGAAGACACCATTGTTCCTGTTCATCGGGAAACTGATGACTTGCAAAGAAGACAAGCCAGTATCCTTAAAAAGCACAAAACCACTCATTAGACAAATAAAACTAAGAATAATATCTCAAGTCATTGTATGCCATGTTCTGAAATAAATGTTAAAGTAGTATTTTGAGTGAGTGCTTGTACATTGAAAGTGATCAGTTATGGCATAAAATGATGCTTTTTATGATACACCCATTCTGTAAAGCCTGTAGTTAGTGATCAACTTTATTTAGCAGTCACCCTACCATTCCTTGTAGGTGATCACTTTGTGCAGGTTCAGCTGTACTTTTAATTATGAACTTACTTAATGGGCATTTTCAGCCTCTCCTTCAGACATTTCTAAGAAATCAAGATACGGAGAAATTCCTCCCTGGGAGAGAGGCTAGCAATTTTAATGCATTAATGGGTTTTTGAACAATTTTAGTGTGCAGATGTGTTTCATTCAATTTTTTTATTAATTTAAAAATGTAATGAAACACGACAGCACACCAAAAAGATATTATGGTATATTATGTACAAGTAAACAAAGAACAAACTTTAACTGGAAGTCCATCCAATAGAAGGAGGCTTACTTTGAAAGGGACATGCTGTTTTAAGCAGCCTTAGAGAAAAGCTCAGTTTCATTAAATTATTATGTAACATTAAACTTCTTAACCATTCCCAGATATTGATAAATGTTTGTCGGCATTGGATCATGTGATCAGTTATCACCATGTCTCTGCTAGTGTGGAACATGTCATCAGAGATTCGTAAGTATTAATTGTGCAAGTGCACATTTTCAAACAGGGCAAACATAGGAGATTTCCTTAGGCCTTTAACTTCTGTGAATGACCAGGAGACGATTTCTCTCTACAATATCAAGACAATATCAAGCAGATATTTAATGATGTGAATGAAGAAAAATATCAATTAGGTGATATTAGTTGATTCAATACCAAATTCTCAGAACTAACATCATAAGAAATGTATAGCAGAAAGTAAGAAGAATTACTGATTAATAAATGTTATCTTGGGAGTGAAATGATTGGTTAAAATGGTGTTAATTTCTGTAACACTTATTATTGTAATGCTGTTTTTCCTCCAGCCCCACTGGTCAACTGGAAGCTTACATTAAAAATCTTGAAAGAGTGCTAGATGCAATTGAGTTCTTTAATCACAACAATCCTAATTGCATGGAACTCTCTAGCCTGGTATGTATACTGAGTTGTTTTTGTAAAACTGTACCTTGCTATAAGCTCAATGATTTCCAAAGTGGCCTTATAAAAGGTGGCCAAAAGGGATAAGGTGGTGGCCACCAAGATTAAAGTAGTCTCATAATGTATGAAAGAAATTTTTTTAGTCACTGTTGGTAAAGTGAGTCATTTCTTTGCAGACTGCTCTGCGTGATTATGGACGTGACTCACTAGAGAAAGAATTCCGCCTGATGTTAAACAGGCACAGTAAACCTGTTCCTGTGGAGATGATTGTGGAACTGGTGGAGAGTGAGACAGGTTGCTTTTCAGTTATAATTTTTACCATTTAGTTGTCCCTGTGTAAACCGGATATACTTTAACTCAAGTATTGGCTCAAAATGATTTCAATTAAATTTAATTCAACTTGGTCTTTGGTTTTTAGGTTTTTTACTGCAACCCTTAAACCAAAGGAGAAACAAATCAGACTTGTTTGAAATCATTCTAATATGAAATATTTCTTTAAAACATGAACAACACACTGGACAAAAATAGAATACTTTAAGTCTTGTCAAAATGTATCAGCTTAGCAAAATAGAGATTGAAAGCTTAGAGAACTTCACACTTTAATAGTAATATATCACTTTCTATTATATTGGCTTTCCCTCCTTTTCAATTTATATTTTTTACTCACAGAGTGTTATTGATGAATTGGGCTTTCCTTTAAGCCATCTTAACCTAAACATTTATTTTTTTCCATTTTTCTCTCTAAAGAAAACTCAATGGAAAATGTCAAGCTAGAGCATTTATCAGGTTTGTAACCAAGAACTTACTATTACTATTATTAATATTATTATTTTTTTTATTTAAGTTCAAATGAATAGGACAGACTGGAAGCTGTAGAGGTCTACAGTAATGTCAGATAGCAAGCATGGAGTGCATGTCAACTGCGTTGACTTAGGTCACAACTGAAGTCATGTGAGGGTAATTTAATATTATCAACGGTATTATCACGGGTAGGAGTTTCGAAGTTGACGTTTCAAGCATCAGCCCTTCGCATTCACTCCAACAAAGGGCTAACACTCAAAATGTCAGCTTTGAAACTCTTCACGGTGGCCAATTTGATAATACCAAATAACCTTGTTACATTACCCTCCCACCAACACAGCACGACAGTTTCTTTAGAAACCTATTCCCTCTGTTCATAAAGCCATATATTACCTTATCAGTGGTCAGATCTGTGTTAATGTTCTGTCTCTTCTTTTACAGAGAAAGTTTTAGAAGACTTATGTACCATAACCCACTGGCTGAATGGACCTGGATATGATGAAACTGTGGGTGAGAAAACAGAATTTACTCTGTGGAGCTTTATCCTTCACTGTTATTTTCTAGAAATTTGTTTATTTAAATACTTTTAATATATTTTTAGTTTTTTTCTGTAATAACATGCAAACTTTTGAGTTGTGAATTAACCTTTTAAACCCTTCGAGTGACCAGAATCTAATTTCTCCCAACAGTGATACTCCTGAATCATTCACTAAGGTCATAAGAATAAAAGGAAGTGATCGCCAATCTAAGTTGCTCTGATTGTTAATTGAATTCTCCTTGTCAGTACTGAAGGAAATGTATAGAGAAGGGTATGGAGAATATGGATACTGATATCAAGTGTTAAAGGCTAAGATATGTCTTTGGCATGTGTGTTCTAGACTGCCATCAATTATGTGGTGGACCTTTTGATAAACATGCTTCAGAGAGTTCAAAAGGTCATTTTCTTGCGATATGATAATAATATAGATTTAGCCAAGCCTAAAAGCGGAGCTCGCATTTTTTTTTCCTGTACGTTTCAATGCCTTGCCCCAGCCAGGACTAGAACCCGGGTCATCTGACTTGAAGCCCAGTGCACTGACCACTGGACTACTGGACAAAGCCATGGCGTTGGTATGCCCACAGTACAATTGACCACTCATGCTGAAAGTAGCACCTTGTACAGTTGTACAGTTGTATGGTTGTACATCCAAATTTTTTTGGCTTGATGGGTTTAACTACTATTTTGTATAATTATGGGGCTACGGAGCTCCACTATTAGGATTTTAAAACCACTTCCCCAATAGAACTTAACATTTTGTTTGTCCTTCAGATTTTATGAGTGTCTATGCCCAAATCAGATCTAATTCCCTTGTGCGATCTCTACAGGGGTAAGTCATTCTAGTTGTGAAGAAAAGTTTGTTACATGTATGAGCTGCATTTAGAAATCTTCCTTTCAACCCTGTAACCCCTTAGAGTGACTAGCATCTAATTTCTCCTTACAATATCACCCCTGAATCAAACATTAGGGTCACAAGAAAAAAGGAAATGATCATTAACTTAAAGAGCTCATGATTGTCAAACAAATTCTTCTTGTCAGCACCTTAGGAAATTTATAGAAAACAGTATGGAGAATATGCATACTGATGTTAGGGTGGAAAGAGATAATGATTTGTATGTCAACTGGCATTTTTTTTGTTCCTTTTCAGGTTAAAAGATGTAAGTACAGTTTCTTTCATTTAAAAGAGAAGAATGTGAAGCTAACTGCATATTAAGTCATGGTGATCTGCATTAAAAACATGAGTTTTACTCAGAGAAAGTATTGTAACTATTTATCTTTCATTTGCATTCAAACTAAGGGGACGTTTCCTTCCTAAAACTCAGTAAATCTTCCTTTTCTATTTTTTATCATCAACAGAATGCCAATCATTTGTTTGTGTGATACCTGTACTTAAAAATGTAAAGTTGTTCATGACTTTTAATTGTTTTCTTTTTGAAAAGTAAACAATGCTTTGTATTTGGTCTTTTTGATTTTATGTAGTGTTATGGCAGCAAGATGAAGTCTGCTCCAGGTTGGTATCAGTCAGTTTATTGTACAAATTGTACACTTACCCTCTCTACCCAGGAATATAATTGAACCTGGTTATACTTTTAGGGAAACTTGACTTAGAATTGTGGGGTAACCTGCCATTGATCTTCCCTCCTCCCCTCCCCTTTTCATAGGGGTAGCCATAGTCCAAGTCACTTGATGATACAGAGAAAAGAATATGTTCCCTGACCTATCTTTAGTAGTCCCATGTGCAGGCACTTCCTCACCTGCCGTAGAGCAAGGTAGCCTGTGTGTAGCTGTACCCCCCCCTTCTGATGCTCGTTGGGGGAGAGGGTACAGCTACACACAGGCTACAGCAAGGAGATTCAGAACTGTACTGAAGGACAGTTCTGGTCTTTTTTTTATTTTCCCAAAAACAGTAAACACTAGAGCGTCTTTGTTACAAGCAATGCCTTTGTTGGTTTATTTCTGTCACTTATATGGTTGTAAGGGATTTGTTATTTTTTCAAACAATATATGACTCAATGAATTAACTGTACAACTCTGACTTTGTATCTTTTATCATTGACAGGTGGTATAACCACACCCACCAGAAAAGGAACAGCTAAAAGAAGAGAGTATGCTGATATTAGTCAATTCTCACTTCTGATAACTTAACTTTCAATTATATTGGTCTCCAACTTGGATTTTTACGAATTAACTTGAATTACCAAAACAGTACATGCCAATTCAACGATCCAATGGTTCCATAGTATGTATGCTCAAAATGATGGAAACTTCACAATTTCATCAAAAATGATTCGGCCTCTTATTAATTAAGACCTATCCATTTATTTGCCCACAAACAAATTCACCCAACTATACTCACTGTTACTAATCTTTATTCAAAATGGCAAAATAAAATATTTCTTGCTTTAAATAAAAAGAAAGAAAGAAAGAATTAGAAAGATTTAGATCCCATCTCCTCTTTCTGGTACATCTGAGGGTTAAATTGTTGTTGGAAAAAGTTAGGACCGAGGAGAGTACAATTCAGGAAGTTACCGGGGGAGTAATTTCAGACTACTTCAGTCCATGTGCCTTGTCTTGAATTACAAGGTAAAATCTGTTCTCTACTTCCTCACAAAAAGTTATTTCAATTTATTTTTTCAGAGGCTTGCGTCGTGTTCCGTCAAAGTCAGAACATCATGGTAAACGTTTTCATGATTATTTTCCACGATTTTCTTTGAAGGAGGTGTTTTTTCATTGAAAGAAATATTTGATAGCTTGTCATTAAGGAACTTAGCTTGCTTTTGAGCAATGAGAAGGATATCAGTTGATGTGCTCTTATTGTATGATTTAAGGTGACTTTTATTTTCGTTCAAATTCTGTCAGGTCTTCCTCGTCGTACCTCAGCCATCCCAACAGAGGTTGGAGCTTCCAAAGAAGAAGAAGAGTAAGTTTTAATTTAACCTTTGAAGTATCAATTATCAATGGTGAAAGACACGCCCGTTTGAAACTCCTGCCGTATCACGGCAAAACTTATTCTAATATCCGCGATAGTAAGCTAATTTATTTTATTGTTTCATTTCTTTAAGAGAAATTGATGCTGCAAACTACATTGTGTTTTGTAAATCTTTGCTGAGACTCATACAGGTCAGTAGTTGGATTAGAAATTGCAAAAAGTGCGGTGTGGTTTGAAGATAAAAGTGTCGTCAAGTATCCAAGGCGAAACAGGAGAAGATTTGTTGGGTTCGATTCTTAATCCCACTGAGGATTTTACAGTTATTGTGACTCTTTTAAGAAGAAATGGTATAATTTGGTCAATATTGCAAGTCAACACAAACTCTAGAAATTTTGAGGGTATCTTTTACCCGTAAAAGAAACGTTGTCTAGTCTGTTTGTGCAGCAAGAGATGTTATCTCTAATGTTAGTGTTTTTGTTTTTTGTTGTATCCATACTGTCTTGTTAGAGTGAACGAGAGCTAATGAAGAGCATCATTCCCGAGCAGAGTCAAAGCACCACTTTTGATACACTTATTCAGGCCGCTATGGAGGATTTCATTGCCGAAGGGGAGGTAAGTGATCCCCATGTTATCACGCGACAGTTTTTAATATTCTTTTGCAATTCCTCTTCGTGTAGTAACATTTAAACACAACGAATCTTGGTCTTAATTATTAAAAATCAGTCGAAACGCGCATTCCTCTCGTACGTTGGTACCGATTTTACCTTTACATCAGCGCTTGTAGTCTGTGGCGTTTTTTTCCTTCGCAGCCATAGGCATGTTTTCCTGCACTTGGATTTGCTTGCATGTTTTCTGGCGCTTAGATACGATTGTATTTTTTCCCGCGCTTGGAGCCAGTTGCATGTTTCTTAGAACTTGGAGCTAATTACATGTTTTCAAAGACAAACCTGTCCGTCATATCATTGATGAACGCGCAACAAAGCTTTTTAAACATTAATTTTTTTCTCTTTCAGTCCATCATAAGTATCCTGAAGCGACATTTTGGCAAGCACAACTACTCCGCCATTCAGCAGGTGTTTCCAATACTTAAGGAATTCAATGCCATTCAACCTGATTTCTACGTCACACTGCAGGTACGATGATATTTATTTCAATGTACTGCTGATGTTGTTTTAGTTTGTTTTCCTGTGGAGATAAAGTCGATAAAAGGACAAGTCCTAGCCGCTCGGCTCTCTCTAGAGACACGACAGAATCTTTCAAAACAGATCTTGTTTTCTCGTTTTACAAGATATGGATTCATTTTCCTTGCAGGAGACATTTCACAGAACCCAAAAACAGTTCCCAACTCTAATTCATGAATTGGAGTCCCTGGTAAGTCATTTCAGCGAATAACGTAATGAGTCCATTCATTCTAAGCTTCAACATCCCCCCTGGGTAATTCCCCCCGGGCATTTGAACTTTTGAAGATTGGTCTGTTAAAATTCCTGCCCCACGGGAAAACATTTTGTTCAAATGCCCCGCCGCTAAAGGAAACACCAGCGACCATAACTTTCTACCCATTGACCAAGCTTAAAAACCCAGACCTTGTAGACCTTTCTTGTAAGCCATTCTCTTGCTAAAGTCAGCTATTTACCTTAAAGACATATAAGACTTGTATTCCGCTGGAAAGACTTGAAACTTCTGGTTCAAATTGCCCACCTCAGCCAGGCGGGGTTCGAATTCCCCATCCCCCGGGCTCAGACGACGGTCAAATGCCCCTGGGTTTCTGGGGGAGGGGGGGATGTTGAAACTTCAAACTGATTGATGAGCAGACAGGTTTACCTCACAAGACACTTCGCCAAAAAAGAAAGGGAACCAAAATACAAACCACTTAAGATATACTTATTATGAAACTTCATTTACTTATTGTTAGCATTGTTGGGTAATCTTGGACGGTTTCATCGAAAAACAACTTTGTATTGACATGAAATTAAAGCTGCTGCACATATTTAAAAGATAACCCATTGTTTTTTTTGTTTTGTTTCATAGTCTGCCAAGGCCTTGGACGATTTTAAGGAGGGCATTAAGGTGAAAATGAAGTTATCTTTAACGTAATTTTGGGCTTGTAAGAATTTTGTTATTGTCTCGTTTATCTGCCTTGGCAACGATGTGTGTTGTTCTTGAAGAAATTACAGTTTCCGCTCATAAAAGATGGGCATAACCTTTCTCCTAGAACACCTTAAATTACCTTAGGCGCTCTTATGGTTTTTATTCGATGCCCTTCGTTTAAAAAGTCACCCTTATAAGGTAGACTTAAATCGTATGTTTTATTCATAAAATTATCTTGAATTTTCATTTCAGCAAAATCCTGACAAACATTCTAACATGCCAAGCGATGGAACAGTTCATGAACTCACTAGAAACGTATGTTTTATCATGTTATGAACCTTTCTTTTAGTTAGGCAGTAATGCCGTATAAGACAAGAAAGTGATTAAGCTATCGGAGTGCTGGTCTCACGTAGTACAGTTCTATGATGTCCAGCAAATATGGATTGTTTCAATATTCTTATCAGCACTACTCCTGAACGGTACGACAAAGTCAAATCAGGACACTTGACATACTTTGCACTTTCCTCTGTCTCACCGTTTCATTTGTTTTTAGACACTTATTTTCATGGAACAGCTCCTACCCTACACTGAAACAGTAGGAAGCATGTTGGTAACTATGCAAGGTAAGAGTTAGCTAACGTGACAGGCGCGATATCGTGCGGTAAATGTGCGAAGATGGTCATACATGCGCGCGTGATGCCTCGCTCATTGGCGCCTGGTTAAATCGTGTACCTGCGATGCGGAAAGAGTTCCATCTACTCGCTCCATCAGTTAGTTTATATTGATACATATGTTCCTGCCGTACTGTTAGCACATTTACAAATGCAGACTTATGGAAATCGCAAAGTACTGCGGCAAAGATCAGAAATACATGTATGGTCTGACCGCACTGAAACGCTGCCTTCTCTAGGTTCCTCTGTTGATTACGTTTTATATTGCAGAGGACCAGAGCGGAAATTTCTTCACAAGAGAAAGAGAACTCTTCGTAAAGGTTGTCTCTGAATACATTCGTGAGTATCAAGTTGTCTTCACTTCGTGTATTTTTTACAAATTTTACACTTCTGTTTTCAAGTGATTTAGGAACTCACTTCATCACTTACTCAGTTAGAAGCAAATACGAACCTTACACAAAAGTGAAAAAAAATATTTTTAGAGGGAAAGTGTTGTTCAGTAGATACAGTTCGAATAACCTGTATGGGTACAAATTGTAGTACATAAACTATTCCCTTTACACCTATCTGTCTTTTGTAGAACGTGTACTTGGGGCACTGGGTCTGAATCTTGAGCTCAAGGCAACAGTGTACGAGGCACCAACGCTTAGTTCTCTCTTCCTGCTGAATAATTACAACTACATAGTAAAAGCCTTACAAAGGTAAGAGGGGCAAGTATATTGAGACGATTCTTAGGGTAAAATTGCTAAGTGGCATCAATGGTTTGATTCATGATGGGGTTTGTTCTCTTAACCATGCGCAACCCTTGAAAAATCAGCATTGGAAGTCGTATGCAGAGTTATAAGCTTAAGGGAATCACCATATGCGCGCGCTATGGTAGACGAAACCAGAATATCGTTTTTTTTTTTTTTTTTTCAAGACAGCTATGCGTCTGAAGCCTTGTTGATTGAAGGCAACGTGAAATTATTCTGCGCATGCTTAGTCAGTATTTATTTTTTTGCCTTTGGAATGAATGAAACAGGATTATCTGAGCCGCAAACAGAGGCGGTGAAATAAACCTTTCAAAGGTCTAGTGGCCTTACGAGACGGGGCTTCGAATGTGAGCACTGCGATCGTTTTATAACTGAGCTCCTGAAAATCCCGACAGCTGTTAAATTTATGACAATTCTGAGAATCAGAACCCCTGTTCATGACATGGGCACGGTTAGCTAATAAAAACGCGGGTTTTCTGAGCGAATTACCATAGATTACTACAAAACTGTTTTTTTTTAATTTTCAAATTTCTCTCTGTGTTGTAAAATTGAGAGTCATTGTCGCCGAAACTTTCATCTTGTCGCTTGTAGGTCAGGTCTCCTCACTCTTCTTCAGGAAGGTGGAATTACAGGGGTTGAAGATCAATACCAGCAGTTGATCGCTGAGCATAAAGAAACCTATCAGAAGTGGTATTACATTAAATATATCCGTGTCACGATTGGTTGTTTGATCTGGCTATCTAACGGACAATGAAAATACTGACTGATTGCCGGACTGGCTAATTGACTGACTGACTGACCAACTCACTGCCTAACTCACTGCCTAACTGTCGAAAGGATTGACTGATTGATTGACTAACAAACTAGCTGACTAACTGATGGATTGACGGATGGACCGAGTGAATGACTGATGACTGTCTGACTGACTGACGGAGGGACCGACTGACTGATTGTCTGACTGACGGACTGATAACTTACTAACTGACAAAAGGACTGGCCAACGGACTGTTTGACTGATTGACTCCTTGACTGACTAACTGACTGAAAAACTCGATGACTGACTTAATTTTATATTGATGACTGTCTGACTGATATACAACTGACTGACTGACTGAATTCACTGACTGTCTGACTGACAGACCAGCTCTAAGCCGTTGTTTGCTTGATATTAAGATTGATTCAAATGTTTGTTATTCTCTAGCTGGAATAAAGTTCTTACTGTTTTAATGGAAGTGGAGAAACCAATGTCAGGTCATAAAGGAAATGATCCACAGGCCAAGGTAAGTTTAAAAGAACCAGGACATTTATTTTGTCGTAACTGCGGCGAGAAAGGATTATGTAGGTTGCCGCACTGTTGACTCCCGCTACTTGCAAGACATTTTTGTTTCACCTCGTTTGGTTTGTTCATTTGTTTTTTCATAACTTTACCCTGAAAACTCAGCCCTCTTTTATCAGAGTTTTACTAGTCAAACTGCTGTCTACAATATTTGTTGTTTTATTCCTAGTAAAACAAGTCTTTAAAAATTACCTACGTGATTTTATTCTCTGAGGCCTTCACGTAAACATGAACTTGTTACTTTCATATTTCATACGCAACCTTACCTTTATTCTCTCTTCCTGTGTAGCTAAAAGATAAACAGCGACAAATGATAAAGGATAAGTTTAAGGTAAACATTGATAAAAGTGAGTTTATGAAAGCATGCTCTTCCCTTCCCACCCCTCCCCCACCCTCCCCCAACTCTTTCCTCCCAAGTCGAGTATTGCCTTTGTATTGGTGACTTTATAATAGTCGACTACATTCTTTTTTTGTTTTGTTTTGCTTTGTTTGTATGTTTGTTTGGTTTTTTTTTTGAGGGGAGGGAGGGGGGGGGGGAGGGGAGGGGGGGGGAGGGGAGGAGGGAGGGGGGTAGTGGTAAGAACGACTGGGTTATTCACATCAGTCGCGTTTTTAGTTCTAATCCTTGCCGATGGGGGTTGGCAAGCACTCAAATAGGGTCTACAAATGTCATTACCAAGAAAATGCCCGTTTTTGTTCTTCTAGGGTTTTAATACAGAATTTGAAGAGCTTTATCAGATACAGAAAACCTATGCAGTCCCTGATACACAGCTTCGAGATCAACTGCGGGGTGAAAATGTGACCCTTATTTTACCCCTGTACACTTCATTTCGACAGAAGTAAGTAGTGACTTGAAATCAGTATTTCTTAGCTTTTTCAGGCTCTAGCTTTGAAAATGCAAAACATATCTGTGGTTTCTGAATCAATGTTAGACCCACCTGTTGAAGATTATTGGATGCGCCCTTGGTGATTAGGGTGCTTCAGTTCTACGAAGAAATTCTCTTATATGTACTACTTAGGGGAAAGTGACTCGGTTATCTGTTGAAGGAAGTCCTGGGAATGAAGTCTTTAATGATAAGGCATCGCACAATTTTGTTCGATTGTTTTAATAGCTTAGATAATAACTAAGTTGCTCCCTTCCCAAGAAACTTCACCAGTAAATCTCGCTGGTCATAAGGGGGTTATGAGAAATGCATGGTCACTTGCACTAGTTCGCAGGCCTTCATTATCGGTGCTGCAGGACCCGCGTTTCTCCGCCCGCGGAAAGATTTAAAGACGAGTCGAGAGAGGTTTGCCAGGGGTCTGGCCCAAAGAATGCTGGAACCCCTTGCAGGCCGACGTTGCCCAAGGTCACATACTTTCCTGCAGGCGAAGAAACGCTCATCCTGAAGCACCAATGCTAAGGGCTTACTCACAGGCTACACTTTATTTCTAATGCCATGTTGACTCGGTTGAATCTGATTCTTTTTCTTCTGTAGATTTGCAAATTTACCCTTTACAAAGAATCCTGAAAAGTACATCAAATACTCTGTGGAGGCTGTAGAAGTCATGATGAAAAAGTTCTTTGATGTCTCGGCATAACTATCGTCATGTTGCTCGTATTCAATACCAAACATTGATGGTGTTCTGTTGTTTTGATTCTTTTAATTCAAGTTAATGGCATTTATCGTTGCTAAAGTACATTTAAAAGACAAACTTTGTTGTTCGTAACATTTTGTAAAGTCATTTTTCCAGCTGTCATGCGAAAACTAACCCAAAAATACATCCCTAATGTACTCAAAAAACAGAGGAAAAATATATCACTTTGTGAAACGAATACTAATGAATACTGATATAAACATTGAAAGCAGGTTCTATAATAAATCATAATTAACAGGTTATTCAGGCTGCCTTTCCCACTTAACTGAATTTCATTAGCCCTGTAACCCTCAAGATCTGAATATTGATTCTTCCCTTTAGCTGCTACGCATTTTAGTTTCGAGAGTTTGGTGGTAGATTAAGATAACATCTTCCTAATACGTTCGAGTATTCTCATCACTTGTTTGCGGAAGGCCGATCACATCTGAGAGATAAAGGGTTTACATCAAACGAGAGAATTAAAGTGTTGCAGTACATTTGTGGATGAAATGTTTGTATTACAAGGCGTAAAATTCAATCGGTTGGAATCGTCAAAATAGACCTGTTAGCTTTAAGTCAACTTTTGAGTCAGGATAAATTTCATGCTTAAAGAAAGATATCGTCCTCGCGTTCAAACATGCTGAAGAAGTTCCTGCCGCCTTCACATTCGCTACTCTCTAAAAACCTGAAAGAAAATCAACATTAGGATTCGAACGCAAGCCATCTAAATCCTTTACACACAAATATTTGTAACTTTAAGCTTTAATCTTTTAACAGGTATAACTTGATGTACTCCTGATTGTCGATCAAATGATGTGTCAAAAATCGTGACGAAACAAGTAATCTGACATGAAGTACTACCGTGCTTAATCTTTGTCTTTTGCTCCCGCTTTCTTCTCGGCTAGCGGTGCAGCACGCATGAAATACACACGCTTTCGTAGAGCTGGCATCTCGTGCACGACAAATTACGGTTAGAGATTTACTACTTGCAGTCGGGAAAGTGATCTTACCTTGATTCATGTTTATTTTCTTCCCCATTTCTTACTTTATTCTTATTTTTCCCGTCGGCGCGCCATTTGAACATTCCAGAAACCGTGTTGTTGCTCTAAAAATGAGATAATTTGACTTAGATAACTCGAATCGAAAAACGTGACGTTTGAAATGGCCTCCTACGGTAAAACATTACCATAGGAAATGACATTGGCAGAGTAATTACCCAACAGCAAACTGAATTGATTTACCATTTTGCCCAACGGAGAGGCAGTGCTTTTCAACATCAACTAGGTTTTGGACGTGAAATATTAGTGATTGTAAAATATCCTAAATCTTTCGTGCTCTTGGTTGTGTTCTCATTCTCGGAGGGAATAGTCACTGTCAGTGTCCAGTAGGAAAAGGTTGCTCCTGAATGTTTGCTTATTTTTAGGGAGGGGGGGAGTGGCTGCATCAGGTGATATTAATTAAAAGAGGACTTCTGAAGAGAACAGAAACAGTAATGAAAAGGATTGGCGCAGCGCTTTCCCGCCGACATTTAAGCTGTCACGCAACGATTCCTTCAAAGCCTCGTGTCACGAGGCAGTAACTTCCCTCTCCCAGCGTACCTTTTCGGATGTCCCCTCTTCTGTAAGCTTCTTTAGCCTCTCTTTGCGATCAAAACTGCCACTAGCACTCGATAAGAGCTCGATATTGCTGATATCAACTGGTTCGATCAACAACGTTTCTGCGTTTATCTCCTCAAATAGATCGATGAACTCGTTTTGTTTTCGTTTTGCGAGAAGTGTGTTGTCGGTCATTTTCAAACTCCTAGAAGCTCTGCGCAGTGGGGATATGTCATCCTCTTCATTTGTTGTTCCGATACTTTTCCTTTTAGCACAGTCATCTTGAAGATAACGCTGTTTGACTGAATATTTATTAATGGGTGAACGCTCAGGTTTCTTCTCCGCGACATCTTCCTCTCCTTTCTTTGGCGGGCCCTCTCGGCTTAAAATCAACAGTTCTTTAATTCCCAACGTGACATTTATAACATAAAACATGCATTTATCCCTCAGCAGTCAGCAGTCTTTCAATTGGTTTGGAGAGGACTAATGCTGCTGTTTTTGTTCGTACCAAAAGTTAGTAGTATTTTTCTAATGGCAGCTGAAAAACTTTTTCACGTTTCTCAAATTGTAGCTAACCGCAACCTTCACAGGTTTCAGCCGTATTTATGCAATAGAGAGACAAAAATCTTTCTCCATTGTTGAATAGTGTTTTAAAATCTGAGAGGACAATTTACTATTCTGTTTTTGCTCTAGAATAATTCACCATGATCTGTGAAGGAAATCAAACCATCAAGTTTTTGTTTCTATCTTTTTTTGCTCTCAACGGACTGTAAAACTTGCTTCACAAATAGTAAATCGGAAAGACTTTCCATTCTTCCAAGTTTTTAAGCTGTCATTAATTAAAAAACAAGTAACGTTTGGCTTCTCCCAATGGACTGTCTAATTAATATGATAATCGTGAACAAATTTAGAACGAGGGCATTCAAAACTTCGTTAATTTTATATCTAGCTTCCTCGTTATTTTACCTCATTGAAAGACAAAAATTTAAACAACCTCACCTCCATTAGCGACAATTTCATTCACACATTTTAGTTTCTGGATCCCTCCTTTGTTCGTCGTGGTTTCGGGACTGAACTTAAACTTCCTCCATGACTGAAAAAGTTTTGTCTTGATCTGTCGTTGTTTCAAGAATGGGAATCTGCTCGCAAACCGCGAATAATTATTTGCTGAAAATAATTTGAAAGATATTTTGGACTTGCTTCTTTTGGAGGGCATTTAGCAGAGAATAAAGCAATTCTATAATAACTGAAAGTACATCTCAAAACTTTAAAACATAAACGGTTTAATACAATTGACTTCCAGTCCTTCTCGGCGGTAAGCGGTTCACATGGGTGTAGACGGCAACTTATATCAGACTGCCCCTCCCCTACAGGAATATAATATAAACAAAGAGGCTTCCGGAAAGGAGTTCTAAGCTATTTTAGTGCACCCTAGTTTACTTTGCATTCTCCTCCCCCTTATTTTTTTTTTTGTTTTCGGCAAGTTGATTATTTCAATTCAGAGATTTCTATATGGAAGCGGCAAGAACGAAAACACACGTCAAGAGTTGTAAGCCAAGCTATTTTCCGTGAGTTTGTATAAGATTTGAGAAGTGTTCCTAAGCTTAAATACAAATAGTTTAAAAAGATAAAATATTTCGAAGGGCTGTTTAGGTCACACTTGACTGGATGAGTTTAGGCTTAGCACGCACGGAAAGTTTACACAGTAACCCAATCCCATATGCAAATAAAAATCTGACCGCAAAGCTTAAAGCGCAAAACCCAGAGGGCGGGAAGAACTCTTTCCGTTTGGTCGAACACGATTCAAAAATTTGCATGATGATATCGATACAAGCCTGCTTTGTTACTGACCACACACGATGTCAAGTTCAATCGTGAGGAATATATTTAAATATTTCCGCCAAACTTTATCAACAACCACAACAATGCCTCAAAAGAAAGTTTGAATTTTCTGTTTAATTTTCCCATACTGAGCTTGAAGTTGTCCATTGTGAGAAAGAAGTCTTGTGGTCATAATTCCGAGAAAGACGATTATGTAAAAGTGAAATATGACAAAATCAACCAAATATTACAAAGGAATTTCCGTTTTTTCGCTTTGCGTCACTTCTCCCTTTGTTATACCTTTTTCAGTTTTCAATTGATCAAGCTAATTTATGAAGGAACAACAGTGATCCAAGCAGAGTGACTACATGTGCGGATCTTTCAGTTTCCTTATCGCGTGATTTAACCATCTGAAATGTACTTTACACGTGTACTTACGTAACACGACAAACAAACTGACAGCGGAGATCTATTTCGACCAGACGAGAGACAGATAAAAACCTTACGCAGAGTTGATTGCTGGAGATTGCTGGCAGGAAGTTTTTCAGTGAAAGTAAATTTCACAGAATATAGCGGATAAAAGTATTGTTTTGATTGACATCCACTTGGATGCGAGCCACTTCTGGTTTGAACTTTTTGCTCTTTCCCCTTACGTTTCCATAACAATGTCACATCAGACCATCTTTCTAAAATTATCAACCAATCAATTCGTTTGTTTTGTAGTGACGTCATGTTATGACACGTGATCATTTAGCAAAAACACACTTGGTGTGTTCGGCCTTTCGCCTCGCCGACAGTGAAAGCGGGTGCAAGTGTTTGGGATTTTCGGTCCGTTTTTTTTGCCGAGATGGACGCATTAAAAGAGCAAGCCATGATAAATCAGTTTGTTATGGTTGCTGGGTGCGCCAGAGAGCAGGCAAAACAACTTCTACAGGCCGCACATTGGCAGTTTGAGGTAATAGAGCGATTGTTTTGATTTCGACGTAATGTCGAATCGGCTTGGCACTCCGTATTTACTGATGTGTACTTTCGATTTAATCGTCTAAAATGTTTGACTACATCCTTTCCTTTTTCTCTCTAGACTGCTTTAAGTTTGTTTTTTCAAGAAGTCGCGATTCCGTCGCATAATCAACACAATCCGGTAAGTGTCCTTCGTATCACTCTCGTTGGCAATTCATGTCGTTGATGACCTTAATTCAAGAATTTTTACTTCTCTTCTTCTAGCTTGTAACGCCGGCAAATACGCCGGCCACACCTCCAAACTTTCCTGATGCTTTGGCAGCTTTCGCAAAACTTCAAGCCTCCGATACAAGCCCCAAGACACAAACTTTAAACGCAAATCATCAACCAGTGAGATGATTTCGTAGCAGCGTGTTGTTGTCAGTTTGCACTATCCATTTCTATTTGTATAATTCCGCCGTATCTTTCTTCAACGCAGCATTACTGGTACCTTTTTTGTAATAGTACGTTAAAGGAACAGAACTAGAAGATATACTACGTACAGTAAGCTACTAGCCAAGATATGAAGAAAGCGAGGGAAAATGTGTGGGGAAAGCGCGTGGACAGTGAAGGTTACCCGGCGTTATATTGGAGAAAACTGTTTAAATGGAAATATTTTGTTGATGTTCATAAGCAAATCGGTGAGACTCTGGAGAAAGTCGTCTCCAAGCTAAAAATACTGTGGTTCTCGAAGAACTTAGCGAAAGACTTAAACTTCGAATAATTTGGGGATGTTGACAATCACCATGTTGATGAACGAAAGCGTAGTGGAATAGTATTATAGACAGGTCGCCTTGCGAAACTGGCGTGCATTCTTTTGAGCCAATGTATAATTTATGAGATGTCGAAAGCGAAATACCAAACTGTTATTACTGCAAACTTTCTTCGATTTTCAAATGAGTTTTGAAAATTTGTGTTACAAATTTGACGAGGTTCTGATCAAGATCAAATGTTAAAGACTGATATTAAAAATTTTTGTGGGCAGTGTCTAAATGAGGTGTCTTTGTTTCCTTACAGAAATTGCTCGTGGCGTTTGATCATAGCTTGTATATTTGAACGCGGTTGCTTTGTTTCGATAAAGCGTTTTTTGTTTTATGTTTTTTGTTATTATCTGACTTCATTAGGGTTATTTAAAATACAAGAGATCGCTGATAAACTAATCACTTTTTCTAGAAGTTCCAAGCTGCCCGTTCGCGCTCGTGAATTGCATGGGACACTATTCAATTTCTCATTGTTTCGTGAGAAGTACGCTGTCGATTTCCGGACTTTGGAATGCAATCTCCTGTTAGCCTTGCCACACAATATATAGTGTGCGTTAAAAAAATGGTGTCAATTTTAGGCTCAGTAGGTCAAGCCTGCCAAGATTACCGAGAAATTATGAATTACAGACTAGCAAAACATTGGATGGTGTTTAATCACATGTACACATCAAATTTGTGCTTTTATTAAATATCCCCAAGTGGCCAAAGTCAAGGTCAGACTTCCTGTCCACTGTCTTAGCATCTCGTATATCAGTCTCTCAGTCAAGGGGAAAACATTGAAATAATGTAAACAGTTTGATCACTTTGCCACCTCCTAGTCTACACTAATTTTTTTTTTTTTTTTTAGTGGGGTTAAGGGGGAAGGCTACCATCCAAAAATCAAGGTAAGGTCCAAATCAAAATATTTAATTCTCCTCACTTAATCTTAAAAGTCAAAGCCTCAAATGAAATAACTGTTACACCGGAAACCATTACTGCAGATGATGCGGCATTTATTTATTGGATGGGCTATTGCTCAGTCCATTTTATTTTCAATTTCTATTATTCGTTAAAAGAATTCTTGTTCAGGGAAATTATTGTGCAAGATTTTATCACATTTAAATTAATGATGCAATCCCTAGTTCTCTTACTTATGCTTCTGATAGTACACATTCATTCAGTAATGAGACAAATGACACACTGATCACTCTGGTGAACCATGAAATGACATTTGCGTCACAATTCAGAGCAAGAAATGTGTACAGAGTGCTATTTGGAACCATGTCAATTGTGAGTGAAGTTTGTCAGTTATTGAGGTGCTGGTCCTAGTCAGCTTCACTATCCTTACTTGACAAATACATAGAGCTAATCCTTGTTAGGGAAAGCTAATTTTCTGTTGAGGCTCCATCCCACTCCAGAACATTCTGTATATGGATGGACTAATTGAAGCATGAATTTTTAGAAAAGTGGATGCTACAAATATATTTAATGAAGAAAAGACTGCATAAATTTATCTGCTGAATAGCAATATTTTCAAGGAGATTGCTTTTCCTGAAACTTTTTTATTATACTACATTATGCTCCCAATTCTTGGTTAAAGTTTGTCATATGAGTGGTAAAATCATTGCTTTATGATCCTTTGGTTTTTTTTCTTATTTTTCTTAAATTAAGATGGTTAAACCCAACTAGCAATCTATTTAAGTTTTACCTTCTTTTGTCGTTCATATCTGTTTATTTTTCAAGTGTGTACAGGGCAAATGTCTGTTGGTAAATGTTATGACTCTTTTACCCCCTTTCCCCCCCTCCCCCTCCTCCCCAAATTTTTCAAAACTGGAATTTTTAAGATTCTTTTAGCTTGAAGAAACAAGATAATTGTGACCATTTTGTTTATTTTGCTCATCTTGAAGAAACGTGCATAGCATGTGAATGATGAATTGTTTTGTTTACCTTTATATAATAAGCTCAGTTATGCATGCATTCTGATTGGTTCTCACTTATGATCTATTGGAGGACAGACGCATATATGACGTCATCATTAAAACTTTTTTTAAGTCTTTATTATATAAAACAAATAGATTCCAAGTTGCTGTGCGTCTGTTCAGTAATAGATCACAGAGGATGTCAAAATGTGGTAAGAACATCAGTTTTTTGTTCTCACCACATTTTGACATCCTCTGTGATCTATTACTGAACAGATGCATGGCAACTTGGAATCTATTTGTTAAGTAGACTACTTTGTTCACTTAAGTTGTCTTTATCTTTTAAATTCTCATGTCTGATTCCTAATTTCAATTTTTAGACAGATCAATTTCTAAATAATCTTGAATAAATATCAAAAGATCATGGTTTTTAGAATGAGTATTCCCCTCACTTCCTGACAGAATGGCACCCAAACTTAACCTTGAGGAAACATTCCTCATAAATAATTTTTTTCTTTAGTGAGTCAAATGAAAAACATTTTTTTTAGTGAGATAGCAGGTGTATGTTTACTATTTCAACCATCATGTGATATAATTTTTTGAAATGATAATCCCAAGCTTAATGATAGTGTTTACATCTTTTAAGAATGGCACCCAAACTTAACCTTGAGGAAACATTCCTCATAAATAATTTTTTTCTTTAGTGAGTCAAATGAAAAACATTTTTTTAGTGAGATAGCAGGTGCATGTTTACTATTTCAACCATCATGTGATAGAATTTTTTGAAATGATAATCCCAAGCTTAATGATAGTGTTTACATCTTTTAAAAGGACTTTATTTACTTCCACTCCAAACTTGTCCCTCTCTCTATCATGCTTGTAATTTATTTTGCTCCATAAATGAACAAGCACTTTATGTCATTGTTAGGGTATTGAACCCTTTAACTCCCAAGATCTCTTTAGTAATTCTCCTTACTGTCTGCCATACAGTTCTTGTGATGTTAGTTTGCAGAATTTGGTATTGGATCAACTTGTAATCCCTTAACTGATATTTTTCTCTATTCTCATCACTTTTCTGCTCAATATTGTATCGATATTGTAAGGAGAAATTCTGTCTTGGTCACTCATGGGAATTACAGGGTTATTAGGGGATCACACAGGAGCAACAATTATCATAGTTGGAGGGATAGAAAGATTGCCATAGTGACCTAGCTCAATATGATATGATGGTTTCATTTCATTTGATCTGATAGTGGATCAGAGTTCACCACATAGTATTAACCCTTTAACCCCTAAGAGTGACTAGCATCTAATTTCTCCTTACAATATCATCCCTGAATCAAACTTTAAGTTCACAAGAATAAACAAAACGATCACCAACCAAAGAAGCTCTTGATTGTTAAACAAATTCTCCTTGTTAGCATCTTAGGAAATTTATGGAGAACAGATGGAGAATATGGATTATGATGTTCTGGCGTAAAGGATTCACTTGTGTAGGAAATTACACAGAGCATAGTGCCACACCACAAGTCATAGAGTATTGTGGATTCTTGTGTGCTGAGGTTGCATCATCTATTGAAACAACAAATTGCTGATCCTGTGTCAGACCCTACTGTCACGATTTTATTATTTTATGACCTCAATTAATTTGAGGCAAGAACACTTTGAAGATAAAATTGCTATCCATGATAACATAGTGCCACAGCATGTGATTGTGGAGACCCCATACCATTCATTCTTTCCTGAAAGAAGTTTTCCTCTTCAAACTTTGTATTTTCTTGGCAGATCCCACAAAGGAAATCAGTTGTCAAAGTTACAATTATTATACTGATAATGTTGATGATAAAAATCATCATTTTTTTATTATCATGATCAATATAATTGTTGAAATTATGATGATTTTTATCATCAATGTTGTCGTTATGATCATTATTTATAATTTGTAGAGAGGGAAAAAGAAGATTTTCCAAGAAGATTTGCCATGGTGATTTTTTTCATTTTTTTCTAATTATTATTGCAGCAGCCCAATTGAAAGATTGGCAGAAATTATAAACTCTTCAAAAGATTAAGCTAAAGAAATTAGCCTATAGTTGATAGGTATCATAACAAAATCCTTTTTTTTTTTTGCATTGACAAACTACTCAAATCTGATTGGCTGAACTGTTTGAAGTGACTTGTTCTGCTTACAAACTAGTTACAACTGGACCCATCCGAATGGAAATTCAACAGTCAACAAAAGTTAACAGCAAACGTCTCTACCCAATAAGATTTAACTATTCAAACAATGGCATTGGTGAGATCTCTTCTTTAGAATAGAGAATGCTGACTAAACATTGTTAACATTCATATATCCTATGTATCTGGAGAATTATACCAGGCAAGATAACCTCTCCTCCCTCAATGTATTAGTGATTAGGGAGTTCACGATCGAGCTGAGATTTGTTCCGTTTTTGGAGTCCGATCTATTTTGCTTTAGGTTTCCGATGTGGGTTTTGAACACCGGCAAAGTTTTCATTCCAAATATATACTATGAACCAACAGGAAGGTGACATGGAGTAATTTACGAAAATAACCATTTTGATTCATGTGGAGACTTTTGGCTGCTCAATCTTAAAATACATTATGATCTGTAGGTTTGCATATGCGCACGTGTTTATACGGTCACCTGATCACCCCGCCTCTGATAACCTCTCTCCACTTC